CGCGAATGGGTTACTGTAATTGAATGTATAAGGGCTTCTGGAGTCGCTCTACCGCCATATATCATTTTCAAAGGCAAAGTGTTTAAGCATCGTTAGTTCAATTTTCTACCTAACGAAGCTGACTGGCGAGTTAATATCTCGAAAAATGGTTGGACAAGCGATAAGATTGCTCTTAATTGGTTAAAAATACATTTTATTCTAAATATACGATTAAGAAAGGGAAAATATTGTTTTCTAGTACTAGATGATCATAGGAGTTATCTTATTCCGGAAATTGACTAACTATGCTCTAAAAATGATATTATCCCTATTTGTATGCCACCTCATGTATCGCATCTTTTACAGCCACTTGATGTAGGCTGTTTTGAGATTTTAAAACGCTTATACGGAGGCAAGGTAGCGGAATACATGAGACTTAACATCAATTCGATTGAAAAAGAAGATTTTCTGGATATCTTTCCTGGAGTGCGATATGACACTTTTAAAGAGATTACTATTCGAAATAGCTTTTTAGCTACTGGATTAGTCCCTTTTAATCCGGATCATGTGTTAGAAAAGTTAAATATTCAGCTTGAATCTTTAATACCTCTTGAATCACTACCAAATCGACTACCATCTTCCGGCAGTGATAGCGACTCCAATTCTCTCTAGACACTTAAAAAGCTAGAGAAATCCAAATCTCGCATCAATTTAGGCATAGAACCTTCATTCGATAATCTCTCTTCACTTACAAAAAGAGAGATTCAGCACTATTACAATATGACAGTCCGATTGTTTTATCACTATCTTTTTTTCTCCGATCGATGCCGCCAGTTAGAAGAAGCAAATAAGAAGCAAGCAAGGAAAAGAATAAAATATAAAAAGTAGATTGCTCACAAGGGTAGTCTAGGGAAATTAGAAGAGATTCAGGATAATATTGGTGTTGAGAGAAACAGTAGTAGTAATTATATATCTTTGGATCCAACTTCTACAGAAGCTATGGTTGAACCTGAATTACCTCAGATGTCTACCATTCGCCGCGAATTTACTTGTTCTGGCTGTAATACGAAAGGACACAGGATTAACCAATGTCCTGAGAGAGTTAGATAGTCAATTTTATTATTGTTTTGGTTCTAAATTCGCTGTTGAAAATTGTGATTTTTTTGAAGTTTTGATGAGGTGACCGGTCGGCCGGGAATCACGTTACTGCGTTGCCTAGATTTGTCATCATTGTTGGTTGTTGCTGCCTGAGGCATGATTTGCCGAGATCTCCCTGTCCCAATATGAAAGACCTATCGTGCCTTTATATAAATAGACCAATTGATTGTTACAATGAGATCGATATGTTAGTGTTAAGGAGGTGCTCCAAGCCCTTCGTCTCCATTGCCATATGTAGACTAGCGTCGCCCACAGTGGCTTCCTAGATAGGGATCTCTCGATCCACCTCTTATCTCCAACAGTTAGCACGGTCTTTCCTCATTTTATTTTATTTTCTGTTCTAGTCTCATCGGCTTATATAGTGCTCCGTCATTTCACGGCCTAATTGCGAAATCATCTCATCTCAACCCGTTTCTCATTGGAATTTGAACTAGCCTAGGTCATTCGTAAAGCCAACTACGCGAGATCTCTCCTCGATATGAAAACCTCAAATTTAGCCACGTGGCCAACAATATGGTCCTGGTAGCCGGACTCAAAGGCCTCTACAATGGCTGCTTCTTGATTATCAGGAAAGCGGAACGAGAACGAACAAACGAGACAAGCGAGGAGCATTCTCATTTCCATCATGGCGAGATTCTTCCCTACACGGGAATACGGGCCGATCCGAAAGGGGATGAATGCCTCCTTGGCTTTAACCAAGTGTCCCTGGGAGTACCATCGTTCGGGTATAAAGCATTCTGGGTCGGTGAAATTTCGCGGGTCTTTGCGGGAATCCGTCAGCGCGAATCAGGCAAAAAAAAAAAAAAAAAAAAAAAAAAAGGAAAAGAAAAAAAAAGGAAAAGAAAAAAAAAGAAAAATGGAAAGCTTACTTCGATGCAGTGCGTACGGAGGCGTATAAATAAGTGTGTCTCCTGGTATCATTTTTCCGGCAATCATAGCATCTTCTGGGGGCGCCATACGTTGAACACCGCTGGGTGCTGCAGGATACATCCTCAGGGCTTCATTGATACAGCCATCCAGAAGCGGAGTCTTCCCGACGATCTGCCTGTAGCTAATATCTTCGGCGTTGGTCAAGATCTGATCGACCTCCTGTTGTAGAAGGTTTTGCTTGTCGGGGTTCTTTGCCAGAAGATAGACAATGGCCGCCAGTGTCGTAGAACTAGTGTCACTGCCGGCCACGACCGCAGGCTCTGAGTCGTATATCAGATCACCATCAGGAATAGTTGATTTTTTCGGATCATCATCGGAGGAGAAGAGGAGATACATGAAAATATCTACCCGGGACTCGCTCATCTATCACATTGTCAGCATCTGTTCGTCGTATCCGGGAGTGATTCACCGTACCATCTTCTGTTCCTGGACTTGCTTGCCACACCAGGCCACATTATCAGCTCTTTTAGCGCTGATCAATGGGGGACTTTGAAATAAAATAAATAGCCATGGGATACACCCTAGAATAGCCACCAAAGGCCCTATCGCTCCTAGCTGAGTCATAAACTGATGAGGCTTTCCTTGCTTCAGCATATTGAAGGACTTGCCAAAAGCCAAGCCGCCCATCACATCTAAACCGAAGAAATTGAGCCACGAGGTAATCTCGACAGCCTCATTTGGCCTCTCAGTAAGCCGCGATAGAATCTCATTGCAGTGTTCAAGAATCCGAGGCTCATGGTCACTCATACCTGCGGAATAATGTCAGCGAAAAAGAAGATTCTGTTGGAAAGACCGGACTTACCCGTAGTCGATAACCCCTTTTCCCGCACCTTCTTTCTCTTTGCATGGAATGAGCGATCGCGGGTCATCTGCAGAGACCTCGAAGGATAGTTCAAATCGTAGAACAGGCCCATAACGCATTTGGAGTTCGGACCATGGATATCACGAACGGCGTCTACATGATTGATTGAGATTTCACGAGGCCTGATCCGTACGAAGTCGCCATATCTCTGGTGAAGTCCTTTATTTTCTTGTGGAACTGGAACCCAGAGACCGTTAAACCAATGGAGTCAGATCCGGTGAGTCTGGCGCCGCGGGGGCCAGGGTAGGCTCGCAGCGTATGGAACAACAAATGATAGAGTCCAATGCTGGCAAATAGTCCCTTGTAAAAGCCAACATTCAAAGCCAACCGATGGAGCAAGGCATTCCCGAATGCGATTTGTTGAAACTTCCACAAAACCAGAAAAAGGGCGATTTTAGCCAATAGAGCTAGCCGGGCGATACTGGGGGCATGGCGTAAACTGTTGAGCTAACTGATGACGGTCTCCTGTTGTGTTCTGTTTAGTTCATAATTAGCGTCTTGTCATGGACAGGGGTGGATGGGAGAAACAAGTGTAACCACAGATTCCCCGCTCGATCGTAAATTCACCTCCCCATCTTTCTCCCCAACCTGCAAACTCCAGCAATCATGGAAATTCCCACTGAAGATCGATCTACCATGTTGCCTATCGAACCCGATGTACGATCGTCGATCCCATGCGCCTCTGTCGCCTCCTTTCATTTGCTGACATGTGTTTCAGAGCAACACGGGCGAAGAACAGTCGAGATACGACCTGGACTCGGATACGTTCGGACCCCTTCCCTTCCATATTGGTGTTTCTAACGGGGTCCTCATTATAGTGAATCCCTCGACTCACTGACGTCGAGTGTCCTGGCCTATGAATACAAGAATGGCCGCCGCTACGCTACATATGGATCGAATCAATTTTGGCTGCCAAATGATGAAGTTCGTAATCTATCTCCCTAGCGCCCTTCTCCGAATATCCACAGTGAAAATGATCTATTCACTGATTCTGTGATTCCTCAAGATGGAATGCCATCGAAACGATTTGGTACAGCACATTTATGGAATGCTGTTCGGCGGAAAATTGATCTTCGCCCCAATCAAGAACCCAAGGCGAATTTTGGACGTTGGTACAGGGACTGGCACCTGGGCAGTGGACGTTGCAATGTAAAGTCATCATTTTCACAATTCGACATGGTCGCTCATTTTGTATTTAGGGCATATCCGAACTCGCGCGTTACCGGTATGTGTTTCTATCTGACGACGCAAGAACTGGCCAAGAGCTCATGGGTGATTGACAGGAACTGATATCTCGCCTAATCAGCCATCATGGTTTGTTATTTCTGGCATAATCCGCGAGAAAAGCATATTAAGAACATGCGTTTTCTGATACTTGCCAGGGTTCCATCAAACCTCACGTTCGAGATCGACGATGCAGAGCTCGACTGGAACTTTAGCCACTTATTCGATCTAATTCACATTCAGAACTTGAACGGGGCAATTCGCGACTGGCCGCGCCTGTTCCGCCAAGCATACGAGTATAAATCCGATACTGACTCATTCTGGATCAAATCCTGGCTAACATACTCAACCAGTAACTTGAAGCCAGGAGGCTACTTCGAGGTTAAAGAAGGAGACATTTCCGCAAAATGCGATGACGGAAGTATTCCAAAGGAGTGGAGTCTCGGAATTGCGGAGAAAGAATCTCTCCGAGCCTGTGACTCGCTCGGTCAGACCTTGAGAGCGCCAGAGTACATCAAACAATGGATGGAAGAGGCCGGGTTCGTGGATGTGGAGGAGCGCATATTTCGACTTCCCATGAACACGTGGCCCAAGGATCCGGAGCTCAAAGAGATCGGCAGGTATCAATGCGCTCAGCACTTGGAAGCCGTGTCGCCATTTGCTCTTGGCCTACTGGTTGAAGTGCTTGGGTGGTCGAGGGAGGAGACCGAGCTCTTTCTCGTTGGCGTTCGAGACAACATTAAAGACCGGAGTATTCATGCATATTTCTCCATGTGAGTCCATTCCCGCTATTCCTGTTCGACTATCGCGAGGGGACATGTTCAACTAATCAATAACAGACGAGTTGTAACCGGTCATCGACCGTGAAGGCCGTCATGAGGTGTCGTAACTGTTTTTTTATATAGCTGTTCAGGGTGGCTTTCTGCTATATTCGACCATGTGATGTAGTGTGGGAATCCTTTCGGTTGGTAGTTTGCTTTATTTGTCGGTAGTTATGTTTGTATTCAAGATGAACCTCGTTTTTGAGTGAGACAATATACCTTACTGATCTTGGTTCAACCTTTTCTAAATTGAAAATCATCTAGAATATAAGATCCTATCCAATTATCCAGAATTTATTTCATTACTTTCTGCTCATCGATACGGGGGGCAGAAGGACTGATGTACAGAAACAACTACTATCAAATCAAGTCCATATCTCTACGTTCCTAGAGTCTTCGAGATGCGCTGAAACAATTCCGTGACTGCGGTGCATCTCGTTCTAACATATACATATGCATCTGGTAATCAATATATGCAATCGATCGATTGAGAGATCGGTTGGGGATGACGATGATAAATGGCAGCCTTGGCGCGGAAACAACACGGAATGGATTTAAAGAGCGACTAGTGTCTATATCACCACATAACAACTACCTAACAATAAGCCCAAGACCAGGCACGACACCTTTCTAAGTGGATAGGGCCAAATGAAAACATCCGCGATCCCTCTCGACGTTTTGTGAAGCAACTTCATTCCCCTAGAAACGGCGACGACGCGGGAGTGTTCCATTGCCATGTTTCTGAGCATCCTCCAGCGTGACAACGTAAGGACTCTCGTACACTTTCCGAAGAAACTCCTTGGTGTTGTACTTGCCATCCTTGATAAACTCATCAGACCAGGTCATCCAGTAGGCCCAGTGTGTGTTAGTCTTGGCCTGCTGCTCCGGATCCGGAATGACGCCGACTTCAGCTAACGCCAGCACTCGCTGACCGCCAGTCACTTCATACAGCGCATGCCATTTCTTCTCCAGAACTCCGTGGTCCCCAGCGTCGGCATAGTGATCGATCGTCGCGATATCACACTTGTCGTTGCCAGGATACCACTCCGGGTCCGCGGTGTTGCATACCCAAACGATATTGTGAAGATTATGATGAACCGTGATGCGAGTGTAGACGAGGTCCCAGAGCTCGAGGAATGTGTCGGCCCCTTGGGCGCCCCACCAGAACCATGCGCCCTCCGGCTCGTGCAGGGGACGAAACAAGATCGGAACGTTGGCTGCGGAGAGACGCTTGATTTGAGCGGCGATGGCGTCGATATCGTGGAGCAGGAGGCTGTAGTTGGTGCCGTTGTGACTTGCTTCGGCGAGCGCCTTTTTGGCGTCGAAGCACGTTGCCTCGGTGTAGAATCCTGTATACCAGGGGTGTTCAGAGGTATCGTAGAGACAGGCTGGTGCCCGCCAGTGCCAGACGAGTGCGTTGATGCCGCCTTGGTGGTGGAAGTTGATGGCGTCCTCGGTGGCGTTGGATCTGGAGCCGTGCGCAACAGAGGAGGGAGTGTAATCCATGAAGTCACTGCCTAGGATGGCGGGAGTTTTGCCAATATTCCCCTGCACCCATTGAAGGCTGGCCAGATCCTGCTGGCCGGAGAGATACTGAGATCCGAACCGGGATTGGATCAGTCGGAGGAGAGACTGGGCTCCCGCGGTGGCAGACCGATCGATGTTGCTGTAACCGTCAGCCAGGACGGACGGCACGGCGGAGGCCAGAAGAAAAGGAATGAAACAATTGGAGAGCATAATGAAAAAAGCAAAGTTGTTAAGCGAGTGAGTGGACTTGCTATCATTCAATCCAGCGGTGACGGCCTGCTTTATATCATTCTGTGCCTGAGTAACACATGACTTGATCGATCTGTCCCCTGCACTCGGAATATATGTTGGTTCTGTTGATCTTTCAGCTGTAAATTAAATCTAGTGCATACACAGTGTTGCTCCACATACTGGCGTAGCTGTCTATGCTTACAGCTCTACACATCCCAGGGGTCTAAGGTGACATTCTCGAAACGACGATGTGGACCCTACACACGGGACATACGATGAACCGGGGATCCACATCCGCCGCCAAGTGCGCCTCCTGGCCAAGAAAACATCTGACCTTACGTACTCCGTATATAACCGCTGAAGAACCACCTCATTCAGGAAGAGATTACTGCCGATCCAGGGTCGTCGGGGAGATTTCGGTGAAACACCCAGCTTGGAGGGCTTGATATATTTAATGCTTGCACGTTGATTGGGAGTCGTAAGGCGTGGAGTGCAATTACGCGTATATCAGTGGCTACGTAACCTAATTTATATTGACGCATAGTTTTAAAACTATGCCGTATAAGGGTTTCAGATAAAGCATGGAGAAATAGATTAGGTTTACAACATGACTCGGTCAGACCAGATTACCCTTTCTGGAACGGGCCAGCCTCCGAACAAAAAGGGTGACATGCTTTATCACGCCTATCGTATTTGATGGTCCATTTAGAGAATCTTGGATTCGATCACGGTCACCCCATCCTTGAAACCATGGTTTGTTCAGTTTGTTCGTTTAGCTAATATGTACCGAGTATGAAGGATCCTCTAGCGTACATACAGTCTCGCCTATTTGGCTCACTGAACGAAGTCCGCCAGAGGAGTGCAACATGTGCTCCGCTTGACTGATATCGCAGAAGTTCTTTCTTGCTGAGCACTCATGTTCGCATCTGGCCTAAGGGGATTTCTTCTCAATGATTCGAAGCTTTTGCGGATGGTTTGATGTTGGCTCGGCGTCCCTAGATGTTTGCTCGGTATACTCCATTTGGAAGCGCTAATAATCTCAGTTCTCTGATTCGAAAACTCGCACTCCCCCCCTCTCAGTCCACTGGACCTCGGGTGCTGATAGTCTCGGGTCTACGGTGGGCCGTGGAGACCTGGTTCCCTGGGCGCTCAGTGGGCTGACGCTGCGGATGGGAGAAATTGAAGAAGTAGATTTGCGGCCTCGCAAACCGGTCGAAGATTGTCTGTACGAGGCTCTAGGGATCCTTGGTGAAGGGGATAGTGATTTGCAGCTCCTTGCTTCCTTAGTACCCAGTTGTTGGGGCTGGCGATCGTAGCCACGGTCAGGGGAAACTGTACGACGGTTTTCTGGGTCGAGGAACTCCAGATGATCTCGACTATCTGAGATCTGTCCTTTAAAGACGCTCGATCAAGGAAGGCCTACCCCAACTCTACGGGAGATTCTGCGCGTGAGGTTAGCAGAAACTTTGCTGTTGACTGCGCCCTCCTTATGTAATTGCTCCTTCATTTTGGAGATAGAAAGCGAGCTATCAATTGCACACTTAAGGAGCGGAATAGGAGCTCCAATAGTTTGAATGTCGCTAGAGTCACCGTCCTCGGTGCTGTCGTCTTGTTCTAACCTGGGTAATGCAGACAATGCGAGGTGCTCCAGGTGTTTCTCTAAATGATGCCTGAATGATCTGGCGGTTTTTTTGGGTCCACATGATGTCGGCTTCCAGTCATTGCATTGTGGACACTCAGCTTCACCAAAGTAGGTTTGAGTTCTACCTCCAGCATCAGTGGTCAGTGGAAGTCTGTACAGCCGTGACGACTGCTCCGTGCTCCCGCTGGAGATGCGTAGTGAGCTTGTTCCTCGAGGTGGAAGTGAATTTAGAGCAGATAATGCAGTGCCATCGCTTTCGATGTTGATTCAGCTCATGATCAAACCATTCATGGCGTTTGTGAAGGGAGGCGACGTGCATGTCTCTGCGGTGCATACGTTGGTTGAAGATCTTCGAATACATGCTGCCTACTATCATTAACCGGAGGAAGGAGACATGGTTGAATGTACGGATATACATACTTCCATTCAGACCGGTCTCGGACGGTCCTGTTGTTCCGACAATAAGGACATTCAAATGGTTCACTGTATTCGAATTCCGGACCGTTCGTCTTGTAATCAAGTCGGTAAAGGTAAAGCTAGGCCGAAATACCTTTAACCCTCGCTCTGTCAACTAGACGGTTCTGCTTGTCTGTTCAGTTAGTACGCAGAACCTCAGCTCACTGTGATGGATACTGCGATTTTGTCAACCGTATGTGACCGCTAGTTACATAGGAGACCTTCCTATTCCGGATATCGGTATTGGTAACTACCGATTCCCGAGGATTATGCAGAGTTTTCTGTTATTTCCATGGTTCAAAAGTTATGTCTCTTCTAACTGCCTTTTTAGGCTAGATTGCTTATTATTCTTCATGTATTTAAACCATCGTTTGCAGCTAGATTGAAAGAATCAGACCTTCATCATTCGATATTCCTATGGGTAACATTACTAGCAATTACGCCTAGAGAGACGGCCAACAGATTTCATTACCGAAGAGTTGTCCAGGTGGCACGGTGGGTGGATGCCTTAGGCTGCAATAGCGATAAACAGAAATCCATACTGGGTTTAGCGGGTTCGGGTCATCGGAGGAACATTGTTGCGTTCCCTGTTGATAGCAGGAAATCGAGCGACATCTCCCCTCACACTCTCGACACATCGACACATCGATACAATGTTAATCTATCGCCTTCCACTCGAGATATGGGAGCTCATACTTCGGGAGCTGCCATTACCAGATCATTTGGCTCTCCGCTTGACCAACAAGTACGTTTCACACCAATGCTCTGGGCCCTTCTTCCGCCTGCCTATAAGCAGAGATCGGAGCGTCGTATTAACACGGAAGAGCCTGGATTCATTACATGCCTTGGCGAGCCATCCGACGTTCGGCTCGGTCGTCACGACAATTTACATTAGCGCGTGTGCTCTCAAAGTAGATCTACAAGCAGGGACCTTGACACCTGCATTCTCAAATCATGTGCCTGAAAGCGGGGTATCTGATGCGCAGCCAGACTCAACACATGAGAGCTTATTGCGAAGAAGAGAAAACATTGAAAGGTTTCGGGAGGAGATTGCAGATGTGTCAGATCGATTCGTCGCCGAATGGTTGGAAGCGACGTTTCGTGCATTTCGCCGCATGGATAACGTTCTAATATTCATGGAGTCACAACAGGCTCGGCACGGGTGGGGTGGCACAAATGAAGAGTTTGAAGAGCTTGAAGAATCTCCTCCAGAGGAACACGACATCAACTCTGATCAGTTCGCCCGGACATGTTTTCTGAGTATGTGCGCAATTCTTAAGAGCGATATCCCTGTTCAGTCCCTGTACATTGGCAACACCATCGGCTATAGATCCCTTTCACAACAGATCCTTGAGGAGCCGTTCAAATTATTTCCCTCCGAGACGCTCGTAGAATCACTGGAGGAACTCGGGATCCACACCTGGATTAGTGAGGCTTCTCGTGAGTCCCAGATATCAATATCACCAAAATTGCAATCTTGGTCAAAGTCAATCGATGCCCCTGCTGCAACACCTATATCGTCAAGCTTCGCAAGCAACCTCTGTAACCTGAAACGCTTATATCTCCACATGAACTTCCTAGATCTGCCTATAACAAATTCAAAGCCTTGTCCAGATTTTTTGGAACATATTCATTCGCCTAATCTGGAATCACTGACATTCGTCTACTTCAAGATGTCAGCAAGCTTTTTGTTGTCATTTTTGAAGAAGCATCCCAAACTTAGAGAGATAGAGCTCTCGGAGATCGATCTATCGGAGGGTGACTGGAAAGAAGCCTTGGATTTTCTCCATAGGGATATGCCAAACCTCAAAGAACTGCGTGTTATATAGGCCTTGTAGGCCAGAATGTAAAATCTTGGAAAAGGTCTCCAGCTTGAAAGACTATTTCTTCTCTCATCAACATGTGGATCGGGATATCTATAATCTGGGGGTCATCAATACTTGCTTTTTAATTCGAAAAGCGGATTCGAAGGTCTTTCGGCCCGCAAAGGTGGATTGAAACACTTGAAGGAATGTACATACTTCATGGGCGTCCGAAATTCTATCCACTCAGTTTGGTGCTTTTTCTACGCATGTTGTTCGCATCAACTACATCTAATAGCAGCGATCATGACTCTGCTATCAATGGCCTTCTTCAGAGTTCTGTTCTTCAATTTATAGTCTTCATTTCATCAAACATAGTAACCGCATGGCTGCTGGCCGAGGGTATTTCGCGAAACACAAATTTATTGGCTCAGGTAGGAGAGGAAAAAAAAGAACGAGTATGCCATGGCAGATAAAAGTAATTGTTTAGAGACCATTCACAACGGAAGGTCCAAATCCCCAAAATTCTAGGTCCCACCAAGAGAAACCAATGGATTGAAAATCGATGAAACTACTCTAGTCGGGCTGGCTACCCACAAGTATAATGCACCGTCGGGTCAGTTTGGCGGATGTAAACCTCGGTCGTATAGTTGTAGCAATCATCTTCACTTTCAGTGAAATCATAACTCCGCTCGGGATACTTATTTGGTGCATATTTGTGAGTGATCTCAACTTCTTTCACCTCGTGCGCTTCCGGACCACATTGGCAGGGCTTTTCATCTTCCTCGTCAAGCAGGTATCCAAGCCAATATTTAACTCTCTTCTTCGTATGTCGTTGCTCTCTCTGCTTGTGTCTCCGGATTGCTTGTGGACTGAACAACCATAATTCCGGGATAGACAGACGTGGCTGCTTTTTCCGGTGTTTCAAAATATGCTCGGCCGTCGGTCCGGGATTTTGCGTGTAATCCTGCGCTCCATTCGCTTTTCGATTCTATCAAGAACGTACCGCACAAGCGTGGTGTCTTTCGGGCGGTTTGGACTCTTGCTACCATGTTCAGGAGGCGTCGGCGGGAAAACATGCGAAAGGGCATCATGATAACAAGTCCAAACCAAACCTTCCTTATTATTTTCAGCTTGCGGTATGCGGATGTCCGAACAGTTTTCAACACGTAGTAGCTGAAGTGCCAAGCTTTCATGATCATAGGCCGGGTTGCGTCTCCATCTCTGATCCCGTAACCAGAGATCTTTCTCGTTCTGAAATACCAGAGTAATTCTCTTAGCCGGTCGGCGAACTGATAGGAAAGATATGGATAGATTAAGTCTCTCCCAGCGCAGTACCACCTGGCCCCGGTCTGAAAGCTTCGTTGCATGTACCTTGTGAAATGGGAATTCTCCGAATTCTCGTGTAATGGCCTCGGTCACGCTCGCGACCTGCCATTTAGCGCGTATTCTTGGAAGTTCAAACTCGATCCAGGAGCCTGGGGCGATGCTCGATGTGATATTGATCCCGAGTTCGAAATTGCCGTACAGGTAATGGGATATCTCGTCGTGGAGTTCCTGGCTCGTACACATGATAGCCAGCCGGCTGCCCGGTCAATCACTGTCCCAGTCCCTTTTATATTTGCCTTTCCATCTAAATTCGCCTGAGCGGCGCGAAAAATCCAGTGGAACCAGAAGGTCCCATATACAGAGGCGTACCTCCGGCGGGAGCACTCCTAACAGCCCGAGCACTGATGGCGTTGGCATGGTTAAGGCAGTCTATTGTGATAAATGTGGTATGATTGGGTATGAGAGAAAAGAATGATCTGGCATGGCTGTAGCATAAGAAACTGGGGAGTGTGACTCATCGAACAAAATAAGTTAACTATTTCATTCATGCGTGAATCATAGTTATGCCTTTTATTGGCAGAGAGCGGCAAAAGCAGAAAGTTAACATCACCCATAAATTTCCAAAATAAAAAGAATTATTAGCGAGTAAGTGTAAGTTCAAGCTACTCATTATTGAAAACAGAGAGCTCGACTCATCTTGGCTTCGCTCTGGTGAACTACTGGACTCCATGATCAATGAGTTGCGAGGTGTTCGCTTTGGGGGGTTATAATAACGGGGAATGGTAGGAAAGCGGGTGGACAAATAGTGATAGAAACGTGGAAAAGAGTGACATTGGAATAAGAAGGGCAAAACGTGAACGAGAAATATCACTACGTCAGTACTAGTTCAACACCAATGCCCTCCCAGTCATACACCTCCAAGTATGGTTACAGTGTGATGACCTTATTTACCCTTTCCGAAAAGATCGGCGGCATTCTGCTCGGCCTCTTGGCTGCCCGGTGGATTAGCAAGGAAAGGAAATATTCATTATCAGTGTCACGGGCAATGCGTACTACGATTGTTTGTCACCGATACTTTGCAATTTTTCACAGTTCCGCTTGATGGTGGTTCCTGCTTCCGCAATTGACTGCAAAATCTGGCCGATGGCATCCTGCATCATCATCAGCCAACTAGGGCACAACGTTGGCGTATGGATAGTCTTACCCGCGACTGCTCCATCCAGGATTCACCCTGCTGCGCGTATAAGCTCAGAAGCTCATCAATGTTCTTCGAGGCTTCCCAGCAATTGTCCAAAGAAGGGGGCTGTGTGGATATCTGGTAACTCGCGGATGCAGCAATGGTGGCGAAGAGAGAAATGCAAGCAAGCTTGGGGAGATACATTTTTTTTTAATGACGGCGATGAATTCCGGGGATTCAGGGGTTTGTTTGGATAGAAAATAAAGACTTCCCATGAAAGAAACGGGGCTGAGGGAAATAGTTTATATCGCCCCTTCTTCCATCCCCTATAGGAGCAAGATTTTGGATTTAGGGCGCGGCGTAGGGCAGAGCCACCGCCCAAGCCTTAGTCTCGGTCACCTATCACAGGTGTCTCTAGTCAGCTCATCAGGGAAATGAGATTGAACCCTGCAAACCCGGGCAGCTAGAATCTAAACCCTTCAGGGGCCAGTCTGTCCTTGGGAGTTCGTATTCAGAGAACAGGCCCCCACGTAGGGCCAATGACGGGTCCACATTTTTTGGGGTCTCCAGATGAGACGCCTGAGTGGTCCTGGATCATTCCTCTGTTCATTCTACAGGCCTTGGCAGTTTACTCTGCAGCCTTGTCGTTTAAGATGGACATGAATGACTCGGGGGTCTTTTTGTATGATATCTTTTTGTCAATCGTCATCGTATAAAACAATTATCTGAAATTGACTGTTATGCAAACGGACGGCGATTTGGAACTGCTTTCTGTAAAGTCAAGTTTTCCACGCCCGGTGAGAGTATTGTTACATCCAAGGATATAATGAAGTTTAAAAGCAGACTTTGGACCGCCCCATTCACCCTCTTCTTCAGTAGTGAAACCTTTCTCCTACAATTTTCTCACTCAATTTCCACAGTTTTTCAGCCTCTATCTCGTCTCTGGCCCAGCACCGGATGTCTTCTGGGATGATGACAGTCGAATCTGACAGGAAGCTGCCGTTGTTTTCTGTTCGAATAGCAATTAGCACTCTTCGAATTGATAAATCTTTAGTACTAACCAGTAGGTGAGATCATATGATGGAACGCGGCAACGACATGAGTTGCTACACCCTGCGACATGGTCTTCCATTTGAACCCATCCCAGTAAGAGCGATTTCCCTGCAGCTTGTCCCATTTTACTGTCTTTGTTAATAACAACTCTATCAGTGCCATCTAATTTGGCTTTAAAGAGTCACGTACCAATTGCGTCAACAGACGCGCCTACATCGTACCTCAATAGATTTGTGTTGATCACACCAGGATGAAGGCTAACCGATACGAGACCAACCTTCCCCAGCTTCCGAGCCAAAGAGACAGAAAAGAGCATGTTTGCTGTCTTGGCTTGAGCATACCCCAGCCAGGGGTCATACGTGTTTCCATCCTATTATTTCAACTCATTAGCCTATCTCAGATGACACATTCTAGCGATCCCTCTTACATCGAAGTTCCAGTCCTCAAACCGGATAGGTCCCATTCGATACCCATCACTTGCCACATTTACAACCCGCGCGCTTTTTCCTGGCGCGACGAGCTTGTTCATAATCAGATTTGTGAACAAGAAATGACCGATGTGGTTGATGCCGAATTGACTCTCCAGGCCATCTTCCGTTAGCCGGAATGGCGGGCCCATAACACCGGCATTGTTAACGAGGACATCGATATGCTCCTCGTACGAGAGCACCTCCTTCGCTGCTTTCCGAATCTGCGTTTGGGAGTTGAGATCGAGCTCGAGGATGCGAGTGACGACTGATGGAGCTATACTTTGTATCTGTTGAGCTGTTTCCTCGGCTTTGGATGTGTCTCTTGCTGCGAGTATGATCACTGAGGGTCTGTATGGAGCGATGATGGTTGCGAATCCAGCACCCAGCCCGCCGGATGTGACGCCAGTGATAAGAACGGTTTTGTTTTCGATTGAGGAGCGACAGTCCGAGGCGACTTGCTCTCCTGTTGTGTACCTATTATAATCTGACATGTTGAATCAAGGGGTAACTTGACAGATAATCTTTATGTTTTTGTGCTTGCTTTCCAAACGGTGGCTGCGGGTGGGCGATATATAGTCGAAGAGACTGGACAGTATATGCACTGTCCAAAAGATAATCACATCCACAGCCATGGACTTAATACGGAAATTAGAGGAAAATCCGCAATTTACGTTTCGAACATTCTTCGCCATGCCTGATGAATGAGGGCGTGGACTAGAAAATGACAGGAGGGTCGATGAGTTACCCGATTCGGATGAATTTATTATTGACTGGCAAACCAATCGGGTTAGATCGAGTACTCGGAGATAATTACGTAGATCTCCGGACCTCCGACGCTAAACCCGATCTGCTCGATTTAATTTGCCCAGCAGTTTCCCTTTCTGGCCTTCCCACAAACCCAACTGTCTTCCATCACGACTCGAATTTTCCATCATGACCAACGGGTCGAGTGAGGTAGTGTTTGCGGCTTCGTCATCGCCGACTGACCCCGCTTGCGTGTTTCCCTACGTCGATGGCCTAATCAAAGCTTCAGTTCCAAGGCGAAGAGGGAGGCCTGTAGGATGTAAGTATCCTATTTTTTGGACGGACCTGTGCTCATACTGTAATAGCAAGAAAGAGATCCAATGTACAGACAAGAGTGAAGAAGTATCCGGCTGAGCGAGGGGCTAGATACGGAGACGATGACCAGTTTCAGTTTATCAACCTCAATGCGCAAACCCGCAAGATTGATCAAGGAGCACGTAAGACTATTAGACGAACAGCAATGCTAAGTTACGTACAGGATGTTCCCAAACAAAGTAGGAATATCCCTGGTACCGCGAAAGACGAGATAGCGGTTCTTGAAGAGCCCTTGTTCTCCCAACCATTGCAATTATCGCTTGGTCGTGCGGATCCGTTTAACACGATGCCGATACAGTTCGAGCCTTATATGCATGACCTCTTGGTTTTCTGTGTGTATCCAATCCATCCCTATGAGATCATTCAGCCACTGACTGTCGACCGCAGATAGCACAACTTGTTGGAAAACTCTCTACTCAATCGAAGAAAGGACAGGTTTCAACCCTATGGTAGACTATTGGTTACCACTGGCATTCAACGACGCAGCCCTTTTAAACATCCTGCTAGGATGTGCGGCTTCTTTCAGATTCAGGTCGCAGTTTAGATCAGGATGTCCCATTCTCATTAGACATCTAAATGAGGCTATGAAAATCGTGAACCACAAACTGACAACCACGTTCACGGGTGAGGATGTATCAGACGAGACATTGGCTGTTATTGCCACATTAGCCATGATCCAGGTTTGCTAATCTCAAAAAATCGATATTTCTCGTGGTATGACTAATTAATAATCAGAAAACAATCGGGTCTAGTAACGAATGGAACATTCATATGACAGGATTGAAAAGGCTCGTGGATCTGCGCGGCGGGATGGGTAGTTTGGACGACAAGCCCTTCATCAAAAGTAAAATCCTCCGGTATGCCATCGTCCCTACAGTTGACGAGTTCTCGTCATGTTTAATGCTTCCACATAGTGCGGACCTCTGTGGTTCTGTGGACATCATCACCCGCCAACCTTATTTCAATCCACACTACGAAGAGCTGCCCTTGAACAACCCCCGCTATCTGTCTCTCCCACTGGGGTTTAGGGACCTGGACGTTATATTGGGTCTGGATGAATGTTTGAAAAATATTATCCTAACTCTGCAAGCGACGCTAGAAAACACATCAACACTTCGTTTTACTAGGGACCAAAGTCATGCGGCGCAGATCCGATTTTCACTAACATCTGCTCAATATGCTCTTTTATCCATGCATTGTGGGGATCTAAGCAGTCCTATAAACCGAGCGCAGGAGACATGTCGAGTTGCCGTTTTATTGTTTACGGCGACCGCGTTCAAGGAGTTACCCTCTAGTCTTTTTGGAATATTGAAACGATTGACAGAGCTTCTGGGAGATAGTGAAACCTGCAACTGGCTGACGCCCGCCTTTAAATCATGGGCACTGTGTCTCGCTACGGCCTCTTTGCCATTCGAAGCTCGGGAGTTATCCCTTTCCCTGCTGTCAAGTATTCTTTCTAACATGGGTATCGAGACGGAAGAACAGCTTGCTTTGTTACTGTCTAACTTTCTTCGAGAAGATGCGTCGCACCAGCAATATATGCGCGTGATCAGAGAGGAATGGGAACAACATGGTCGGGCTAAAACATTCGATTTGTCCTAGTCATCGAATCAGACCCGCTCAATCCTCAGAATCTGCTCAATCATCGAATGTTTCCATTTTTGATTCTAGTTCAAAAGCGACTTCATAGGCTTAGGATTGAAGTGTCGTTGAATGTTCTCCATGGTCAACCTCTCAAATCCGATCTCAGTCTCAATCGTCCCCTCTCCGGTGTGCGAAGTCAACCTATCCGCTTTGGTCAGTCAGTTGTTTCAATGCTTCCGTGCAGAAGTGAAGGCGATAGGTCTGGAACATACGTCACGCTGCGCATCACCGCTAGCTTCGGATGAACATAGGGCTCATTGCCATGGACGTCTAACCCCGCAGCCGAAAGGTGACCAGCCTCAAACGCGACAACAAGCGCGTCTTCGTCTACTAGCGATCCTTGGCCAATGTTCACCAGCCTACTCCCCTTTTTGAATCGCCATAATGCTGCCTTGGTGATGATCGATACTGGAAGGGCCGGTGTGGCCACGACAACGCAATCTGCAAGTCCAAGCATATCTTCTAGCTTTTCACAGAATTCGACTTTCAAGGCTTGTTCGTCCTTTGGTTTCTTGCGCTTTATGTCGTGATAATAGATCTTGATGTTGAAACAACCGAATGCTTTTCGCGCAATGGTGCTAGCAACCAATGTCATTCTGAGATTCGGATATTTTTAAATTGGAAGAGAGGAAACCTACGATCCGACATGGCCCAGTCCGATGATCCCGAGCGTCTGTCCGGACGGATTGTATGCCTTGCGAGCCACATTTTCATGCGCATTTCTCCATCGATTTGGATCAACTGAAAGTGCGCCCTCAATGGACCACTGCATATTCCGAAAGACCGAAATGATATGAAAGATAGCCTAGGCGTGTTTTGTCAACTTCTTTCGCCCCCGGCATCCACAAGGCTACATACCATATCCGCTGTTGATTCACTCGCCGCGGCGGCTCCATTGTAATATGACATGGCTGACTTGGTCGTCAATCCTTTCGATTCCAATAATTGAAAGAGACTCTTACACACACCTTGCATTCCCATAACGTTCAAATCAACCCCTTCGTACCCCGATCCCGCACTGGCAAACGCTGAACAAAGAGGCGGCAAAAGGTGAATGAGTGGTGTATTCCACTTTCCCATTTCCCAGCCACTATCGCAGGACGGACGAATAATGCCACGAAAATCGCGCCATCGTTTCTCTTTCAGCGCTTTTATGAATCCTTCTCGCTCTCTCTCCTATTGGATGGGCGGATGACGATGAATTCTTTTTCGAACTTGGCATACAGCTCCGTGTTGTAACAGATTGGGTCGCCTAGATATAAGATGATGTCCCTGTTATCGTCCATTTTTGTGAGCAAAATGAACTAGTTCATTTGCTAAACTTCTGAAGCACAGTTCTCGTGTCGTGTGTCCTTGAAATGGCTTCTTCGTGTCCGTTTCAGCCCGCGTGGGTTATAGCCCCTGACTCTCAGCCCCCAGCCTGCCCGACGGCGCTAAGGCAGCAACAATGCGAAGAACAAAGAACACCTTCCACCCATCGCCCCGTTGGAAACCAGCCAACTGTAGTCATTAGTTAACTAAAAGAACACTCGCTTCCACCACTAACGGAAAGCATAACGCCCGCACGCAGTCTGGCAATGATCGATCTAACAGGATTTGACAAACGTTGTGCTCAATGATGGATGGCGTCTTATTTTAATCGGAATTGCTCGAGAAAAAATTGCTGACCTCTTTCTGATCAATCAAATCTTTTCATTATGTTGTCGTTCCCGCAAGGCTCGATGGCGCCTACCCAGCCTCGTGCTGTTAGTCACCCATTCTCACACCCTTGTCCTGCGACCGCTTTATATTTGGCTCTGACATTCAGTGTCGAGGATAAGAGCCCAATCGACTTTTTCTTTCATTTCACGCATTACCACAGGAATATGATGACCAGCTCGTCCCTCGACCAGTATCAGATCGGCTGGATATGTTCCGACCAGATCGTGGCTGCTGCTGCGCAACAAATGCTAGATGAGGAATATGGTCCACCAGATGAGCAGGAAGATTTAGACACAAACAACTACACGCTTGGTCGCGTAGGTCGGCACCTCGTTGTCATTGTCTGCGTCGGTGGACAAGAGCACGGAACCACACCGGCGACCGCAACTACCATACACATGATGCGAACGTTTCCAGCGCTACGTACCGCCCTGGTTATCAGCATCGGAGGGGCCATTCCATCACCGGAGAACGACATACGCCTTGGTGATATTGTCGTTAGTTATCCGACCGACGCACTTGGTGGGATTTTGCAGTTCGACTTGGGCCGTATCGGCGATAATGGAACGACTCAACATATCGTTTACCGGAATCAAAAAGCTCTGCTTTCCGCGGTGGACCAAATGAGGGCAGCTGCCTTGCGAAATGACCCTCTGTATCCCGTATATATGACCGAAGCAATCCAGCTCACGGCTCGTACGCAACGCAGATTCAAGCACCCCGGTAGGGAACATGACCAGTTGTTTATGGTCCAGCGAGAGCATAGTCCTGCTGGAGCCAACTGTGGCGAGTCCCTATCTGAGGTTCAGCTTGAAAGGGCCCAACGCGAGGACACAGAACCCCAAACGTTTTACGGCACGATTGCTTCGGGAAACGCACTCGTTGAGCATGGCCCCGCGCGAGAGCGACTGGGGAAAGATACAGGTGCCTTATGTTTTGAAAGAGTCTCTGCCGGTGTGGTCCAGGATCTTCCTTGTCTGGCTATTTGTGGTATCTCGAATTATGCGGATTCGCACAAAAATACACAATGGGAAGGATATGCTGCATTAGCAGCCGCTGCTTATGCTAAAGAGTTGCTTGCATACGTTCCTAGCAGACCGGTCCCAAGGCCAAGCATGTTGGCGGCTATCAGTGGTGAGTGGAATACGGCATGCGACTTTTGTTCGTATACTAGCAACGACTAACAGTTTTCTTCCGTAGCGACGGTCTCGAGAGAAGAACAGTCCAGACAGAGTGTGAATGCTGGCCCTAAAACTCAGGATGAAAGGGTCAGGATCACAAAAACACCAACATTTGACTCTGAGATTTGCAATGAGACGGGACGAACGTCACAGCCGAAAGAGCGGCTACTTCATACCCTTTTCGACTGGGTTGAGTAGGAAGAGGTGAAGCTGTCAGCTTATGATAGATCTTTGGTGAACAGTTCAGTACTCAGGTTTCATCAGAGTTACAAATCCTTGAAATCATTATAAACACACTTGAAAAAATCTAGCTCATATTAATCCCAATTAATATAGCGCAGTAATCCATCGTAGTTGGTCACAAGAAACGAGGATAAATCAGAAAACCATAGACATCTTGGAAATAAACTGATATATCATGTGTAAGTTCCTTTATAGCAATCAGCAGCCGTCTGTGCTTGTTGGCTCATTCCGGAAAGATTATGATATCCTGCAAAATCCAGTCAGTAGGTTAAAACGGTCAGGTCCGGCCTAAATACCTGCTGCCAATGGTCCTGCCGCAACAACGGTGTAGAAAGCCACCAGGATGAATGTGCTGAGATATAGAGGGAGGCCAAAGACGCGAGCGAGAGTAATGATAGGAATCGACATGATTATAGCAGAGCTGTACCAAACGATCGGGGAATGCGATGTGAGTTTGGAACTTCTAGGGTTCTTTTCTCGTCTCTTCGTCTTCGACCACGTAGGGGTATCTGTGGGAAAGAGCGACTCGGTTGCTTTTTCCATAGTCATTATGGGCTATAGTTGAGTGGAGAAGTATCAATGGGATCGAATTGATGGACCGGGCTGGAAGATACACAGTATAAGATCGCAGCTGCAATGGCTATTCCAGCGGCCTTGAACTACGAGAATCAGAAGTAGAAGAGAATTAATTAAGTCGGAGAAATTGGTATATCTATCTCGAGCAAAATGTCCACCTGAGATTGACGGACGTCATTTGCGCCGATTGGGGAATGGAATGTTGGGAAAAGCTAAGTTATTACTGTCCGATCCTGTTAAGAAGGGATCTGGTTACGCAAGAGCCGCTTGAAGTATGAAAGTAAGATTGCTAAAGACAGGGAAGGAAATCAGCAAGGAGTTAAACACAGGTTGGGATTGGTTCCGTTTGTGAACCCAATCAAAAAATAAAAAATAAAAAAAAACAAATGAGAGTTGAATTTCCTGTAATGTTGGTACATCGCGAAAAACTCTATATATCTTTACTCCGCTCGAGGAATGTATATATGTGCATGTGAAAAGCCAATTTGACAAGATACTGCTCTCGATGCAAGATAGTCAACATAATGTCACTCGACAAATTGCTGAGACTATCAATGCGAGCAGCAATATTGACCGTTTCTAGGTAGTTCACCTGAGTCCCCTGGCTTCACAGCCACCGCGTAATACTGCAATTCTCATACTGGAAAGTATGTTCCTTGCCGCATTTGAGTGATCATAAATTCCTCCATTGAACGTAGATGTAACATTCTTTCCTAATGCCGAGCGAATCATCAATTCGTCACTAGGATGTTCATAGATGAAACCCGAGAAATCATGAACAACTCCTTCAATAACGGTTAACAATTGACCTTCGCTATTTACTCGATCTTGGAACACATTCCATTCCATGACAGGCAGCTCGGTAAGAGCCTTGCCCCAATCCAGGCTACTTCTCCGTTTGTGTAGTCTTTTGTACATCTACTGAATACGGCCCTTCTCAATCTCGGTTTCCTGAAATCGCTTGAGATTAGACGCTAGTCCGACAGATTCGAAAGTCTTAATGATCCATTTGGTGATGTCAAGCTGATTCCATTCAATACCATTGCGATAATCCGAAGGGAACTCGTGATGAAAATTGTGGTAGCCTTCTCCAAGAGTAATGAGTGCAGTCAAGAAGTGATCGCGCGGAGACCGATGATCGTCAAAATGGCTGATCTCCCAGATAGTGAGTGGGCCAGAGAGTTCACACAATTCTTGGAAAGTTTGCTTTGTTATCAAAAACCCTCCTCCCTGTTAAGGTTTTGCAAAACAGTAATTTATCCCAACGCTATCCCTTATTTTGCCCTTCTTTGACTGAAGTTTGTCCGACATTTTAGAGAGCCAAGATGACGAAACTTCTTTCCTTATCTGGCTATTGGCATTGCTCAATTATAACTTACCTAGAACGGCATTCAATGCATGCCCTGCGCTCCCAACCGGTCGAAGTAATTTCGGGCTCATGACATCCAAGCTATTATAGAACACATAGGCAGATAATTTATAAGCATAACTAAAGGTTGCGAATCATTGTTGTAGATAATTATTCAGCTCGTATCCAAATCCGACATCCATTATTAAGCCGTCGGGTCGGAGTTGGCAGACACCGAGGTGAAGAGAAAGGAGAAACGAATAGGTTCATCTCGCCCCATAATGGACTCATATTCCCGGTTTCGTAAACAAAATCGCTGTTTCTCTTCACAGAACTCTGAGAAGAACAACTACTTTGAGATTCTACGACAGACCGCGTCTTCTGCCATGGAATCTCAAAGTATCCTCGTGCTTGGCGCGACAGGTAAAGGTTTCCGGTATTCCAGGCCACCTTGACCCTCTTGGTCGCTAGGTATCTCAGTTAAGGGCTAATCTGGAGATTTGCAGGTGGATCAGCTATGAAAGCCCACTCTGTTACAACAGTCGTCTCCTTCCTTGGCGCATACGTCTCCGCGTCAGCCATTGTCACTCGAAATGTTGATACGCCGATAGCCGACTCAATCCCCACGGTCATTCAGACAATGGAGAAGAATAAGATTAAGCGGCTCTTAGCTCTGTCAACGCTGTCATACTGGGTGGAGGGTCGAGATGTCAGTAACCGGAAACTGACGATCTACGGCATGATGCCAAAACTCTTTGCTCCACAGGGAAACGCGGAGATGGTTCGCATAGCGGAGACGGTGATCGAGAAAGCCTCGCACTTAGATTGGACGATCTTTCGCGTTCCGCACCTCACTGACGGGCCAGCTGAGCTTCCGGTCTGGGCTGGTTATGCAGGACCGAATCATAGGGGTGGTTTGAATCTTTCGCGAAAGAGCTTGGCACGATGGGTCTTGGGAGAAATTACACAAGGCGAATGGGTGAAGGGATTACCATTCCTTGGAGTGACACGAGTGACTTTTCATCAAAGTTAAACTCAGAGAGTGGCGACCTGTTTACATGTCAAATTCGGAATCTCAAACCAAGAAAGTTTTCGTACAAGACAGCATATACTTATCCCTCGGACGAAACCTTCATCATAATAGGACTGGAGATTTTCGTATTGTAATTTTTTTTCATGTACTGTTTCCTCTTCTGTATATAATCTAAGTACAATCTTTTTTATGTTACTATTTTTATCAACCTTGTGGCACACCTCCCTTTCTGGGCCTTTCTGCTTTGGACCCCGTGAAAGGCTAACGTTCTTGGAGCGTGCTGCAGCCAATTCTAGCTTAGAATAACTACTAGACGAACAATCACTATTGTTTCATGATATGTTCTTACTGGTACCAAGAGAATATTTATAACCATAACCGCGGCTATTTAGCACGCCTTTCATGTTACCTCTCTGTATGGCGCTGAGATGCCTTCAAAAGAAAGCTCTGGGGTCACAAATCTCGCCAACATCCCGGAGATTACATATTATCCTTGCAAAGTAAAACATACCAGACTGCGGCCCTCAATTCACTCTTTCGAATATTCCTATCTCTGGGTAGCATTCCCAGTTCGGTGGAACAGCAAACCTTCGAGCCATCAACGAATTAGTCATTTGGGCTGCAATGGGATTAGGATTGATGCAGCCGACTATCTACACCGCGATAGAAATTCGACCTTGAATCACAAGCTTGATATTTACTTGAATAAGCAGGTATGTAGCAGAGAGAACTTCAAAGCCTACAGCTTGGCCGAGTCTAATAATGTGGTATCATAGAACATCAGCACTTATGCTTATCCCCATGTTGTTTTGTTGACAGCTCCAAGGGTATTAGGTTACTCATTCAACCCAGCCTCCTTTTGGTATCTGTATTCTCAGAACCTAAGTCTGGCTGCAATCATCGTGGAAGTAAACAACACTTTTGACGAGCGACATTTGTACTTTCTAGAGCCCACGTTGTGCCAGCCAGCAGTCCGTGTGTCAGAGAACAACATGAAGTCAAGTACGGACATGTCAAGCATCAAAGACCCTATGAGATTTCACGCAACATGGAAGAAACAGTTTCACGTGTCTCCATTCAACGACAGAACAGGCACATACTCGTTGACGACAGTCGACCCTTTGGAACCCTGCAGTGATCAAAGAATTAACGCTAGGATAATGCTCACTACGCCGAACGGGGATATAAAGCTAACAGCAACCATACGGTCAACGGGATATTGCATCAAAGCTTCTGACTTACGAAGTACACTTCAACAGACCAGGTTCCTTGTCTTTCATGGCTGGATTGGCTTCTTGACCTTTCCTCGCATTGCTTACCAGGCTGCCAGGTTATATTTTATGAAGAGCCTCAAAGTGTGGACTCTACCGCAACCATTTCCGGGTAGCATAAGTCGCCGAGCCGATGGTACCGAATATCTCTTTGAATTATCTTTCCGAGAATATCTAGAAACCCTTGTGCAAAGGATACCATTCCCACTTGTCGTACGATACGAACCAGCTGGAATATCTGGATTATCCATTATAGAAATGACATCTCCCACCTCTCCTTGTTACATGGGGAATGTGCCTCTCACGAAGATTCGAGTGAAGAGCCCCGAGCTTTTTACCTGTCTCGCCATGAACGAGACAGCCGAAGCTATCTCATTGCTGGAATCGCTTCCAGAGAGTCCCTTAGTTGAGGTGACCGACTTCCATGAACTTCTTTGTGCCTGCCGTCGCAAAATCAACTCGGATGGAAGAGCTAAGACATCAACTCCTACTGCCTACTCATCTTTCTTCTATCCCTTGTTCTGGCTGCGCAAGATCACTAGATCAAATTCGAGCTCAACGCCTGCTCGGTTTGGCATATCAGTATTGGATCAGTACGTGCTGTCGCACTGGTCTATGAAGCTGCAATTCAAATATGGGATAAGGCTGGCATTCGCACTATTAGCACACCCCGGTATATCTCGTCACTCTCAAGCACTTCACGTCGGAATGTTGCTTTTCTTAGGACCACTGCTATGGGCGATGATCAGGATATTCTGAATAAACTATCTGTTGTGGTGCGGTTTGTTTGAATGCTATTTTGAGTAGGCATTTATACATTATCAACAGGGGTTTCAATTATTATATAATGTGTATTGTTCTCAAAACAACCAAAATACTGTAGTAGCTTTTTTTAAGTGGTAAAGTAAGGACGCAATTGACCAGTTGAACTTAAAATCATTGAAGGTACGAGAAAGAACGATCACTCACGGTTGAGACCAGTAGGTACAAAACGCAATAGATAATTCTGATGAATAGTCATGACATACGGCCTAAACAGTTGTGCTCCAACTCCTTGCATTCCCTTGGCCCGACTCGTGGCTTTTTGGAAGGTTTACCGATACTAACTATAGATATCTAAGGAGATGCTTAAGAACTCCAGGAAGCTATCAGCCAACCATTCGCAGCGCAAGATAGAATACCAACATATTTGAGGTGGGGAGACTACGTATTGAATTCCTGTTAATTTATAGGTTAACTTTGGACTAACTACTGGTTCGGCATACGTCATTTAAGTCATTGATCTATTAATAGCGAGGTCAGTTTGAAAGCTCCAGGAATGTATGTACATGCACTTGTCAGTTTAGCCCGTACAGCTTGAAGAATGCAGTCAATATTTGCTAGTTTGGGGAACTACGCAGCTCCCTATGTTAGGGATGCTCTCCTCCGAATGCTTGAGAATAACACTCAACATGGAACAATCGAAATTTATCTGAACGATCCAAACAGCTCGCGGAAGGCGAAGACAGTTACATTTGGAGACAGGGATAATCAGCAGTCCGACCAGTTGAAGGCGATGGTGGTTGTCAATGATAACCCTAGTCTTTGGCTGAAGTTGTGTCAAAACCTTGACATCGTGCGTGCTTTCAATCTAATTCGACGCGTTATATCTGACTAGTTGTCTTGCTCCAGGGAGTAGCAGAGGCATACATGCTTCAAAGCATCGAATGTTCTGACCTAGTTTCTCTCTTCAGGGTACGCTTCTTACCCAATTGGATATAACAATCGATACTGACATTGCATGTCTAGATCTACATTCGTAATTGGGCCTCACTGGGAACCGTTAACTCTATGGTCCAGCAGCCGCTGCGCCTCTGGAACCAAGTGACAAAAAGGATCAATGATACAGAGAATGCTCTACAAAACGCCAGCTTCCACTATGACACATCGAATGAGCTTTTCAAGGCTTTTCTCTCTAAAGATATGTGTTACTCGTGTCCTATTTGGAAATCACTCGATGAGCCACTGGAAGCAGCCCAGCGACGGAAAGCCCACAATATTATTGAAAAGGCCGATATCCGCTCCACGGACCATGTCCTTGATATTGGAGGAGGATGGGGCTTCATAGCCATGGAGGCTGTGCGTCTGACAGGTTGCCGAGTGACAGTAGTGACCCTTTCGATCGAGCAAAAATCTCTAGGAGAGGAGCTCATCAAGGCGCAATCATGCGAAAATGAGATTCATTATCGCTTATGCGACTACAGAAAAATCCAACGACCGGAGGACGGGTTTGATAGGATTATTTCCGTTGAAATGATTGAAGCTGTCGGCAAGGAGTACATTGATGAGTTCTTTCGCACTTTGCACAATCTGCTTAATCCGACTGACGGGAGGATCGTCATACAATCCATCACATTCATGGAGAAGGTAGGTATATCCCCAATGACTAGTTTAATTTGTCGCTCTAATGTCAAGTCAGCTCCACTCTCAGCCGAAAACTCTCGATAACTTCCTCGACAAGTACATTTTCCCAGGAGGATATCTACCATGCAACACAGAGCTAGTCAACTCGCTGAGCCGTAGCTCTGAACAGACCTTAGAGCTCGATAGTCTGGAAGAGATCGGGGAGAACTACGTCAAAGCGCTCCGGCTATGGAAGGGAAGTTTTGTCTCCAATTGGCCATCAATCAAGGCATCTTTTCTCCATGAACACGGCCTAAGGCCAGAGGCTGAAATGGAGGCCTTCCGGCGGAGGTGGATTGTAAGTGACTGACCCGGCGCTTGAACAAGCATGTTACTAACACAGTATAATATAGTACTATTTTAGTTACTGCCAAGCTGGCTTCCATGAGGGTATTCTTGGAGATGTCATTCTCGCAGCCAGTAGAAGACCTCGGGTTATGTCAAACTCACCCATACTGTAACGTTGAAAAAGTCATTTTTCCTTTGTTGAATGTATTCTAGGACCACAATTTATTGAGTCCGCACTTAATGGGATTGAATTTGATCTGGTGGCCGGAGTTCCACATTAATCAGGTTAAATTTTTTCTTGCCACATTAAACTCAGCCCATACATGATAAAGCTCTTTCCAGAAATGGAACGGTTTCTCAACTACTTTATCAATTCGACGAATATCCGAATTATTATGTCATAACAATACATAGCCACATTGAATATTTTTCAACGGTTAGGTAAGTCCTCACAGGAGTTTTCATCCGCTTAGTGCTATTTTTCCGCGCTATAGAGAACTTTCTGCCAAACAATTTCCGTGTCTCGCAGTAAATATATCGATTATCATTCTTCTCATGGGATTTGCGAAACGTCAGTCAATGAACACTAACCAACAGCATCAGCTAACCCCAGTATGAAAACTCATAGAAGGTATCCAAGATCAAGGATGAATCATTGAGAGAACATACTAATGAGCTTGTTTTGCAGCAAAAGTGTTGCCATTGTCGGAAGTGGCGCTGCTGGTGTAGCTGCGCTTTGGGCGTTGCACAATCATTCGCCGCACATGGTCGACATATATGAGGCAGACAACCGATTAGGGGGACACAGCAACACAGTAGCATTCAGAAAAGGCAAAGACACAATATATGTTGATACTGGATTCATAGTTCTGAATACAGCCACCTACCGTATGTTGATGTTCTATTTTCGAATCTTCAAAAGGCCAAGCTAACCTCAATCAAAGCTAATTTTATATCCTTCCTCAAGGCAATAAACATTCCCACAGAGAAGTCAGAAATGACTTTCAGTGTTTCGCGAGACTGGGGCCGCTTTGAATGGGCTGGAAATTCCCTGGCATCCGTCTTCGCGCAAAGAAGCAACTTATTCTCCTGGCAAATGTGGCGAATGCTCTTCGACATACTCCGATTCAACTTGTTTGCACTAGACCTTTTACGAGATGAGCAGACATCTCCTATTGATAACCTTAGTGTTGGTCAGTACCTGGATGATGAAGGTTACTCTCCACATTTCAGGGACAATTATCTCATTCCCATGACCGCTGCCATTTGGAGTACGAGTCCAGACAAATGTTTTTCGGATTTCCCTGTGATTACACTAGTCCTGTTTATGTATGCCTATGTGTCAATCCCTCAAACGCCTGTTCCACTGTTGATAACTATTTGCTATAGGTGGAATCATCACTTGATCGATACGTTCTCTGTCCGTCCGCCATGGCTTACGCTTAAAAACAAAGCTCGGTCCTATATAGATGCGGTTCTTGCCGATATTCCTTCCGACCGGGTGCATCTCAACACGCCGATCCGATCAGTCACCAATGATTTATCCGGTCAAGTGTTGCTCACCACTGAACAAGGAGTTAAGAAAAAATATGATCATGCTATTGTAGCAACACACGCACCAGAAGCGCTGTCCCTTATATCTCACTCTGCGACTAACAAGGAACGAGAAATTCTGTCCGAGTTTGAAACGTCTCAGAACACAGCCGTCTTGCACTCAGACACCGCTTTTATGCCGCAGAATCGCAAGACCTGGTCGGCGTGGAACTACCAAACGACCAAGGATTCCACGCAGCCATCTCTTACCTACAACTCGAACATTCTGCAAGGCATCCCAACTTCTAAGTATGGAGATGTACTCGTAACCTTGAACCCTCTCCGGTCTCCAGCTCCAGCAACCGTCCAGGGAACATACTCCTATGCACATCCTCTTCTAACGGCTGGCGCTATGAAGGCCCAGTCCCTACTATCTGGGATACAAGGAACACGCGGAATTAGTTACGCAGGGGGTTGGACAAAATTCGGGTTTCACGAAGATGCTTTCACTAGCGGCTCCAAGGTGGCTGTTGAGCAGCTGGGTGCTAAGCTGCCGTTTAAGCTTGTTGATAGTGAACTCAGCAGAGGCAAGGTACCAGAGTTAACACGGTCGATGGTTTTGTTACGGCTCTGTTTTCAAGTGTTACATTTTGCCTTGACCTGGGTGGTCTGGATCCTGGAAATCTTGGCCTCGAGGGATATTCAAATTGGGAAACGAGTGAAGACACATTGAGATATACAGCAAAGCAGGACGTGTTGAAATGAAGCTTTTATTGATCTATTTGACTGCTAATCCCTGAAATAAACGAAGTTCGGCTGTTAAATTCACGGAAAGACAAAGAGGATCATTCAGAATATTCCGCATTATTTCTAGACTTTCCTACTTCTCAAATAAATATTGGCTGAGGCCCCAGGTCTCACCATCCTCATAAGCAAACAACTCCTCGCATGCCATGAAATACACCTGCCAACGATAATACCACTTTGAAGCATCCTCTTTGCCATACATCGAAACCAAATGCGGCCAGAAATCCTTTCCGTCCCGAAGCCAGTTTTCTAGCCATTGCTGAGTAGAGATCGGTTAGCCGCGGGCGTGGAATGTGGGACGCTACTATTTATTGTGATCATTCTTGGATGGTCACCTTACCTGACAGGCCCTAGCATAATTCTTCCCGGATATCCACCATTGGCGTTTGACACGCAAGTTATCCTGAAAGTAGAGGAAGAGGTCTGCAGATGGCATTGTCCCCCCGGTAAAGAAGTACTTGCTCATCCAACCATCGTCTAGCTCGAAGTGATATGGGGAGTCCTTATGTGATAGGATCTGCACGAAAAGCTTTCCCGACGGTTTCAGAGCGCCTGATACTTTTGCCAGTAACTTCTCATAATTCTTCATGTGCTCAAAGCACTATACATTTAGTTAGTTTCCTTACTCTCTATGCCCCTACAATAGAGGCATGGGGATATGTACTGACTTCAATGGAAATGGCACGATCAAAAGAAGATGCAATGAACTCATGATCTACGACATTGGCGACAACATTAGTAATATTTGCAATTCCCAACTCTTTCGCTCGCTTCGTGATAAAATCTCCCTGAGTTTGTGAGTTTGACAGAGCGGTTACCTGCGCTTTTGGGAACTTCTGCGCTAGATATATGGACACACTACCCCATCCGCAACTACCATGTCGAGACTTAGCACTGTTCAAAAATTTCTCAGTCAGAGAAGCCAGAACTCACCCGATGTCCAAAATTGCCATTCCATCCTCAACATCGGCCCTCTCAACATATAGTTCTAGCATCGCCTCTTCCGCCTCAGCCAGACTAGTCGATGGCTCAGCATACAAAGGGCACGAATATTTTAGTCTAGGGCCTAGAAAGTGGGCGAGGAATTCGGTGCCGACCTCGTAATGCTGGGCGTTCGCGGCTTCCGTCTCGATGGCAATTGGCATCTCTCGCAGGTCTGAGACAAATTTCATTTTTCTCTCGTAAGCAGCTTCTCGAGATGGCGCGGTGATCTCGGCTGCTCTTTGGGCTATTAGTCTTCGAATTCCCATTCGCAGGATAGATCGGGGGAGGTAGCCGCTGTCGATAATCCAGTCTATAGGCTTTGATGTCAGTGAGGAGACGCTACTAGCACTCAGGTGGACTGAGCACTTACCGGTTGACATTCTTTTTGTTTGGTGGTTGTGATAGGTCTATGCAACAATTCGGTCGCCTAGGAAGGGCGTAAGTCTATAGCTTCTAGGTGTTCAGATGCCTGTCCACCACTGAAGAAACACACATCATTAGAGACAACTAAAATTTAAGCTCTCACTCTCCCTGCGAACTTCCTAACAAACACTCGTTTACACGTAAATGACCCTATAACTCAAAACACTTGCGAAAACGGATGGGCGCTTCTCACTCGATTTCCCCATTACAAATAAACCTCGTCCTTACCTACCCGAGATTCCTTTTGGTCGAGGCGCATCGGGCAACCCTTCCATGTCCATTATATCACAAACAAGAATATGCATCTCACAACTTTAACTCTATTTCTTCAGTTACGCGGTAACGCCAGGTAGATGGTCTTGTGATAGTTAACATACCGGCAAGCGAATCCCAAGGCATGTCGGTAGTGGGTCCGAGTGGATCTGGAGTGAACCTTCCTTGCCAAGTCCTGACGTACCGGTCCGTAATGCAATTTTTTTTTTGCAATGCGCATTACAGCGAACAATTGCTTCATTCAATGGTCCACTCGATTTCCGAATTTGGCAATACTCACAAAGGCAGTGGAGATGCAGAGTTGATGCTGGTGGTTTGGGTTGTTGGCTCATCTAAGAAGTCGAAGTTAGTATTTTGTTATCCGCCAATACATGATTCCTGCTGATATATTTTCGAATGAACTAGTCTATAGTGTGTCAATCATGAATATCATGTTGTGGCTTTCAAGGAAATATGGGTGACTATCAATCACATCAATCACAAGTTTAAGATCTTCCTCATATGAACTTTCGCTCTTATGTCGACACCATACGAGAAGATAATGACTTGGTTGAAATCGAGTCGGAAGTCGACCCGTATCTAGAGGTTGGCGCCATCATCCGCAAAGTGTGCGAAACAGATGACAAGGCGCCCCTTTTCAAAAGTCCCCTGGGTAAGCAAGGTCATTAATTTCGAATGCTGGGGGCACCTAACCCCCTCCGCTCTGATTCTACGCAGAGATATGGGCGTCTTGCGCGTCATCTAGGCCTGCCGCCGTCATGCGGGATGAAAGCCATTATTGATAAGGTGCTTTCCGCAAAGCAGTCACCTCCAATTCCCCCTATAGTTGTCGCTTGGGGGCCATGCAAAGAGAACATTCTCCGGAAAGAAGAATTCGATCTTACCCAGCTACCAGCACCATGGCTTCACAGAGCTGATGGGGGCAAATACATTCAAACCTACGGGATGAATATTTTCAAGTCTCCCGACGGGTCGTGAACTAATTGGTCTATCGCACGTGGGATGATCACTGGAGCAGATCAGCTTGGCCTTCTAATAGCAAAGCCACAGCACATCTGGCAGATTCAACAATAGTGGAAGGCCGAGGGGAAGGATATGCCCTGGGCACTAGCCATGGGCGTGCCTCCTGCGGCCATCATGGCTGCCGGCATGCCACTACCGGACGGTTGCAGTGAAGGTGAATATGTCGGGGCTATGACCGGTCATGCTATTGATGTCGTGAAATGCGAGAAAAATGATCTGTTAGTCCCTGCGAACTCTGAGATAGTGTTCGAGGGAACTATCTCGTCTGATCCTGACGACTGTGTATTAGAAGGGCCGTTTGGAGAGATGCATGGGTGAGTCTCTACCCAAGTGCCCTGATTTTGAGTATGTTTAATAATGTCAGATACGTGTACCCTGGCTAGAGTAATAAGAGTCCCTGTGCAAGAGTTGACACCATCACATTTCGAGACAATGCCATATTGCCGGTGTCATGTCCCGGCCGAGTCACAGACGAAACGGTTGGTAGCCCCTCATTCTTAACCTCCCCTAGCCCATGAATACCATATAGCACACGATAGTCGGTCCTCTAGCGGCCGCTGAAATCCGCCAACGATGTCAAAATCACGGGTTTCCTGTTCTTGAAGCGATGACTCCATTCGAGTCTCAAGTTACCTGGGTTGCTCTGCAGATAGATACGGCCCGACTGCGAGCAATGAACACCAACCCTTCCCAGTTTTGTACCTCGCTTGGGGATTTTATTTTCCATCACAGATGCGGTCTTACAATTCACCGAGTCATCCTCGTAGGTGAAGATATAGATGTTTACAACTTCCAGGATGTAATGCGGGATTTTTGCACAAGATGCCGTCCCGGCACTGATGAATACATTTTCGAAGACTGCCTGGCATTCCTACTTATTCCCTATATGGCTCATGGTAATGGGAATCCCGTGAAAGGGGGAAAGGTTTTATCTGATGCACTATTACCGAGTGAATATAAGGATGGTCCGGACTGGGAGACGGGTGACTTTGAACATTCGTACCCAGACGATATTAAAGATAGGGTTAATGCTCGTTGGGAAGAAATGGGGTTCACAATTGAGAATATATATTCAATATAGAGGATGTATGCGTCCGTTCCATGGCCATTTATTCCTCCTCCTTCTCCTTCTCCTCCTCTTCTTCTGCCTCTTCTGTGCTCCAATAGTTCCTCACCTCTACTTCATGGACACAACATAGCCTCTTGCTGAGTGCAGAGAATTCAATCTGGACGGTTTCTATCAGCAATCCGAAGTTAATATTGAAATCCTCGTGGCTGCCCTGTGAATGGAGCTATGAGCAGAATATTCACGGTATAGTAGTATTGGCCTTTCCCCCGCCCCTTTCTCTCCATATCTCTTCCTTTGAATCCTCTTTTTACCTTCTCGCCCTTCTCGATCCACAGATCTTTGGACCCTTCCGTGATACACCTGATCCTAACCGCTACCATTCTTTCTTCGAAGCACCGAATGCTAAGATGATCCCGAGAAGCCATTTGGCTACTGTTTCCATATGCGCAGTGGCCTGTTCCAATCGTCCGTTCACTTATAAAGCTGTAGCAGCGCTACGTGATTCCATTTTCCTCAGACATAATATCGATCTTTCAAGGTATCCTTGAAAGTCGGACATCCTGGAAGATGACAGATCATTCATAGCCCCTGCAGCCCCCGCATGTCTCTAAGTTACGCAGCTACCTGAGCTCATCGGCACATCTTCGTCTGCTTTGCTTTGTTTCATCAAGTTTGGTTAACCATGGGTCAAAGTCTTGCGTCACAGGGGCGCCCTTTAAGCTTGAATTTAACACTGTCGAGCCAAATCGCCCCTCAGCAGGTGCTGATGGCTCTCCCGCACTATCTCGTGGAATGTCTCAGGCGACGAGGCACCATACATTCTGTTCCTCGATGAAGGCACCCGTGGACACTTGCACCTCTGCGTGGCCCTTACCAAGGATTCCACAAGACAGAAGCCAAATCCGCATCAGAGTGCGCAAATCCTGCGTGCAAGACAATGACGTATCCCTAAAACTCGTTCCCCGATGATGTCAAGAGATTCCATCGGCAGCACGAGACAAATGAAAAACCCCCAATGATAGAGAAAGTTCAATGGCTTTCTAGCTCTGCCGAGTCCTTCAGTTGAAGTTGTCAACGACTTCCCTTAAGACACCAACAAACGGAAACCGCTACAGATAACAGGCTTTGCCTCCCAGTTCCATGACTTGGCTTGAAAACTCCCTGATGAGTTGAGCGGCGCACAAATCCAGATCCCGCGGCTCAAGGTCCGAGCCTGCTTTTCTCGCACAATCAAGAGAATCTTACTGCCGAATAAAGCTGTTATCCGATGGCTTCCCACTGGGCTGGGTGTACTTCTTCAGTTGTGGTAGCAGGTATAGGCGCGTGCACCACCTTCAAATTGAAGCAACGTTTAAGTTTGATATTCGTTCCTGTCCTGTTTGTCTGCGTCTATCGCTTACTCAGTTGAATTACTGATACATATGTATTCTTCCATCTCCCTTTGATACTATCACCACCCCCGGGGCTCAAGAGTGCTATCGTTTATGATATTAGCTATTTGATTTTCCTGTCTTTTAAAACGTCTTTGGAATTGTGATGGGTGAAAACTCGAATGTTCAGGACAAGAGCCCGTCTCCCAACACGTTTGCCCTATCCGCGAGAAGATCGCTCTCAGTGGATCTAGATGAGGTGTCTGATGTACAAGGATTGGAAGCCTTCATGAACTCAGGTGCACCCGGAACGGGATTTGAGAGACGTCGGGTTTGGAAGCACTGGTGTGACTGGTACCGACTCGTTCTAGGGAACAAGTGAACTCACCAAATACTACTTTAAGCCACTTACTTACGACTTGCCAAATTACGGGTGTGAATAACTGTTTGCTAATGGTTGTTGAATGTACTACCATCGAACAATGCCCAACTGGGCAAAAGGTGACTGCAAGCGTGCTTCGCCGGGCAGCGACCGAACATATGTGACTAAGTCATGCACTCAAACAGCTTATGCGCTGTGAGGACAAGACCTTGTCGAGCAGGCCCTGGAAACCCTCAACGTGGGCGATCAGCATACCCCACACAGCTTTACCCACAAGCTAAAGCTCACCGGGACACAGTTGTCTCACCATGTCGAGGGGCAAATGGGTATCCAGATCGACCAAATTTTTTCCCTCGGTACAGAGATAGATTTACCAAATTACATCAGAAAAGGAAGCCGATAGGTCATGGATTAATGTACTCTTGAGACCCAGGAAATATCGCAAACTGCGGATAGGGGGGTGTCCGTCAACCTCACGGCTACTTGCAAACGGCCGTTTTGCTTACATAGATCGACCAGACATAATACATGCGACTTTGGGGTATAAACGGCTACCAGAGTTATTTGCACCCAAGAAACGGCTTATAATATCTGATAGCATCAAGGAATATTTCAACAAGATATAATAGTTATTGTTCCGACCCATGGCTTCCAAGCTTGCGGCAGGATGTAGCGTTCCTAGATGCTCCGGATGAATGTGAAAAAAGTGGCAGAGCTTTAATAGTTGATATCCTAGAGGAGTTCTATCCAAAAAGAGATGCGGTCAAACTCAAAGCTCAAATTCCTTGTGATAAGTTGGCCCTATCGGGATTTGAACTATTTATTCCAGAGTTTCCCAAAGAACGCTGTCTGCGTTCGTGGCTAATCACGAAGTCCAAAGCATAATGCGCTTCTTCATATGGATCGGAATAGTTGGCTACATGCGTAGCGATGAAGATGACACCCAGTGTGTCTTTGCTACCCAAGTTCATAAATGGTAAGTAGATGGTCTATACTACTCTATCTTTCTTGCTAATATAGTGAAACAGGTATTGCGCTTGTGTGATTTATTCGCAAATGGATAAATTTCGCCCCTTCCCATACGAATCACCTTAGACATATCTGGTCCCAGACGATACACAAACCGTGACATATCGCCACTGGAAACCCAGTACGAAAACTACCACCGCTATGTTTACGATATCTTGAAGGGTCCTCTGGCTGTATCACCAGAACATAGAAGATCAACCTCGGTGTTAAACCCTATGTCCTTCTTCATAGGCCCATCACACCATGTTAATCTGCAACCTGCGCCACTCTTGACAACCAGCAGCTAAAATTCCGAACTAATTTCCGACCAGCAGGCGGCGGCTAGGAACGCGATTAAGACGACACTCCTGAGAGTTCCGACGAAGCAACCGCTACACCGAGAGCAAATCCGGCGCAGAAACTTCACTGCGAAGATTTGTATTACAACCCATAGTCTGGATTGCTCTACGTTGATAGGCATCAGAGGTTACATGGGACATTTCGGTCGAACTTAAGCATCTAAATTACACCTCTAGCAGGTACCTAGGATAGCGTCGAGCCATTGCATCTTATCGATGATGCAAGCATGCGAGGCGATGCTAATGACTGAATTTGATCAGATATAGATAATAGAAGTCTGCCATCTGGATGAAAACACCGATGTGGCGCCAGGCATAATGTCAATTTACTATCATGACAATAACACCCTGCCCCAATATGCCGCCCTAAACATGGCCATCGGAGCCGGGGAAAAGGCGTCGAAGGAGTGCTAGCCTCGATTTTTCAAAGCGGTTTTCAAATTAGTCAAACTGGATGAGAAGGACGGCGCTAGAATTGGCGCCTACTCCGGAGGCTCAGCCTTCTGGCGTTTAATCCGCGGATGGGACGACTCAGACAATTCCAAGGATCAAGATAGGAGTACAAAACCAAAGCGAGGGAACTCGGGAAAAGCCAGCTCACCAAATTGCAGAACTTCGTTTGATTGGGAGGAGGTTTTCTCGCTAATATCAGCAATTGTGAATGACACTCTCCGAGGAGTGTTGCTGGGCCCTCTTGGGCGGAGGCCGGAAGAGATGACATATGCCAACACCCAGGAACACTCCTATTTTGCAGTACATGAGAACAATTGAAAGTGTTCTCCCGGAAGCCCTCACATACGAAGAGATCCTGACGGCAACTCCACGGCCCTTGCAACTCACCGCAGACCCTTCCGGGGCTCACGGTAAAAGCAAGGAGCCGGTTCGGGGGAACACCGAACCAGAGAAGCACACTGCACATGGACTATCTCCCGGTCCCGCCTTCCCCATTTTTTTATCATCGCTTTACTGCATGTTTTTTTTGTCGGTTTCTACGCGTTCAACTCCATCAATTCAATTATCGTTTTCATCATCTCGTTTCCTCGATTCAGTAGGCCTCCTGATATCCATCCTGAGTAGGCACCGCGGAGGGCCTTTGTAGGGACTGCGACTCAGGAGGATTTCAACACCCAGCCGTTAAGACCAAACCCGAGCACCCCGGTGAGGAGCCCATCTGGGTCAAACGGAGCTCGTGGAAGAATAGCACAATCATCGAGAAACCAAGAACCGTTCGACGAGCGGCTTCTTGATGAGATTCAGGAAGTGAAAGTGCAGATAGGGAGAGCGTTTAGTTCTTTCACCGATATCCTTGATGAACTTGAGGAGAAGCGAAGCAAATTTAGATCGGGGACTGATCCAGACGAGCTCTGGACCGAGGCTCGGCTTTGAGAAGTCTACGAATCAGAATCCATGCAGGGCAGTCCCTCTGCTTTATCTCTTGATGTCGCAGTGAGAATGCGGGACACGTGAATGCAATGATACTTAAAGGGTACGCCGTAGTTATCCATGGTCTTGCAACCGCCTCGGAATTTCAAGAGATAAAAACCAGATATCGAGATTTGGAAAGGCGAAATACGGAAGTCTTAGAAGAGTTAGACCAAGCCTGTACTGTCGCCACTCAAGCTAACGGAAGATGCCTTATATACCGCTTGTATATCCCTTTCCTTTGGCAAGCGGAGATGCGGAGTTCGGCTCTCTCGACCGAAAAGGACTTATTGCTATAAATAAACCAAGACCTACGAATTGGACTCGATATCCTCCAACGGACTCTTTATATCGTCTTTTTATTACACCCTGACCTAAGGCTTTCATTAATTCTTCGTGACAACAAAGAATCGAAATTTGGGGGAACTTAAGTAGACTCTTAGATGAAGAACTGTTCAGATCCCCGACTATCCACCTCGCACATGAGCGGGACAGCGTGTACAACATGCAGACTATGGGCATGCCGGTGATGACCGCTCTGAGCCCCGCGCTATTCCGATCTTACCCCAGGGGCTAGAGACTCGGCGGTGGGCAGTAGGAACGGTATCATGGTCGTTGACACCCGAGTCTGTTCCTCCGCTCGTCACTATCGTGGTCATTGACACCCTTGTCGTCCCTGTTGCCTATCCCTAACCAAGTTGTTGACATCCCCGCCCTCCCTTGTCACTGTCGAGCGGGGCTACGCTCAGCCGGGCCTCGTTCTTATGTGACCCCTTAGCCCTTGTCCTCTCGTTATTCTCTTTCAGCCGTTGATGTCCAGTCGAGCAAGCCGGAGCGGATATTACAAAGCTTCGCCAGTTAGTTTCTTCAACATATAACTCTCTGGTTAGTTCTACAGCTAGGAGAGGAAGCAGGGGTCAATTAAGACTGGGATCCGTGAAATATGGATGCAGGGGAAGCTTCAAAGGATGATGAAATTACTGGAAATAATTATGTGAGATCAGGAGAACAGACGGGGGAAACGGAGAACTGCTTGGCGGAAAGCAACCTCAGGCAGTCAGGCTTCCAGGCAAGCATTTGCTTGAAGAATTAAATACGTCATTAGTATTTATACAGCATGATCTATCGAATATATACACATCACCCATATATATCTCAACCCCGTATCTCAAATACTCCCTAGGTCTAGCACTTCTTGCGCATCTCTATCCCCTTCTTAACCAAAGCCCTCGACTGCAACGCCGTCATCGTCAACCACAACGCCACCTGCAACAGCGTCATGGCCGTAGCCACCCAGCCGATCGCCACGGAGCTCAACGCCGTCGAGATCTTCGCCGTGGCCAACACGAACCCGACATTCGGAAACACCATGCTCCACCAGAGCAATCCAAAACTGGTCTCTTTCTTCCAGAGTGCCTGCAACACGCTAATCATCGACACGCAGAAGAGGAAGAACGCGAGCGTCCAGAGTAGAATGCTCGCGAAGACCGCCACGATAAGCAACACGTCCGCTGTGCGGACGGATGTCGCCTGGGCGATATAATGGTCTGGGAACTTCTCGACAGCCGCGGTGGCCATGCCGATGAACGCGATGATCGTGAAACTGGGCGGGCCGACGGTAATGAACATTTCCGGGCGGTAGTACGCCTCGGGAAGACCTTCGTTGTTGAACTCGATGAGACATTGCGCGAGGACCATGAGAAACATCAGGAAGCCCAGCCCCTGCATCGTCGTCCCGCCGATGAGCATGGGAATGGCGCGCGATGGTGGCTGGCTGTTCGCCAGTGTGCCGGCCAGGGTGCCGGAGAGCATTGGCGGGAAGAATGGCATGATACGAACAATGGCGAAATGCTTGTCGGTACTGACGCCGGAGGAAGGCAGGCGCCAGCCGAGGATGATGGACACGGCCAGTGCGATTCCGGTGTATACCCAGAAGAGGACGTTCATGACAATGGGAAGCCATTCCCCGACATGGGGCGAACCATAGCTGGTGGTATTTATGAGAATGGTTGCGAACGCGAGTAGACAGGTTGGAACGAGAAATAATTCCTGCGGCGCTTTGTAGCGGAAGAATTGAGGGGAGACTGATGGCTCGGTCACTTCGGTCGAGGCTTTGAAAGCCATCAGAGATTCGAACATCATACACAGCGACACGATGGTGAAAATCGTTAGAGAAATCATGAAGACAATGATTCCGATGACGTCGAGGCCGGTAAAACGATTAGGTGTCTGCTTGAGAAGAGCAGCCGTTCCCCCGAAGCTGAGCGCGACCGTGTAGCAGGGCCATGTTATAGAGCTGGTGAACGTCCTCAAGGGGGTCCGAGTGTCTTTTTCATCACCGTTTAAAGGGCTATCCATTGCATTGGCTGTTCCTTTGCCTGCAATTCTCTGGCCAATCAGTCACTGGCGTGGCAGTGGATATCGAATCAAGTCCTGGCCGGGTATGGAGGGGAGGAATGCAGGCGGTATAGATCGAATAGCTGAATATCAATGTGCCAATTCAAGTTCAGCCGTTAAGATCGATCCATCCGATGTTGATCTCGGGTGAGGAACAACGCTGACCAAAGGGAGCCAGTCCAATTTGAGTCCCTCTCCAGATCCCAGCCCGAGGCACAACTCTCAACCCCAACCGGATATTTATGCTTGGCATTTGACCACAAATTGCAGAAACGTCACAGGTCGGCAGTGGAATCGTTGATGCTGGCGGGTCCACCCGGGCTCCACCCGGGCTGGTTATGAGGTCAGAATTGCGCAATAATCAAGGAACAGGAAAGTTGGCTCAGGCATTTGGAACAAATCAATGTCTACCAGCGGGGATACTTGGTGGCCGTTGGTTCATGAATGAATGTTCTTTCTGCCCTTTGCTGCCAGCGCAAGGCCATGCATGACGATCGGATACCGGCTGCCCTATGACTTCCCTATTCTTCGAGCTTAGTGGCGTCTGTGGCTGTGTAGAGGGAACAATGCATGGAATGGCCATCATGGTGATCAAATGAAAAGATCATCCGAGGGGTTGCATGGATGGATGTTTAGCAGATGGCCTCAGGCATTCAACAGTCTCGGGAACGAGTCACTCCCAACAGAAAGTTGTGATCAACGACATAACCCGCTCAAACATTGGTGGTGAGCAGGGATTATGAAATTTAGCCGTGATTGTGGTGGCGGCGATACGGTTCCCTTGTGAATTGTTTGAACTATTGACCGTGATGAGTACCAAAGACGGTAAGATAAATATATTGGGTGGAGCGGTTGCACTGCTCCCGCAACACGTGCTTTCAAGACGGCTCGCTTAACGATAGAAAGAGACGCTAGAAGCTAGATAATAACTTTTACAAAAGAAATACTATATGCAAGATCATTTCGACGACCCGCATCGACGATGAGATGAGATGAAATGAGAGTTCAACAATTGCCAGCCCCCCCTCACTCCGGAGCACTCAACAATCCATCGAACCTGAAAGCACCTCCTATTTGCGAAATCAGACACATCGCCTCACCCTGTTGCTTCGCGTCTAAGCTATACAACAGCACGGCTTTCAAAGGCGCAATCGAGGACCCGAAGCAGTATACATCTCGTAAGTTCACGACGGCAGCCGTGGCACCAATTATGACCTCGCAATGAAGCTGAATGAGAGTGTAGTTGCGCTCCTTCGGTTGTTCGGAATAAGCAAGGGTCAGAACGCAGACAAGGCTCCAGAGAGCCTTAACGAGGAAGATGTCCGATTCAGTGACATCGTCAGAGACGGGAATTGCGTAGAGAATGTCATTTTGCGGGCAGGTAGGAGGATATGTGAATTGAATCGATGGAAATTCCGAGCGAAGCGTGTGTGAGATATGTCTTAGACGACGTCTGATTTGATCGATGTGGTCTTCCTTATGCTCCCACTCGAAAGGACTCATGCGGGAAGACAGCAGGTCTGGAAGATCGGTCAGGAGCTCAACAAACTCGTCGTGCGTGCTCTTGTCCTTTGCATACAAGAATGGAATGTTGTAGCGGGCGGAAGAGCCGTCCATAAATTGATCGATGTTGTAAGTAAGCTAGCAACCCCGGGTTAGTATTAATACTGGCTGAATGACGGAAATCCCAACTTACCAACAGTCTTTGCACGACCTGAAACAGCTGTCGCAGATACCCAGACTCATAAACCTTGGGGTCAAGCCTGCCCAGCAGCGAGGCCGCCGCGCTGAGATGCTGATAACAGGCATTGGCGTTGGTGGACAGCATCATCTCGGCATACGCAAGAATGACAAAATTGGTGATCTCCTCCGGGCGATCGTATTGCAGGGGGGCATTACGCGAGGCCTGCAGCAGCTTGTTCCGCTGATGCTGGATGCTCACACCGTACCACTTCCTGGCCTCGATCATGGCCGCCTGGTCTCGGTTGAATGTGCCAAAGAACGCCAAGGACACCGCACGGACGCTGGATTGCCAATCACAGCGGCCCTCGGGTTCTCCCATTCCACGACAGAGATAGATCCACAGACTCCGCCGCGTTTTGTTCACCCCGGATCTCTCGAAGAAGGACAGGAAACGGTCGACCATGTGCAGCTGCAGGGTAAGGCTGACGTTGGGCTGGAGGGTTTGGGGCGTGCATAATGGCGGCGACGTCTGCTGCACCTGCAGCTCCTGGGTCTTCATGGGGGCGACCTTGGCCGAGGCGCGTTGAGGGACGACAGTTGACTGATCCGTTTCCCGCTCGTCGATGCGGACATACTTGCTAGACTTCCTCGAATTGACGGCCTGGAGGAAGATTGGGCCACTGGTGGGCCCCGGACATTTATCCCCGCGACGTATACACTGGGAGCATTCAGGGCGTTTTTCGTCACACTAAACGGGAATAAGCGGGGAGGAATCTCCAGATTTAAGTGGGTAGGGGGGAACCAGAGAGGGAGATAATCTGGGCCAAAGGAAGCACCGACCTTGACTTTCCGGTCGCGACATGTCTTGCAGCCTTTGCTTAGCCCGGGATGGCGGGCCATATTGGCTGCGTGGGGGGCATTGAACGGCGAGAAAGGAGTTTTCAAGGAATGGAAGGTGACAGCCACCAAAAGGGGGGGGGATTTCGTGTTGGCCCCGAATTTCCCAGTCGCGCCGCCAATCCCGCCGTCCTCAGGCGGCCAATCACCGGCCCCGGTCCGGTCACTGACTAAGCGTCACCTGACCGGCCCGTGATCCTCTCCGCAAAACTTGCCGCATCCAGCTTAGCGGAGATGCTGCCTGGGGCTGCCTCGCGCAGCCTCGTCTAGCAGCCTCGGGTCTATACCGGTCTATACCACCAGGCATTAAGCACCTCTCGTCCCGGACTGGCCACGGTTTGGACAATCCCAGCCAAACAAGCTCACCCTTGGCACGTCTTGGTCCCTGCTCGCCCGCAACAGTTCATCTAGTTGTGGTCCATGCGTCTGGAGACCATCTCTCGTCAGAACGTTATTACTACTCCGTCCGGATGGAGTCATAACGAGACCTCATGTCGATCTACCCTACCCGCGGAGAAAGGCACCCGGCTCATTACCTCTTGATCCTCGCCTGATCTCCCGAAATCACCCTGTCCCTGTCATCTCGACTACAACAGGCGATATCAGGCTACCACTCCAGGCCGACTGACACATCGGCCTAAAGCTCCGAGGAAAAACCCCACGGCTCCACCGTGCAAAATGCTTGATCCGAGCACTCTCCCGTCCCGAAGCGGGTCTCTTATCATGATCCGAGTGATAAGCGCACAATTGTTTTTATCTAATTTCTCCTGAGTCGGGTACAGTGGTGAGTTTCGCGGTGGGTATATATATCGGGCGGAAGCCAAGAAATTCATCGGCGTGGCTTGGTTGACAGAACGACGACCGATTGGAAAATGGCGGCAGGAGATCATGGATCAGAGGTTGTTGCGCATGAGCAGCGCACAGATCAAGAATCCAAGGGCCAAGAAACGGTGGTCATCAACAATGAGCTGGAAACCGGTCGCAGGCAATACCGGCCGACGCGATTGCAAAGTAATCTGACTATTCTCAGCTGCGTGAGTCAATCCTCTAAATCTTTCATACCCAGCCGATCTAATGAAATCAGTACATTGCCAACTTCAGTGATGGCTTCCAGAACTCCCTCGCAAATCCCACCAATGTCATTTTCAAGCAGCTACTCGGCCAATCCGGTTACCCTTCCGAAATGCAGACACGGATTAGCAATTCTCTTCTCATAGGTGCCATTCTTGGTGTGGTGGCTCTTGGATACATCTCTGACATGACCTCTCGTCGTGCAGGTCTCTTGTTTACCTCGGGCCTGGTCACCATCGCCACATTAATGTCCGCCCTGGCTCTGCAGGTGCATCCATCGCACAATATGCTGTGGTACTTTGTCATCGTGCGAGGTATCTGTGGATTCGGCGTAGGCGGCGAGTATCCTCCGAGTGCGGCAGCCGGAATAGAAGAGTCAGACGATGTAAGATGCCTCCGAGAGATCTCTGCCCTCGCGCGTGCTAACAGATTTCAGTTCAAACGTCGCTACCGCGGACCGATCTTCGTCTCCTTCACCACGCTGATGGCCACCTCTGCGGCACCCATCCAGATGATCGTGTACCTGGTGTGTCTGAAGGCCAGCAACAACGACCTCCCCGTCACTTTTCACGCCATCTACTCCATCGCCACCATTCTCCCGGCGATCATTCTGGTGCTTCGGTTCTTCATGACCGACTCCACCCTGTTCCACTATTCCAACTTCAAGCGCCAGAAGAAACCTGCTCGATTCTACTGGCTCCTCGTGCGAAGATACTGGCCGCGCCTCTTCACCACGTCCCTCGCTTTCTTCCTCTACGACTTCATCAACTTCCCCAACAGTATCATGTCCAGCACCATCATCTCCTCCCTCGTCAAGGACCGCAACATTCAAACCACCGCCATCTGGCAGGTTATTCTCGCCGCGCTCCCCGTCCCCGGCGTTATCATCGGCGCGTGGCTCACCAACGCGATCGGACGCCGCTATACCGGTCTCGTCGGTTTCGCCGGCTACGTCGTGCTCGGCTTCATCATCGGCGGCACCTTCTCCAAGCTATCACAGCACATGGCCGCCTTCGTGGTACTGTACGGCCTCCTGCAGGCGTTTGGTCACCTCGGCCCCGGTGCAACCATCGGGCTGATCTCCACCGAGTCCTTCCCCACTGCCATGCGCGGCATGGGGTACAGCGTGGCCACGGCGTTTGGTCGTACAGGAGCCGCAGTGGGAACACAGTGCTTCACGCCGTTGCAGGAGTCTGCCGGCAAGAGTGCGACGTTCTATCTTGCCGGCGGGGTGGCGGTGCTGGGCATGATCGTGTATTGGTTTTTGCCGGAGAGCGGAGACTTGAATCTGGAGGAGGATGATCGGGCGTTGGAGGAGTACCTGGCGCAGAATGGTTTTAGCATGGAACGAAAGGCTTGAGGCGATTGTCTTGGGGGCACAGGGGGAGGGTGTGTGAAGTCTGGGTAGGGCTGTGCAGTTCCTGTCCGCAGCGGGGGATATACTTCCAATATACTTCTAGCGGGTCTAGGCCAAATACGGTCGGCCCCACCCATCCACCGCGTACACAAAACAAGCAATTAAGCATTGCAGCAGGTACCTTTTTCCCTCTATACATTTCACCAGGCAGCCACGGTTTCGCCTTTCTTTGTTTGGGGCTTGCCTTTGTCTCGTAGTTGTTGTGGTTTCCGTCGTAGTCCCACGGTAGGTCTCATTAGCGAGGTAGACGAAAGACACTATGAGGCATATTTCCCTTCCCGCTAACAGTCGAACTAGGCAAGTCCACGAGCTGGAAATTACCTTCTGTCATGCGGGAAATACTGCGCGAAGTGAAAATTCCCGGTACCTGGCTCAACCACTATCCGCATCGAGGACAGTGGCAGAGGCGGTTCCGTGAGGCATTTACGGCCTGCAAATAGCCACCCACAGTTGGGACAGGTGCAAGCCCCAAGCGAGCTGACGGCCAGTCTGATCCTCTGGCTGTGATAATTCACGCACCCATCATCCACGCGACGCCATGTGTCCCCCCGTACGACGCACCGTAGCTGTCAGAAATCTATAAGAATGTGAATTATCAACCCGGGAATGATAGGCGTTCCATCCTACCTCTCATTTTCCTTCCTCCTTGTTCCCTTCTCTTTGTCCGGCTGAGCTATACGTGATGGCGGATACCATAGAAGAAACGGATCCCAAGGCCGATCGCGCCCGTCTGCGCTGGCATGCGGTCGATGAGGAGACCGGGAATGATTCCTCCAGGGCGCAGTCAAGACCTAGAAATCTGAACCGCAAAGGGTCGGTCGGGTCGGTTGCATCGCAGTTCTCGATTCGCAGCATGAGTATGAGTCGGCGGACAACGGTCGACCCTTCAGTCACTCTTCCTATTCATTATCGCACGATGTAGGTACCAGAAGGAGGGGTGGAACAAGGAAGCTCTGAAGTATCTGACCTTTTCACAGTTCGTTCGAAATCGACGAAGGCAAGGAACGTCAACGCGCTGAGGCTGCTGAGGCCAAAGATGTCATTGCTGACGGTAACTTCACCCACCGTTTCTATACATTAGCGAAGCTGACCGCGGTGCGATAGACCTTTCGAACCTCGAATGGCATACCCTCTCCCCGACCGAGCTCCAAAAGCGATGGCAAGTCGATATTTCGCAGGGTCTATCCCCCGACGATGCGCAACGCCGCCTAGGCCAGCACGGCAAGAATACAATATCGCATGTCGCACACCCCTGGTTCACCCAGATATTTGGATACTTCTTCAAAGGCTTTGGTGCTATCCTGCTGGTGGGATGTATCTTGGTGTTCGTCTCGTGGAAGCCTCTGGGCCAGCCACCCGCCATCTCAAACCTGGCGCTGGCTATCGTCTTGCTAGCCGTGTTCTTCATCCAGGCGGCCTTTAACGCGTGGCAAGACTGGTCCTCCTCTCGCGTGATGGCCTCTATTACTGCGATGCTTCCTGAAAGCTGTCTGGTCCTGAGAGATGGCTCGCAGACGATGGTTCCAGCTCCCGAGATTGTCCCTGGTGACGTGGTCTACATCAAGGCGGGCAACAAGCTTCCAGCAGACATTCGGTTTCTTGAAGTATCGAATGATGCGTCTTTGGATCGCTCTATCCTGACTGGTATGGACCTTCTAGCACAGTTTTGTTGACCGAACTAATGTCCATAGGTGAATCACTTCCGATCAACGCGACCGTCGATTCTACCGATAACAACTACCTCGAGACACACTGCGTCGGCCTCCAAGGCACCCACTGCGTTTCTGGAAACATTCTTGGAATGGTCGTCTCCACGGGAGATACAACGGTGTTTGGTAAAATTGCAAAACTTACCAACGAACCCAAGAAAGGGTTGAGCACGCTAGAAAAAGAGATTCTGCGCTTCGTTCTCTTCATTGTCCTTATCATGCTGACCATGGTGATCATCGTTATTATCGTCTGGTATGAATTTCCGAACCACCCGACTGATCAATCATTAACGTTCAACAGGTCCACTTGGCTGCGAGAGAAGCATCCTGACTGGATCAACGTGCCCACGTTGATTGTGGACTGCGTCAGCATTGCCATTGCGTTCATTCCAGAGGGACTTCCGATTGCCCTGACAGCTAGCTTGACCATCACAGCAGCACTGATGAGCAAGAACAAGATCCTGTGCAAGTCCCTGAAAACGGTCGAAACTCTAGGAGCCGTCTCCGTGATCTGTTCGGACAAGACGGGCACACTGACTCGGGTATGCTGCTTCCTATCCCGAAAAATTTGACCAAAAGCTAAAACTAGCGACAGAACAAGATGTTTGTCACGGACAGTGCTGTCTCGACGGACCGGTTTGACCCGGAAACTGTCAGGGACATGCTCGGTGTGCAGCACCTCCGGTCGGTCGCTGGTCTCTGCAACGCGGCCGAATTCGATGCCTCCTCCGCGAACCTTCCCATCCCAGCAAGACACGTATATGGAGACGCCACTGACCAAGCCGTTCTACGCTTTTCAGAATCTCTTGGTCCTGTGGATGAGATCCGACAATTGTGGAAAAAGACCTACGAGTTGCCGTTCAATAGCAAGAACAAATTTATGATCCGCACGTTGACTGCGGTCGATCCCAACGGTGTGTCCCTGGCTTTGTCTCCGGAGGAGACATCGCAGTTTAAACGGGAAGACACGTGAGTTACTTGCTGTCCAGGTTCCCTATTCTGCTGCTAAAATCTTCGCAGACTACTCACTATCAAGGGCGCCCCGGACATTTTGATCGAACGTTGTACCCAGATGACTGCTATCGACGGAACCGTGAAGGCCCTAGACTCATCGGCTATGGCATCTGTCAAAGAGCTCAAAGATCGTTGGTCTAGCGAGGGAAAGCGTGTGATTCTCCTAGCTCGCAAGACTCTGCCAGCAGCGGAGATTGGAATATCCCCGTCATCGCGGGACTTTGAGTCAGAGGCTTTCCGCCAGGCCAGCACGGGCTTGACCCTGGTCGGCCTTCTTGGTATTGTCGATCCCCCTAGAGAAGAGATTCCCGACGTCGTCAACACGTTACGAGGAGCAGGCATTCGAATCTTTATGGTGGGTTTCTCAGAATCCTTCAATGCGCTATCGGACTAACCGTATCATAGGTCACCGGTGACTTTGGCCTCACGGCGCTTTCAATTGCACGGCAGTGTGGAATCGTGACGGCCAGAGATGTCGACAACTTCGAAGCCTTGGAAAGGATCCCCGGTGCCAGTCTAACCGAGAAGGATGTGGCTGCATCGTCAGCTATCGTCATAACCGGAACGGAACTCATGAGTCTCAACGATCATCAATGGGACCAACTCTGCCTGTACGAAGAGATTGTCTTTTCACGGACCACTCCGGAACAGAAGCTTCGTATCGTGCGTGAGTTCCGCGCCAGAGATGAGATTGTCGGTATGACTGGAGATGGTGTCAATGATGCCCCATCCCTCAAGGCGGCAGACATCGGTATTGCATTGGGAAGTGGCTCCGACATTGCCATTGAAGCATCCGACATGGTCTTGCTGGACTCATTCTCGGCCATCGTGGAAGCTGTGCAATACGGCCGTGTCGTGTTTGACAATCTGAAAAAGACAATCATCTACTTGCTTCCCGCCGGCTCTTTCTCGGAATTCTGGCCGGTCATGACTAGCGTTGTGTTTGGATTGCCGCAGGTGTTGTCCTCCTTCCTGATGATCATCATCTGGTACGTATAGTCTCGTCGATCAAGTCTGAACCGAAAGGTATGCTAACTCAGATAGCTGCTTCACCGATTGTGCCGCCGCGACTGTGCTCGCATACGAAGCTCCCGAAGCGGATGTCCTCACGCGTCCTCCTCGCAAGCCAAAGAAGGACCGACTCGTCAACTGGAAGTTAATTTTCCATGCCTATGTCGTTCTCGGCATGCTAGAAACTCTGACATCTTTCTCCATGGCCTACTGGTACCTTGAGCGCAACGGAATTCCCTTCTCAGCCCTATGGTTCAAATTCGGCAAAGTCCCTGCAAATATTGATCCGGATTGGTATAACGCGCGTCTGAACGAGGCCAGTTCCGTATACTTCATCAACTTGGTCGTGATGTATGCCATCCTTTCCCGTGCATCCCCTATGCAATATTAACATGTCACAGGCAATGGTTCAATCTGATGGCCGTCCGCACCCGCCGTCTGTCGATCTTCCAGCATCCGCCGGCTTTCAACAAACGCACCCAGAATCTGCTCCTTTTCCCCGCGATTATCTTCGCTCTCTGCATGGCCGTTCTCTGGCTGTATATCCCTCCTCTGCAGGATGTCCTGAATACCACCAGCGTGCCAGCGGAACATTATTTCCTTCCTGCCGCGTTCGGCCTTGGGATTTTGTCGCTTGATGAGCTGAGGAAGGCAGGGGTTAGAAGGTGGCCCGGAGGGTTCTTGGCGAAATGCGCCTGGTAGAATAGGTACTTGACATTGTACAACTCGGTACTACTATTTGCTTGGACAAGATCTAGATAGATTTGAAGGCCGTGGTGTAAAAGGCATGGAGCATTATCTTCAAGGTTATATATATCTCTTGTATCCACTGCTCCAAATATATATCGAAGCTTCCTCAGGTTCATGGAACGACAGAGGCCAAGCATCTAACATTTCATTGACCCCAAAGTCGAGACGGCATGGAGACGCAGGAGGATTGCCGTGTCTAGACCAGTCCACAATCCCAACTAATCTAACTGTTCCTGGATGGGCGGGTCGCGTTCTGCCGCTACTGGCCCACCGCCTTCCCGGGCGCATCGTTCTCGCGCCGAGAATTTGCAGAAAGTAGTTGGGTTCGACGCGCTAAAAGCTGGCATCGACGCACTGGTCTGCCTCAGGCCACAAGGCGGGTGGAATTTGGCCCGTGCACCAAAGTCCACGCGGAATTTACCCTTGTATCTATCTGTCGCCGCGGATATGCAGTAGAAATAAGCCCTTACTACCAAGGGTTGACCCTTTTTAGTGCAGCGGTATTTTTTCCACAGTTCGGAACTCGCCGAGCGCGCCAAGTCAGATTTGCTCTCCAGTATCAGTCACGAGCTGCGGTCCCCGCTCCATGGCGTTTTTGGGACGGCAGAGCTGTTGGCTGAGACGAGTATGAACCCACTGCAATTGGACATGGTGCACACGATTCAATCGTGCGCTAGCACATTGTTCGACTCCATCAACCACCTTCTAGAGTATGCTAATATAAACAATATGCGAAATGGTCGCTCTGTACGGGGATCGCGTTCCTCTGGTGATTGCTTCAACTTGCCGCCGGACAAGGGGCAATTTAAGTATGTACAAGACGACGAAAGGCCAAAGATTCTGGATTCGAATATCCAACTTGATGCCGCGCTGGAAGAGGTTGTAGAGAGTGTCTTTGCCGGTTATGCCTTTCTCAATGGGTCGCGGTCGCCGCTACGGAAATCGTCGACACCGGGTGCGATTGTGTCAGTAATCCCGACACTCGCCACGCAGATATCGACTGGGGTGAAGCTAGTTTTGGACATCAACTATGCCGCGAACTGGAAGCTCCCAACCCGCTTACCCCGGGGACTGGACTCGGCCTGAACGTTACCTACCGGACAGTAGCTGCTCTGGGTGGTGACATTCAAGTTAAATCCCAGAATGGTCTGGGCACTGAAGTTATCACCAGAATCGCTCTTCCGCAGTCTCCCGGGCTTGAATCGGATGGGATTATTCCAGATTCGCTGTCCCCTATTTTCGAGTCAAAGGAGCTCGTGCGTGGTGCATCCATTGGCATCTTGGGATTGGGTCACTCCGAAGAGGATGCAAGGTTACGCTCTTCTACCACCCGAATGTGCCACAAGTGGTTTGATATGAATGTTATTGAAGTGGGCCCGACACAAGGCGATTTCCGGTATTGCGACTTCTATATCACAACGCAAGAACACATGGAATTAGGGAATCTTGGGATCAACGCTATTGCCCGCGGCCCGGCCCAGCGGTTCGCCTCTCCGATCATCACGATCTGCTCGTCACCAGAAGCTGCGCGCAACATGTTCATGGCCAGCAGGGCACGTGGTGATTTAGAAGTTGTGGAGTTCATCAGCCAGCCGTGCGGACCGAGGAAATTGGCCAAGACGCTGAAAATATGCTGTCAGCGCCAGCGTGGTCGACGAGGCCTTTCCACAGCGGAGAATTGAGGATAGTGTCGCTGGAATAGTCGCCGCTGTCGGCTCTGACGTTAAACGCCTCAAGGTCGGCGATCGAGTCTTTGGGTTTGTGTTCCATAATGAGAACTAAAAGGCTCACCAGGTCTATGTTACGGGAGCTAATCATTTGTTTGGCAAGGTGCGTTGCGGACTCTCGCACGTTAGACATGTATATTCTTTTGGGGAGGGATCTAATACATAGTACAGGTTCCAGCTGAAATTCCTCTATCTGCTGCTGCGACGTTGCCCAATAATTTCTGTCCGGCATTTTTTACCCTGTCAGAGAAGCTTCAGATCAACCTGCCTTGGCCACGCCCCATGGACTTCGTGCCTCGGGATCAGGATATCCCCATTCTGATCTGGGGCGCAGGTAGCTCAGTTGGTGGCTATGCGGTCCAGATCCTCAAGCACTGGGGATACCGGAATATGCTAGCTACGGCCTCCCCCAAACATCAAAAACATCTGGAGGATATTGGTGCTACACGCGTTTTTGATTACCGCAGTGCTAAAGTTGTGAGCTCCATCGCTGAGACCCTGGAGTCTGGAACGTCTCCCCACCCATTTCGAGTCTTTGACTATGTGGACTCGAAATTTGGTTCCCTGATTCCGATATCCAAGCTCGCGACGAAGTAGGATCTTGTGACTGAAGTATTTAAGTCAAGATTTCAGTCGTAGGTGACACCTGGGTCTGTTCCAACATGCGCAACGAGTATACTCGCGGAATTAAGTACGGGATTAAATCGGGTTACTCCGGTGGTAAGTGGATCCAACTTGTAAGCAGCTTAAATTGGGGTTTCCAGTGGGCCCAAATAGCACCAAGGGAGGGGTGGCAGTGGAGAAAACTATTGTGTCCGTAGTCATTCTGCCTGTTGAGGTGTTAGCATTCCCGATTATCATGTTCAACTTTCGCCTAAACGTCCCCCCAAAGCACCGAAAATCCATACAAGGCTTCTCCAGAAAGACAGACCCTAAGAAAAAAGAACCAAGCTCGTGACATTCCTACTAAGCCAAACCCATCAACCCTGTCCCCTCCGAACACCCTACATACTCACATTCCATCTCCCCATTCTTCACCACGCTCGTCTCCACCCACAACCCCAAGTTCCCTACGCCAAACATCTCCCCGCCCGGCCCATACGCTCCAAGAAACGTCTTCCGCAGCTTCACATGTCCCAGATTCTGTCGCCCGATCCGCTCCAGGGCCTCCAAGTCTCGGAAATAGAAGAGCTGGATCTTCCTGTTATAGTTCAGAGATGGAATGGTTGTCTCGTGACGGTATTTCTCCGATGATGGATCGTAGCAGAAACGTGTGTTTATGGGTCCTGTGTCTGAGAAGAGGGTTGCTGTGTTACTGTTTGTAGAGAGGAGGAGGTCTTTGAACCATTGTGTTGTTAGGGAGTCGTAGCATTTGAACCATAGGTCTCGTTCGGAGGGCGTTAGTGTTGTGTGGTCTTGGCCTTCCACGACGAAGCAGATGTTATCGGGAATGTTAGTGATGAGGACTCGGCCGGGGTGGGTTTTTGATGGTACTTTTTCATCTGGGATTACGATTCCTTTGGAATGGGAACGGTCCTCGGCTGCTTCGGTCCCGGTACTGTTACTGGTACTCGTCTCATTCGAGCCTGAATACGGACAGCGACGTTCTTTCTCTTGATCTTTACCCAAAGGAAAAGTTGAATTTAACGGATCCTTCTCGACCGTCGTCGCCGTAAGTCTCTGTCGATAACATCCCCAGTAACCCGATTTATCAGCAACCGAGTTGCGCGGCCCCAGGTGACCCATGCCCGCGACCTCGGGACAATTAGTTCCATGTTGCGTGCGACTCGCCGGAAGCGTCATCACCTCGCGCCAGACCCCAGCGTCATCGGGCAAATTGGACCAGAATTGCTGCACGGAGGGACTGAGCCACCATGCTTGGTAGTCCTGGGAGGTGGTCCAGTAGGTGAGCCAGATGCGGGTTTTACCGCATTGCGATTCTCCTTCTCGGGTGGGGAGAGAGGTGGTGTTGTCTTGGACGATGTGGTCTGTGTGCGCGGGGTGGGTGCATAGGAGGTTGTCGAATTGGGTGATCAGGGTTGTTTTTTCCGATGTGGTGGTGGCATCGTCATTGTTGTTGTTGGGGAGTTGGATGCCGAAGAGGGCGTAGACGAAGGGGGAGGTGGTGGAGAGCTGAACGCCGTGCATATTGACAGAGAGACTAGTTGACAGAGTGAGCGAGCGAAGAGGATTCATCTGTAAGGGAGGTGGGAGTTCTGCAATTTAAATCCCAACCGCCCTCCCCCGCCCCCCTCGCCCCCCCCCCTCCCTGTCATGCATGCTCGGCCATAAGCAGACACCTAGTTGGGTGGTCCACTAATCCACTAGCGGGTTAGTGAGTCGTAATTCCTGCAGAGTCATATTAACATGAATACGCTTCGAAATATGATGATCGACTTGAACCTCAATATTCATCGGATATAGTAATACGCTCGAAGGCTGGGCCGTAAGCTGCAAAACCAGTTGCTCCACTCTGCCATGTGACGCTCAACATAGTGCTGACTGGGTGTGCCTGTAGATCCAGATGAGTAGATGACAGATGGAAGATGGAAGAGTGGTCGGGCAAGTCCTCCGAGAACACGAGCGCAGCGACGCGTGACTTCCCTTTCGGCGTCCGAAGTGCGAGGCCTCAGGATCCCACTGTCAACCGGCCTGGGGCATCTTCTTCTCTTTCTCTCTCTTTGTTAGTTGACGCTTCTCCGTATTCCCTCAACTCCATCCCATCCCATCCTTAATCTTCAATTCCATCCAACCCTCCCAGATTAAGTGAAAATCAAGCCAAACCATTTGATATCAAAATAAAAAATGCCTCTTCTCGTCCTCACCAACGCCACCAGCCACCAATCCCGCTCCATCATCTCCGCCATCCAATCCGACCCCTCCCTCAGCAAAGAATACACCATCCGCGGCCTCACGCGCGACCCATCAAGCGCGCGCTCCCAATCCCTCGCCACCAGCACCGGAATCGAGCTCGTCTACGCCGACGTCTCCGATTCAATCTCTCTCCGGACGGCCTTCCAAGACGCAGACATCGTCTTCGCAACGACCATCACCCTCTACGATGGACATACCTACGACCATGAAGTCGAGCATGGGAAGGCCATCGCCGACGCCGCAGTTGCCATGGCCGTGCCGTATCTGATTTATTCCACCTTACCCAGTATTAAGCGTCTTTCGGGCGGTGTGTTGTCTGGAGCGGGCCAGTGGGATGGAAAGAGCGTGGTTGAGGAGTATATTCGGGGTTTACCGATCAAGGCGGCGTTTATTTGTCCCGGGTCGTTTATGGAGAATTTTCATGCGGCGTTGGCGCCGAGACGCGTTCCTCATCATCGTACTCTTGACTATGATCATGCTGATTGTGGTGGCGATGAAGGGGAGTATGCTTTAACTTGCTTTGTATCCCCAACAACCAAGCTCCCTTTGATTGCAGTGGAGTCTGATTTCGGGAAGTGGGTGGCTGCCATGGTCGCTGACTTCGAACGCTTCGAGTACCGTGTGGTTTGTGCGGCGACGAGGATGTATTCGCTTCAGGAGATTGTGGACATTATGAGTACCGTGTCGGGCAAGCGCGTGGTGTATAATCAGGTGGGGAAGGAGGCTTGGGGCGATGCTTTGCCTCCCGCGAGAAGACCGTATATGCTGGATATGATGCAGTGGTTTCAGGATTATGGCTATTTCGGGGAGGGTACGGAGGGAAAGGTTAGAGCTGGGAGGGAGGAGGCGAAGGTCGAGGTTATTGAGCTGGAGGAGTATTTGAGACGGAAGCCGTTGGTTTTGCGGTAGTTTTATTGTAGGATTTGTAGGGATGAGGATACAGATTGACATTCGGATCGATTCAGTGATTATGGTGGTGGTTTGAACAAGAATGAATATCCATTGTTATAATGTCTTAAAAAGAAATGGAAAATGATATTAGATCAACTCATCGCTTCCTCCAGAAACCTCCCAAAGCGCACCATATGCTCCCCTCTCTCCACCATCGAGAAATGATTCACCCCATCCAGCACAGTGACGTGCAAATTCTCCCTCCCTACTAAACTCGCCCACCCATCACCACTAAAGTCCGTTCGATCCGTCATCAACCAAATCATCTCTCGCGGATCATCATCTCGAAGTTCCATCTTCGGCACCCCCTCTCCATGACATACTCCATCCGTTGCATAGATCAGATACGTCGACACGGGGAACCCCAACGTCGAGGCCTGATACGCATCCAGCAAGCGGATAAACGCGTCGAAGTGCGGCCGGAGCCAGTCCGGCGCCGTGCCCCGACCAAAGAGTCCGATCTGCTCGAAAAAGTCATACATTCGGGACGGCGGGTTCTGAAGGCCAATGGGGTTGGGGGCATCGATTAGAATGATTCGACTGGTTTCTTGTCCGGCAGAATGTAGCTGGCGCGCGGCTTCGTAGGCACAAATTCCACCTGCGGACCACCCGGCGAGATGGTATGGGCCGGTGGGTTGGCGGCGTCGGATCTCGAGGAGGTACTTTGTCGTTAAGGATTCGAGGCTGTGGGTCATCTGATGGGGCGTTTTCATGTACGGGCAGTTGAGCGCGTAGGCGGCTGTGTTTGGGACCTTGGGCATGTGTGCGTAAGATGTTGCTGAGCCGGAGCCGTCGGGAAAGAAGAACAGCGTTTTTGAGCTGGTTTTGGGGTTTCCCCAGAGGATAATTGAGGTGGATTGCGGGCCTAGTCCGGGGTCGCAGGAAGGTACAGTGGTTGGGGGTTGCGACGAGGGTAAGCTGGGCGAAGGCGTGTTGAGACCAAGACTTTTGTGCAGTTCGGAGAGATTGTGGCAGTCCGTTAGGGCGGTTGATGAGATTTCAATCTCGAGGGACTCGGCGAGTGTGCTGGCGATCGTGAGCGCAAGTAGTGAATCCACGCCGAGTTCGCTAAACGGGGTGTTGGGGGTGATCTCGCTGATAGATGCACCAGTTTCTGACGCAATGGTCGAGCGCAATAACTGTAAGATAGAGGGAGAACCACCAGCGATTGTTTCGGTATTGCCTGTTAAGTATTCGCACATGGTCTCGGTAGAGGAGGGAGTATTGACAGCTGGCGACACGCACAAGGAGGCAAGGTGGCCGATCAGAGCCTTGGGAGTATGATATTCGCTAAATAGTGAGGATGAGACCTCGATGCCCACTTCTTCTTGGATGCGACCGCATATAGTCAGCGACAGAAGAGAGTCGATACCGTGATTCGTAAACTCGTCCGTTGGAGAGAGGTCTGCTAGAGTAACTCCTGATTCAGCCGCTATAATACTCATGACACGAGTCGCGATGTCTGGTTTCGTTGCCATTTCATGTGCAGGCGAGCGTTGGCTCTGCGTGGCTGGAGGTTGTATACGACGCTCAGAAGCGCCACCCGAAAGAACCTTTTCCAGAGCACGTCGAGGAATGCCTTGGAACTATGCCCGTTAGTTGACAATCATGGTTCGGACAGTCGTACTTACTCGCACGCCCTCATACAAACCAATAACAGTTCCCTCCTCCAAAATGTATGTATCGCCCAGATATGTCGTACCACTCTCGACCTGCATTTTATTATACACCCGGTACTTCTTACCCATGGACAGCGGAACAGGACAGCGCATCCGCTCCCATCCTTGGTTGATGAAGACCTGCGTCTTACCCGGCGAGACATCGCTATTCATAACAAACCCCGCGACATGGCCCAGACTGTCAATCCAACATGGGTTGAATGTAAAACCATTGTCACCTGTTTGGAAGGACACTAAAACAGTAGCTTCACGTTCCTCGGCATCGAAGATCACATCCTGCATGCCTTGATAGTCGGGCCCGTATTCGACCGTTTGCGCAAAAAGCTGGTATGCGAGTTTCCGTTTGACGTGGTGCGCATCGCCTTGATGGGCACTCTCTTGCAATTTGCTGATTCGGCTGTGGATGAGATATGTGTTGCGCTTCCAGTCATTTAACCAGCTGTGCGACTGGGTAATTCGAACGCAGAATGTAGCATGCTCCGTTTCCTTGCCCTTTAGGCCGCTGAAGAGCCGGAACGATACTTGCTCGGCTCGCCAATCCGCCGTTGCGGAGACATAGTAGAGTTGCGATTGAACATCTTGAGAGATGAGCGGGTTTTGTATCTTCATTTCCGCTACGTCCAAGCCTACTGTATCAAGCGTCAGTTTTGCAGCTTGCATCATGTATCTCGTTATGGTGAGAGCGATATCCGGGTATAGAGACTGTTCCGTTAGCAGGCAATAGGCAGTATGTCAAGATAAACCTACTGAAGGACACAGTACCACGCCGTGGACGACGTGGCCGGTTAGAATAGGCGCTAGTCTTGCATCCTGAATATCAGACGCAGCGAGTATGGTGGACGTATCATCACCGTGGGATTCCTCCAGAACCTGTTGAACTGAAGGACTCAAATAAAGTGGCTTGGCCTTCTCGGCTGAAGATCCCCCCTCCCCTTTTGTCAGACAGAAGTCGTTCCGATACTGGATCCAGTAATTTTTCAGATCCCAGGCATACCGCGGCAAGGCCAAAACCTCTTGTTGACGTTCCCACGGGCGATGATATTCCGTCCAGTTTATCTCAACACCGCTGGTATACAAGAGCTCTAGGCCTCCTGTAATGACGGCCCAGGTATCGGTGTCTCTTCGGAGTGACGGTACTGTTAGCATATCCTGACCCAAGATGCCCTTTACCATCCCTGAACAGACAGGATGCGAGCCTAATTCGAGCCATATGGTATTCGCATCAATGAGTTCCGCTCGTGCAGCTTGTACGGCACCTTGGAAGTTGACCGGTAGTCGACATGCCTTGGTCAAGTATTCCCCGTTCAAAGTACTGGTATCCCCTGCTGAGACGACGGATGCAAGCAATGGGGAAATGTATGCAACACGAGGTGGGCGATACCGTATGCGACTGGCAACTACTTCGAATTCTTTCAATACAGGATCAACCTGAGCAGAGTGAAAGGCATAAGGGACGTCGACCATGGTACATGCGACTCGGTGGCTGTCAAGCTTCTGCTTTAGGTCGGACAACTCCTTTAAAGCACCACTCACAACGTTGCTTCCAGGTTGGTTGAAGCAAGCGATCTCGCAAGCATCTAGCTCTGTCTGTATTTCCTGAACTGGCTGCTTGACTGCTAGCATGCCATGTGTCCGTTGACGTGTCTTCTCGACAAACAGCATAGCCCGTGTGCCAACCAGGTATATCACATCACTTGCGGTGAGTACGCCTGCCGCATAAAGAGCGGCATACTCGCCCAGACTGTGGCCGATGGTGGCGATAGGTGAAATTCCGAGAGATGTCCAAAAGTTGTATAAGGCCATTTGGAGGCAAACCAGGCTCAGTTGGTCTGTCACTGGCGACGAATCCTGCGTGATTCCCTGGATTATAGGCAAGAATGGTGGAAAGCCCTGACTTTGGGCGATGGAATCCAAACGCAGGGTGCAATCACGGAACGAAGGGACCGTGTCGAAGAGCTGCTGCCCCATACCGGTGTACACTGTGCCCTGTCCAGTAAAGACCATGACAATTCTCTTTTTTTGGGGAACTGTATACATGGTTGAAACTGTCTGCTGTAGTCTTTCGCGGATAGATACGGCGTCATCACCGGACGACACCAATACCCGAAAGCTGTGATGCATCCGCCTAGCTGTGGTTGTGTATGACAGACTCGACAGCGACACACCTGGATTTTGAGTCAAATACTGAATCATGTTCTCCAGATTACCTTGGAGTGACTTGGCAGTCCTTGCCGTTATAGCCACCACGTGTCGGGTCCGTTTGTCCTCTCCCTGTAGACTTCTCTCCGGTGCATCTTCTACCAAAACTGCCGTGTTCCCCCCAGCCGCACTGAAATTGTTCAGAAAGATGAGCCTCTTCTCTCCTTCTGCCCTGTCCCACTCTGTGACCTTCATGGGAATGTGCACGTTCCTCTCGTCCCAGTCAGTAGGATACGTGTGATTGATCTTGGTCTTGATGCCACAATGCGGTGGAATCGTATTAAACTTCAGCATCAACAACACTTTAATCAATGAGGCTACGCCACTCGCGGACTCGGCGTGACCTATGTTTGCTTTCGCTGCTCCAAGATACAAGCGCTTCTTCCTCGGCTTCTCAGATGCAAACACACTCAAGACGGACTTCATCTCAGTGGCATCGCCAGCTTGAGTCCCGGTCCCGTGCATCTCGACGTATCCGATCTCCCTCGGGTCAACGCCGGTATATCGGAGTATGCGATTGAAAACTGCAATTTGATCGCCTTCGAATGGTCGCGTTATTGAGTCCGTGCGGCCACAATGGTTTGTGTACGTGCCTCGAATCACACCAAAGATGGGGTCGTTGTCAGACAGGGCGTCATCAAGCCGTTTCAGGAGAACACTGCCGACACAGTCAGATCGGCAGTATCCGTCTGCGCCGTCGTCAAATGCGTTGCAGTTTCCTTGTTTCGTTAACGCGGGATGATCAAAGATTCAGGAGATAGATGTACCCTTTGTCGTAAGAAAGTGGCCTCTATCGAGACCCGCAAAATTATCCGGGTTCGTCAGAACATTGACACCACCGGCAAGAGCTGTGTCACATTCTCCGCGCCAGAGGTATGCACATGCTGTTTGAATGGCAGCGAAGCTCGACGAGCATGCCGTATCAATGCTCAGGCTTGGCCCACAAAATCGGAAGAAATAGCTGTGAAGGTTTGGTTATTAAGGACTTAAACAGGTTCAAGAGAAGGTCGGCACCTGATCCTGCCGGACAAAAATGCCCTGTTTCCACCCGGGATGAAATAGGTGTCCACATTTTGACCACTATTCACTTCCCTCCAGTCATCGCTGGTCATACCGTAGAACACACCAATCCGATCCTGCTGGGTGCTGGGGGATGAGTTCGGGACCAGCCCAGCCATTTCCATTGCTTCGTAGGCTGTTGTGAGGGCTAGTCGCTGGGAAGGATCCGTATTCTCAGCTTCTCGAGCGGAAATGTTGAAGAATCGCGCGTCGAAGACACCTGGCTCCTTGATGAAGCAGCCATATTTGATTCGGCTCGTGTTTTTGGTCTTTCCCGTCGCATCGTAATGTTTTTCCCAGGCAAATCTATCTTCTGGGATTGTGCGATGCACATCGCGACCTGCCAGTAGGAGGGACCAAAATTCCTCGTTGGATGCAGAGTCAGGGAAACGACCGGAATAGCCTATGATTGCTATTTTCGAATTGGAGAACTTTCCTGTCGGCTCGCCGTCTGGTTGAGATATCGGAGGGCCGTTATTTATCGAGGTTGTAGCGACATTCAAGGATGGGAGTTGTTGGGCTAGACTGCTGGCAAGAAAGGACCCTCGAAATTGGACGCAATGGAGTGTGCAGGCCGTAAAGCCATACGCAGACAGCTCTTTAGAGAGTCCTGATGCGAGACGGTTCCACTGGATGGGATATGCGAGAGTATCCGTAACTGCTCCGTGGAGAAGACCCTCGAATGTCTGAGAGTCCAAGATCGCTCCAGACGCAGCCGACACTATTGGGAGCCGCTGCGCATACCCTTGCAGGGAGGAATGGTGAAACCCCCCTGTATCAGCACCGCTAAATAAGTGCGGTGCGTGGTAGGGTAGTTCGATAGGTAGCATAGAATGCTTTAATGCTGATGCCAAAAGAAACTGGGGCAGTAAACCGGGCGGGCCGCTTATAGTCACACAATTGCTAATTGAGCTAACGTACAGTTGCATGACACGGGGGAAAGACTACACCATCAGTACTCTGTTGGGCTGTTGAGTGTAATTCTCACCTTCTCCACGTTGAAGTTCTGGACCAAATTATCGGCCACAGACTCGTCAACCCCGACGAGAGCGGACCATGCTTTGTGTTCTTCATCGGTGCCGATGAGATCATCTCGCAGGGTCAATGCACACACTGCCGTCCGCAAGGCGACTAAGACAGCCTCCACCGCGGCAGGGACCAACTCTGTCAGGGTGCGCGAGCTGCTTATGGCTGCAGCGGCAAAGCACCCGGTACAAGCGCCGATGACATAGGTGTTGTCAGTCGGATAAGGGCTGGAGCCATCTCCCAAATGCCTAAAATATCAGATCCCATCATTGGTACCATGTGGAGGAAGCAAGAATTACTTGATAAACAAGCCGATCTGAGTAACGACAACAAAAGCGAACTTCAGTGCCGGACACGCATGAGACTTGTCGTGTTGGGCAAACAGGTCCACCAGAGTGGTGAAACACGGGAACCAGTCTTGCTGGTAGACCGGAAGGTTGGCAACATAGCGACGAAGGTGATACCCAGCTTTGTCGATGAAATCGATCAGAGTGGGATTATCCTTGACCTGAAGAAGATCGTGGAGAGTTGACTCGAAGGGAACGGTTTGGTCCCCGAAGACGAAGACGTTGGCCTGCATGTTTGCGGTGTTTGTTCTGTTTGCGCTGCTCGACATTGGGTCCGTGCGTGAATGCCTAAGGTTTCCACAATGCATACACTTTGACTAAATCGATGGGGTTGTAAGTGACACGGTTGATGAGAGGGAGGCGTACAAATGCTCTGTCTGACATACAGACATTCCGGAGCCCGGGTATTGTCTATATCACAAGATATTCAATGTTACAAGGCCAGTCTCGGAATGCAGCGCCCGTCTGCGTGGGCCGTCGGATCTAGCGGTGGACAAATGTCTCTAGCTGACATGTGAGTAGACATGAGCTTGGGTTATATGACACAGCATATTACTGTGTACATGCCTGGTATATATCCCGTAGCGAACCATTATGATGGTTAAAAATTGGGTGTATCATGCCCTGACTAGGAGTAATGGGAACAATCAATGTCGTTGGCCATATGTTATTTAGGAGATCAGGACATTCTTTTGTCTTCGATCCTTTCAACTCATAAATCATAGTTGTAGTTCTTCAAATTGGACAACCATTCGCGATATTTTTTGGTATACAATTTACCAATTTATCTGATGAGCGACCAGGGGGAACTACATGAAATCATATGTTGATTGGTGGCAAAGAGCAGCCAGAATCACCCTTTCTTAATGTTCAATATCAAGTTTGGTCTTGAATCAGAAAATCAATACACTTATACCACGAACATATTGACTGACAACTAAAGGATAACTCCATCAACGATTAACTTCTCAACCCACCCAGTCAAAAACATCGTCCGCTCAGTGTCCGAAAAATGCTCATGATCAGGACCGATCACCTCCCTGAAGAACGGATCATCCCTAGCTTTCAGATAATCTTGAATGTCACGAAACATAATCTGAACCACGCAGTCATAATCAGCGATTTGCCTGTCAGCCCTAGGTACAGGTCCGAGAAGCTGTGCAGCCATAACTTTGGTCTCGGACGTATTATGAGTCTTTGATGCGGGAAACGTTAGACTTGTTCTTTATTTCTATTCTAGAAGTGACATCTGCAAGATGCATACCATTGTATAACCGACAATTCCAAATCTGGCGATGTGATTCTTGACCACGATGGCGTGGTGGATGCTGAGGTACTCATGGTAGGCATCTTCAGACATACCTTTCTTGCGGTAGGCAAGAACTGTCCAAGCGTATAGGGGAGCCATTATAGCTTGACTTCTGTGTACTACTTTTTTTTGGGGTGCATATGGACTTACGGTGTACTTTATAAATTTTCAAGAACCCCGGAGCCCGGAGCCCGAGAATAGTAACAGCCCCTTTCAGCGCATATTCCCAGGTTGCTGTAATTGTGCTACACCATTTGTCTATTGAGCGCTGATAGAAAAGTTTAATGTTATTCCGACGCGATACTAGATATGTGGTAAAGCTATATTCCATCTTAGTCTCCATGCAACATGAGATACAACAGATGTCCCTAAGCTGACTCTTATCTAGGCATCAGTAACATCCCCCGGCTGCATCCCCTCATGTCCCTCATGGTTATGTCTATCCATAGGCTTAAAGCCTTTCGTAAATACTGCGCTCTGTCGCACTTTCTCCCAGTCATGTAGCATATACCCGTTTTCGACGGAGCAAGTTACCTCCTCCCTACCACGCGGAATCATTTCCGCCTCATAGGCGGTAATTACGTCGTTGAGTGCCGACTTGCCATCAACTACATTCTTGATACCTTCCAAAAGATGCGACACGTCACAGATGCAGTGATTCAAGCCCTGTCCGCGGACTATCTTGTCAGTATATTACGCCTATTCAACGGAGAGACTTACAAGGAGGCATTGGATGCGCGGCATCCCCAACCAGAGTGATTCTCCCGTCTCTGTTATCCCACGGCTGGCTGACCCAGAAACTCAGCTCTGCTTTATTGGCTCGCGTATCATCTGGAAGCCAGACGAATGCGGACCGAGCAGGCTCGGCTAACGTCTGGGCTCTCTGGCGGATCAAACGTAGTCTTTCGGCGTAAGACGACGGTTCGTCTCCATCGATGAACCAAGCCATAGCGAGATGAAAGACCCATGAGGCAGGATTATCCGGCCCGTCTGGCATGCTCGAGACTACTTGCATTAGACAATTTCAAAACATCGTGAAGGAACATACTAGACTGAAAAGCGTGAAACGATCGTTCACTCAAAGCCAGATAGCTCGTCGGGAACCGCTGCCGCAAGAACCGGGCTTTATCAGCGTCATAGGACGCGGTCATATTGGTATGGAAGATTGGAAATCGGGTCACGGCCGCCTTCTCGATACTTTTCATGGCGAACTCCCGTACTGTCGATCGAGGACCATCTGCACCTATGAGTAAGGTTCCGGATACCATGCTCCCGTCTTCGAAAATGGCCACCACGCCGCCTCTCTCGGTAAACGCAACGTCAATTAATTCCTTCCCGTATTCTACGTCTATGCCCTCTGCACATAGTGCGCGCATTCCACTGCGCGGAACTCTCAGTCCCTTTTCGTAGGGAACGGCGACTAGAATGTTCCCCGTCTCTCCGTGGATGATTGGGTATCGTCCACCTGCATCGAGTGGAATGGCAGGGTTGCAGGAGACGTCATTCAGGGCTCGACAGCGCTCTTCGGGAAGTAGGGTCTGCAGACGATCCAGGGCCCAGTGGATGGCCATGGTCCACTCATTGCTGCGGTAATTCAGGGTAACTTCTTTCTCGAAGATCGAGTAGCGGATCCCAGCCTATTGTTTGTTAGTGTAGCTCGCTTTGTCAGAGAAACCTACCTTTTTGAGCGATTGTGCCAGAAGCAGGCCAGTGATTCCAGCGCCGATGATCAGTATGTGGAGGTCTGAATTTGCTGCCATATTGAAAGGTGACTCTGAATAAGGTACTCTAGTTCTGTTTTTCTCGGCCGCGGCCTCAGCTTTCATCTTTCGTCGTTTCTCGTTTTACTCGGGGCTCGGATTCCGAGCACGCGGCCGCTCTAAGCCCTACATACTTCTATTCCGATGTCCTCACTTTGCCACCGGGGAAATGCCATCTTCTCAGTATGCAGATCGTACTGATGTATTTCAGTCCGTGGGATCTAGCTCTTCTGGTCCTTTTTGCCACAGTACGTATCTTTCCCCTCATCAAGCATAGCTAACCCTCCAGTCATGTGCTTTACTCCTTCGTGGGCTCTACAACCTGTACCTCCATCCGCTGCGAGGGTATCCCGGTCCAGCCATCTGGGCAGCCAGTCGTCTTCCCTGGTGTTGGTACCAATTCAACGGGACTCTGAATCAGAGGCTTCTTTCCTTGCATCGCAAACATGGCCAGACTGTCCGAGTCGCCCCGAATGAACTCTCGTTCACGACTGCCGCTGCCTGGAAGACTATATACGGTCCACGCTCTGATGAAATGTCCAAGGACCCTGTATTCTCCCTGCTCACTCCTACCGGTGTGCCGAGTAAGGTTTTCTTTCTTCTGTGTCGAGTATCAACGGGCTAACTAGATTTCCGTAGATATTCTGACAGCTGATCGAGCGACCCATACCAGACACAGGCGCCTTTTCTCCCACGCATTCTCCGAGAAAGCCCTTCGCGAGCAGAACGACATCATCGAATACTATTTAAATCGATTGATGACGCAGTTCTCCAATCTCGCAGATGCAGGACCCATCAATCTTTCCCCATGGTTCACCTATTTTGGTACGTTCATTCCACACCATCCCAATCACTTCAGATCAACTAACGCTGTTCAGCATACGACGTGATCCGGGACCTCTCCTTCGGGGAACCCTGCAGTTGCACGGCAACCGGAATTCCAGACGCATTCGTCTCCTCGCTCCCCGCTATATCCAAAGAACTCATCCTACTCCAAATGCTCAAATACTACAACCTCACATGGCTGCGTCGTCTATTCATACCGCGATCCGTCTCCGGTGCGCGCGCCCGTAACATCACCCAAGTAGTAGACACCGTTACCAGACGCATCGAGCGGCGCACAGACCGCAAGGATTTCCTGCATTATATCCTAGCAGCCATGCAGAGTGATAAAGGCATGACTCTCGACGAGATCAACGTCAATGCGTTCTCGTTCAGCATCGCTGGCTCAGAGGCGACAGCTACCGCGGTCGCAGCGTTCGTGTTTTACATTTGTACTCATCCCCGGGTGTATCGGATACTTGTCGCGGAGATCCGTAGCAACTTTGCGGATGAGGCACAGATTGGGATGGAGACTGTTAATGACCTGACGTATTTGAATGCCGTTCTCACGGAAGTCCTGCGTATTCATCCCCCCGTCGCGATTACCCTTCCTCGTGTGGTTCCTGGTGCGGGCGCCTTCATTGACGGCCACTTCGTTCCGCCCGGTACTTCCGTCGGTATCAATCATTTATCAGCATATCGTGATTCTTGCAACTTCTATCGTCCGGATGGCTTTGTCCCTGGGCGATGGTTGCCTGATAGGCCGGTTGAGTTTGAGACAGACCGTCGGGACGCTTTTCAGCCGTTCTCGTTCGGGCCGAGGAATTGTCTCGGGAGAAATCTGGCGTGGGCGGAGATGCGCATGGTTGCTGTGCGGTTGTTGTTTCGGTTTGATTTGTCCCTGGTGGGTTGTCAGCGGTGGGATGAGCAGATGATTTGGGGGTTTTGGGTGAAGATGCCTTTGTGGGTGGAGTTGTCTAGGGTTTCTGGCGGAGTGGAGTGATATAGTAGTTGCCTTTGACTGTGTTCTGTTTTCTGTGCTGATAATCATAGTTGAAGAATAGAACGAATGTCAAGTCAAGATCTCTTTTCTTCCAGGTAAACTATAAGATCATTCTTCCTAGTGGAGTCGAAGCTCCCCATCAACGAAGGATATAGAAGAAGAGCTAACAAAATAACCAAAATACAGTATGAAAACATACAAAGGCTAAGACATACCAACTTGGATCATAGACAAAGAGGTAGGCAGAGATATATTACCCGAGAAGAGCATTAAAATCATTTCCTCTATTTTTTAGTAACAATCTAGTATATTTAGCTTGTACCGCACTGGCCCAACCAGCTTGGTATTGGCAGAGATGGCGATGAGTTTCTACATAGGGCCGGCCAGGACAGAGCACAAGGACAATGTCACTTCCTGAGCCAAGGACTTCCCGATACGGACTTCCCAGTACGAACTTCCGATACGAACTTCCTGATATGGAGGACCCTCCGGTAGGCATTCCTACCTGAGGCGAAGCCTTAGGCAGTATATAGAGTCCCTGGATCCTCCCCCCTACATAGCCTTTCCTCCCTATGGGAAAATTCCTTGACTACGAGTCATAAACAAACTAGTCTTTTACTAGGCTCCTTTGTAGACCGTCACAGACAACTTCTATCGAATATTATTCGTAAGCAGTCCCTCCAACTATCGCTCCTCTTACGATCCATTTGGAATCCTTGGTAGACAAAGATATTGAAGCACTACGCATCATAGCCAGCTATAGTGTAAAAGACACCACATCTCCCAGAGACTATCCACTAAGCTTAAATCTAGCGGACCCAGAAGGCAATGGGACTCCTTAAAGACTGCCAACCTTGCAGTAAAAGGAAATTGTATCTAGTGTCAGCTTTGCGCCAGAAGATTCGAGGTTTTCTTTGACCTTCTGTTTTCTGTTCTTCTTGAGTCCAATAATTCCTTGAGCTCAACGATTTCGTGTTTGCAGGTCAAGAATAAGACTATACCTGACAAGCAGAACGAAGCAGGCCCAAAAAATGGGAACATTATCTAAAGAATATCGCAGGCGGAATAATATCATCCTTGTCATGTCAGTGCCACTCATTCACCAATTAGGAATAGATCATGGAAAGAGCGTAAAAGCGCGCTCCTGTGCTTTTCTACTGAAAATGAACAGGTTCTTGGTGCTTCTGAGGCCCAGGAAGTGGGTGGAATACGTTTTTTTCATACATATCCGTTCATGATTATTTTAACGCTGATATTTTTTATAGGGGGAATTATCCTTCAGCGTGGCAGCTCTTATCCTAATGTATTCTCGGGGTATTGTTTATTGAGCTGATTTGTTAAAAACCACTATGTGGAACAATCTTCCAGGTATCATATATAACTAGTTAATTACTTTATCAGAAGTCCCTTGGGGGTAGCCAATTACGAGCCCAATCGTCTCCATTAATGCAAGCTCGGGTCAAGTTACACTAACACGAAACAAAAGATGGCCACACCTTAATAAATATCTCCAAGCTCTTTCTCCATGTTACACCCGTCTCTTCCGATCAGCCATCTCACCTAGCTGTTCTTTATGAATAAACAAACTCCTGATTGTCGAATGAAACAAGAAGCCCACCCCTGCAGCACGACACCACCTGCATTCCCACAATGATCTCATCATCAAATCATTTCCTCACTATTAAAGAATCATGGAAGCAAGAATCCAGCCGGGAAAGAATGGTCTCTGCCTGATGCGGGGTTCCCGCCGTGGGTCTTGGCGCCCGCCGGTTTTTCTCTTCTTTCTCCTACAAGGCAGACCGACTCAAGATCGAGATATTTAAATAGCATGGCAACGGCAATTCCGAAAGATGAAAAGACCCTTACAGTAAGGTCTTACTGCTCAGGGTCTGCTCCAGGCACTCATTTTTCCTCTGTCCCTGTAGGGTCAGGTAACTTGGGCCCGGGGAGTTGAAGTATTCATTACCTATCAGTCGATGCCACGGGAGGCTGGGGCTGTCTGTCGGGCGTGATATTTTCTTTACTGTAGGCCAATGAGCGGGGGTCATAGCATTGATGAGCACTTGGTTTTGCTGTTGCCTTTTGCTGGCTATATATAGACGTTAGCGAGCGGTGGTATGTTCCTGGTCTATAATGTTCTCTGGATGTGGGGTACTCCGTAGAGAGTCTTGATTCATGATTCATGTTGAAGAGTTATGCCTGGGTTTTAAATTCTTTGATACCTTTGGGCAATGCCACGAATAATAGTCAGGATGACATCGGAGGATATCCCGCCCAGCCTGTTTCGCTTGGCGATCTTGGCGAGACGAGACTGGATCGAGCTTCCATTATTCAATATTCAGTGTTCAGCCCTGAGAAACTCTAGAAATCCAGAGAGTTGATAATGGACCCGTTGGAGCAGTCTAAACGCCCTACAGATTACCTCTGGGGCCTGGATCCATAACCCAGATCATGACAAAATCCTCCGAATCATTCATGACTTCACCCCATTCATTTCCTGCTTGGCTCGAGGCATCCCCTCAGCCAACCGCAGTAATGCATCTGTCGATCCGTCATCTCATCCCGGATGCCAATTCACTAATCGTCCAGATACTCCGGACCCCCCTGCACGGGGTCCCTTTTCACCTGCGCTGAGTACGTGCTCCGCCACAGACGTCGAGCTAGGGACTTGTTTACTGGGATTAGGACTTAGGGCACTTCCTAGTTTGTCACTCAGACAGGCATCGTCGGACTGGACCTAGTCCCAGTCCAGACGGAATTGCAATGCCTACGGTGACCTCCGTACATTACATATCTAGCATGCTGGGTCCGCTTTGCTCGCCCAGCTTTCCTTGCCTTTTTTTTCTTTCTTGCTCTTCCGCTTCGTTCCGTTGGTTTTGAATCGCACTTTGAATGTGATTTTAATCTCATTCTTCCTGTGTTGTCGATTTGAAATATACTCGTCCATCTGCACTGGATTGTTTGTTAATCTCTCTTGCGATTCTAATTGTAATGTGATGCCACCCGAATGATCTTCTTCCTGTGGTTCGGAATCGCTCTGGCTACCCTGCACTTGAATCCAGGCGTAGCCAGGGCTGACGATAGTTCGAGTTCGAAATGTATATCCCCCCCCCTTCGTTTCCGTCCATCTATCGCATAAACTCCCTCCATAATCCTAAAACGCCAACACATAACCCCCCTTGCGCTCTACCCATCCATTCTATACATCTAACCACCCACTCTACTAAACACCATATAATATAGGCAACGGCGAAATCAAAATAACCCAACAATCCGACGCCGACGCCCTCTCCTCCTGCGACACCATCTCCGGAACACTCCTCATCGCCCCCTCCGCCAGCGGAACCATCTCTCTTCCCAACGTCGAGGAAATCAAAGGTCCCCTGACCATCAAAGACGCAGATGACCTGAACGCCGTCCGCGCTGACGATCTCGAAACCGTGTCCGGCCCTGTCACGGTCGAGAACAATAAGCGGTTGACCAGTCTGAAGTTTGATGGGTTGGGGACGATTGGTGGCGAGTTGAAGATTAGGGGGAATGAAGCTCTTAGGGAGGTCCAGTTGGATGATTTGGAAAGTGTTAATGGGGGAGTTACCGTGGAGGGAGGGTTTACTGGGTATGATTTTCTCTGGTTTCACGTCTTAATTCGAGATGGTGTGAATTGTTATCTGTCGACTACCTACTTTACCTGGCCGACTTATGTGGCTGTCGCTATCTATCCAAGCGCATGCTATCGTCAAGGATGCCACAGACATACACAACACACAACATATCCACCATTCCACCTCTTTCCAACACAGTGTCTACCTAAAACACCCACCCAAACCCCAACATCAAAGCAAAACCACTAACATACAAAACAAAATAGTCTCTCCCTCTCCAACCTCGAAAAAGTCCGCGGCGCCACAAACATCGCTTCCACGGCGAGTGAGTTCTCCTGTTCGAGTCTCAACTCTCTTCATTCCGAAGGCGCGTTCGGTAGCGACTTCAACTGCAAAAATGATGACGACAAGGGAAATGACGGAGGACTTAGCGCTGGCGCAAAAGCCGGGATCGCGATTGGTGTGATTATAGGCGTCTTGGTGATCCTTGTTGGGATTTGGTTTTGTGTCAGAAGACAGAGAAGGCAGAGGAGGGCGCAGAAGGAGGCGATGGCGGGGATTGCGGGTGGTTCTGGCGGTGCTGCTGCTGCTGCCGCCGGGATGAACGGTGGCCCCAGAGGAGGTAGTGGTGGGATCAGCGACGAAGAAAAAGGTACCAGTGAGAATACCACCACGACGTCTATTAGTCCTGTCTCGCCAGATGAGATGACCGCCAACGCGCTATCTATACCCCGGAAACCGCTTTCACCAGCTCCCCAAGAGACAGGCATCGTGTCGATAGCGGGGACGAATTCCGCCAGCGCGTTAGGGACGGGGACGCGCTCAACGTCGCTGCCGTCGGCGTTGGTCGCCGGGGAATCGGATCATCGGTTCTCGACGGTGTCGGCGCTGGGGACGAGCGATCCGTCAGAATCGTTGTTCTTGAGGCCCGTGCCTAGACGCGTGCCGTCGGAGTCGGATGTGCCGATGCTGGATAGTGGTGATGTTCATGAGGCGCCGGTGCAGTCGGCTAGGGAGCTGGATCCGCCGTTTGAGTTGGATGCCGGGCCGGTGAGAGGGACGCATCAGCAGGCGATTAATCATGAATGAACGGGATTGATGATGGCGTGAAGGCGACAGCGCCCTGGACGAAAGGAAGATGACGTGTGATGATTCATTGATAATACCTACCCTTATATAAAGATATACCCCATTGCATCAAGGCAGAAGAATGCAGAAAAAAATCAAGTTAAGTTAGTCGTATACCAAGTCGATTATGATAGGTAAAACAGTTTGCTACTCGTAACCACTTTATATGCCCATCCTGTTCCCATGCCCATTGCCATGATATGATATTATACATCAACAAACATTAAAAGAAGTGAAGAAAAAAGAAGAAAAAGCCATCTATGAGACGTGTCCGACGGCGTTACGTTATACCGTCAGTCCTGATTTGTGCTTGCCGGTATGGACTCGCACTGCCTGCAGTGTCTCGCCCGATGCTAGCGGTCCACACCATCCGTACGTATCGCAGCGGCACTGTTCGAAACGGGGGCAGCTAATGCGGTAGTTAGCATTCAAAAATCCACGTGCGAAGGGAACTCTGAGAGCCACAGGGGCAGGCAGGGGGGCAGGCAACGTACTAAATATCCTCCATTCCAAAAACGACATGCCACACCTTTTCAAACACCCACCCGACGCCAAAACTATCCGTCAACTCCGTCTCCGCCGCCCATTTTAACATGCGCTCGTAATCGTGTCGCGGCCGCTGCAGAATGCGCTCCCGACTCACCGCGAACTGCCCGCAGCAGACATTCCCGATGTGGTCGGGGACCTTCTCCTTCCCGACGTTGAACAGAGTCTGGTACACCTGCGGGAAGAACGCGCGGATGTCGTTCTTGTCGATGTCGATCTGCGTCGGAGACCATGGGTGCACGTTCGTCGGACAGCCTGGGTCGTGCTCGCAGCGCAGGTTGACGTAGCCTTGCGCGTCGACTGCCTCAAGACGCAGATGTCGGAGAGCGGAGCTGGTGCGCGACCCGAACAGGTCGTTGTGCCACTGGTCGCGGTTCGAGTGGATGAAGATCGTGTAGTCGGGCAGATGATCATAGTAGTCGACGACGAAGGATAGGTAGGCGGCGGCTTCGCGGCCGCGCGTGGTTCGGGGGACGATGAGGTGCGGCTCGGGGGTAGCGTCGGTGGTGTAGACGAAGGGGGTGGTTCCGCTGGAGAGAGAAAAAAAAATGCGACGTCAGTATTTTTCAATCGAAAAATGGGAAAGAAAGGAAAGAAAAGAAAGATCCAAAGAACATACTAGTCCCTGCAGTAGTTCAACAGCCAATTCAAATCCTCCGTCTGGGTGGCGGCCAGGACGAGACCGACGCCGGTGGCATTGCTGTAGTTGGTGGTGATTTCGGAAAGTTGTCGCATGACCTCCCCATACACCGGACCAGTGTCTGTAATGGTAATCAATCCCTATCAGCGGTCGGCCAGAAGCACGAGGACGGGTCGAACATACCGGGCTCGGGCTCAAACGATCGGTTCGTGTACATCATGAGCGACAGAATGGAGGTGAAGATCAAGGCGACACATCCTAGCCCAGCAGTCCGGCGGGCAGGCCAACGGAACACCCGCCGTTTCGACATGGTAACGACAGAAAGCGACCCTCGGTGGAGGGGGTGGAGGAGGAGCGGCAAGAAAGAGAAGGGGAGGGCGGAGGGAGAAAAAGGGGGGGAGAGGAGGGAGGAGAGAGGCGAAGAAAAGGCCGACGGGACAGGTGTTATGATAAGTCCAGGGCTGGTAATTGATGCATGGGAGGGCAGAGGAGAGGAGAGAGAGAGAGAGGGAAGGAACAAAGTCGAGTTGAGGTCAGGCCGCGTTATCGGCCATTTTGCCCAGCGAGCACGAATGAATAATAAGAAGGGAATATTCATCAGCCTCATTGGGAATGGGCGGGCCAGGAAATTGTTCCATTTCTTGAATTTTCTTGAATAAAAAAAAGAAAAAAAAAAGAGAAAGTGGAGAAGGAACGCCATGGCCTCGCGTAAGGGGCAAATGGCGGCACGATTTGGGGGACTGCGGTTGGTCTGGATCCGTCTATGATGCCGCATCCGCTCCACTGATCGCCCAAATCCGGCTTAGGCCCCAGCCCTGCATCCGTTCATTCGCCGGAAATTTAACGCTATCCCACGCTAATTCCAGCCCCCCTGGAGGCGCTAGGCCGCCCGGGGATTAGCGGCAGATAAAAGGCCTTGAAAGATCTGGAGTGGTTCGATGCGTAAGATTAAAACGGGGGAAACTTGCCTGGCCCAAGGCGTCGCTGGCGCACGACGTCCGCCCGGCCTACGTAATCCTCCGTCGCCAGGGAGCGTCAACTATCGAATCTCCTTCGCCATGGACTCGACGACTGCTGAAAAAGGGGCGACACGAGCAGCGTGCGGGAGACCATCTGCAGGGCCAAGAACCCAACTGGGCCGCTAGCCCTGTCACCAACAGCAATCGGTCGGTTGCCGATTTGCATGCTGTACTCGCACGCATTACGCAGGAGTAAGGGATGAACACTTCGCACGCACATCGTAGCAGCTCTCCGCAGGTAAACAGACCGATATCCGCAGACACTCGACTACGGTGTGTTCATGAACATCTGACTGTCAGTGTCAGGCCGTCGGAATTCTCTGCTCGGCGGGAAACGGCCAGGGTATGGTAAGGGTCGCCCCGGATAAAGTTTGCAACCCTATCTATATATAGCACACCCCATGCACGATTAGAGAAGGTTCTGACTGTCATACATGAGATTGAGACGAAAGGAACGAGTTCTTAGAAGTCACTATGTCTTGCTTTCGCGAATTACTCTGTATACTGTGTTGCATAACTAAGATCCAAGGTTATAGCTGACGTAACCACCGTGGATCATGTGACCTCTAGGTGGTGAGTGTTTGGGGCACATTGACTCTGTACCTCCATGTCTGAACAGTATTTCAGCGGGTTTTTTTTAATTGTCGCTTATACTATCATCGAGATGCATCAGTTGGAATGAGAATCTTTTTGTGTCTTAAGCGCCCCAAAAGGGCATTGCCGAAGACATATATTTGTCCGCTTGAACACGAGATAAGAGTTGGCGCTTCCAATTTGACGCGCGAGACGAGCTCCATTAAACAGGAATAGACATTGAAAAACGAGAGGCAAGGGTGCTGTACTGTATAATCCAATGAGCTGCATTGAACTATTTGAGAATTTCATGGAATCGGTGAAGATTAGGTCTTCCTCGGTGTTGTATGTATGGAATAGTCATGAAAATGCAAGCGGACCGCGGAACGTTTAGTGGCTTACACCTTAGGCTTTCCAATACATCCATCATTGAACGGGGTGATCGATCTCGTAGCGAGACGCTGTCGATTCAGTATGAAAGCGCCGATCCGTCGCCGATTCCCGATCGTCGTGCAACACCAGTGGGCTGGTTGTGGTTTGAGTCTGCATTCAGCTCGTCTGTCGTAGACTATTCAGACGGATTGAATGTCTTATTCAGTTGTGAAGAGTCTCATTAGATACTCGATATTTTGCGAGCGCAGGCTGGAAGAGCGTGACATACCGAACGGTGGGATGTTCAGAAGCGGACGCGGATCGGGTTATGGCCCTCTGTCGCAGTCATTGGCAGGCATCCCATGACTTTCGATACGTGGCGACCCAATCCGGCGTCGCTGTGCGATGAACTCCGTTGGGTATGGGTTGGGGTTAAAATGTGTTGTCGTGTTGACCACACCATCAACCGGTTAGGACAGTATCTCACCCCCCCCGCGTAGAGTCACTGTAGTTGTCCTTCACATAAGCGCCATTCCCGTCTGTAACCTCCATGTGAATATCGGTCTTCAGCGTGATTCCGTCGGGTTCCTGATTATCTAGCACGATCGCATCCTGGCTGCCTAGTCCCGTTGTGTCTTCTAAGCGTCGGTGCCGGTTGCCCCTGGGCCGATTATGTGGGAGATTGTTTCCGGGAATGGGTGTGTTGCTGGCGTAGTTTTGAGCCTTGGAGGTACCGAAGACGCGCGGTGCGTAGGTTTTGATGAGGACCGAGAGGGAGGGTGCCGAGCCGCAGAAGATGGCTGTCACCGTTAGAACAGTCAGTATAAGCACAGAGAGCCCTACATACCGACGTAGACCTCGATGGTGCACCAATTGAGTGAATCGGCTAGATGATAGAATTGATCTTCATTGCCCTCCAGCTTGAGCACGAAACTGTAGCGAACGCAAGCAGCTACACATTGATTAGCATTAAACCGGACTTGTAGGAGTATTGAGGAAATTCACCTGCAAGAGCAAGAATACCCACGGAAAACACCCCGAAAATCGCAGCCTTTTTACGCTGTAGGAAATGAGCATCTAGTATACCTCCATTGAGGACAGATGAACGTACCAGGGAAATGTGGAGTCGCCACAGCATTGGTATCGGTAAAAGCCAGATCAGGATATCCGTCACGATGTTCAGAATGCCATTGACCTCGTAAAAGTCCTGTTGTGGTCCGGGCGACATGCAATGCCCCGGCTTTTCACCTGTGACATCCCAGAATTTCGACGGCGGAGTGCAGGAGACGATGGACCCGATGGCGCTCGCGAAAGATAATCCCACCACGATGAACATCACGAAAAACACCGACCAATTCATCCAGCGGCGCTGGTCAAGGCGGAGGAAGAACCACAAGAGAGACATTTTCACAAACCCCATGCCAACAGTATAAAGAAGACGAGTGACCCAGATCGACTAGTCATCGGTCAGCAGAGATCAGTAGACGTGAGTGATTAACTTGCCTTGAACAGGGACTCGTAATCCTCCACATTGATGTCGACCACTAGATGCATTGTCAGTTGCAGAAGCTGTAGTCTAGGTTTCGAAGATCGTACGGTGTTTCCCGATGCCGTACTGCGTTCCTGTGGTCTGTTAGCACGATGAGAGACTGAACCCGAAGTGTGAACATACCAATCATGGTGGCAATTGTCAGTCCATATGTTAGGATCTAAGCATATTAGCAGGTCGATACAAGATCAAACCACGACCCAAGAGCTCACAGTTCCCACCACCATCAAGACTGCAACGTAAGATAATCAGCATGACGCGTGCTGGCATTGTTCTGCTGGACCTTACCATCGTCTGTTCCCAGTGCACGCAACATAAAGATGCGGACCCACAATCGCAAAAGGATCACGATCGAAGTAAAGACCATGAAGCCGATGCCAACACCGTAGACGGCAGCCTTCCGAGTAGGAAGCTGGTCACCTCGGGGAACCAGAAGATGAGGATGCATGATGACATCCGTGGCTGCCAAAGGGAATGGATGGGGGGAGAATGAAGGAAAGGAGCGAATGAAATGGGAAGCTCCCCCCTAAGTACGCCTCATGTCGCGTCAAGAATTGGCGATGAATTTGAAATAAGCATGCAGGGCGGCTCATCTCACCTTCACATCCTTGTCGAGCCTGACCACCGGATTCCGATCTGCCCCTGGGAATCGCCTCCATCGCTTGTAGTCAAATCGGATTTGTGCATTTCGCTCGGATGTGTTTTAAATTGCCACCAATGGCATGATGTCTCGCACGTTGGGGGCTAAGGAACTAGATGCAGCGCCTTAGCTAGAGCATGTTGGCGACGAACGAGATCCTCTTCCAACCCACTCTGCTCGCTCGATACTTGCCCTCGATCTTCATGATCAGTAGAGTGATGCATAAGGGACGTGCTTCGAGCACTAATCATGTCTGGCATCGGTAGTGGTGAGTGTTGACCGCGATCGGCGGGTTGATCTACTTGAATCCACGGAAAGCGAGGAGCAGCCCGTTGTTTTGCCCTGCTGCCGCTAGGTCGCATCGGGATAGCTGGGCGAGTCAGGTGCCGTTAACCCAATTTGGCCCGCCCTACGAATGCCTTTGTATTCCGACCGTTTTCTTCTTCTTCGTTCCTCTTTCACTGTCAAGAAAAGGGACCTCAACGGTTTTTGGCAACCTACTTTCGACACCACAATGAAACAGCTATCCAGACCAAGGCAAGGCATCTGCAAGCCCGTGAGGGGATTCTTGTCTAACTTTCACAGTGGAACAGTCGTTGGGGGCCGGATTGATCCCCTGCCATTTAAGCGGAGGTCTCGACCCCACGGGCCCGATAGATCGTGCCTAGCGTCTTGCTCCCTGGACGCTGAGACGTCCGGCTCATCGGGTCAATTCCTATTCCTCCACCATGACAGGGATTAAACGGACGACATGCCTGCTTGGGATTAGCCACAACGACTGACTCCCTTGCTCACTTGTCCGCAGTCTGGTTACCACCTTGAATGATTCAGTCGGATGGCTAGTCTGACCTAACTTGTGGGAGACAGGCAAACCGGTACGAAGCACGGTTCACTGAAGCTGTGCACATGCTCTTCCGCGGTCCGACATTGACCAATGGCACGACTGAGGGGCTACGAACGAGGGGTCCGGCACCTGTCAAGGGTGCGCATATAAATATGGCCCCGCCGTCGTGTGGAGGGCGTTGGCAGTTTCCTGAAACCTCGGCCGAACGATTTTGCATACACTCGCAATCGCAAAGCACATACTCACCATGTCTGATTCGAAAAATGTCGCCCTTGTGTTCGGTGCCAGCGGTATCTCCGGCTGGGCCGTGGCCAAGAACGTCCTCTCATACCCCACGCCTACCACATTCTCGCGTGTGATCGGATTGACGAATCGCCCCAAGACCATTGAGGAGAGCGGTCTTCCCCAGGACCCTCGCTTGGAGTTGCACTCTGGGGTCAACCTGCAGGCAGATTTGCTGAGCGTGATGGCGCAGCTGCAGGAGAAGGTCCCGAACTTGGAAGAGGTCACTCATGTTTACTACTTGGGTGAGTTCACTAGAGAATGAGAGGAATCGGATATCTGGCGATGCTGACAATTGCAGCGTACTCCAATGCCACCGCATACAGTGAGAATGTGATGGAAATTAGAAACATCAACGTTGCGATGACTTACAACGCCGTGCATGCCGTGGACCGACTCTGCAAGAACATGAAGTTTTTCGTTTTGCAGACCGGTACAAACGTATGTTTCCTGCGTTTTCTCAAAAGACCACGAGACAATGTCTAACCCGCAGCAGAACTACGGTGTTGCCGTCTTCCGCTTCCAGGACAAAATCGAAATCAACCCGCCCTTAAAGGAGGACAACCCTCGCATCCCGTCGCCGTGGGGTGATGAGATCTTCTACTACTCGCAGGTGGATCTGATCAAGGAGGCCAACGAAGGAAAATCCTGGAAGTGGTGTGAAGTCCGTCCGGACCAGATCGTTGGTAAGCATGGAAGAAGATCCACTCCAATCTCCTAGTTGGCGTCCGACTAATCCGAATTCGCTTGCATAGGACATGTTCCTAGTCCCACCAGCATGACTTACGTGGAGCCCATGGCGCTCTTCCTGTCACTGTACCGATACGTCAACGGCCCGGGCGCCACCGTCACATTCTTCGGAACGGAAAAGAACTTCCGACACACCTACACAGCCTCTTCGCAGGACATCATCGCGCGATCGGAAATATACCTGTCTGTCGAAAAGCCCGACGAGGCTCACGGAGAAGCCTTCAACACGGCCGATACTGCCAAACCGGGCCCCTGGAGCTACAAGTGGCCCAAGATCTGCGAATATTTCGGTCTGCAGGGTGGTGGTCCGGGCGACAAGCCTTGGAATGATGCCGACAAGTTCTGGTACGAGCACCAGGACGACTATGAGAGAATGTGCAAGGAGTACGGCCTGCGGAAGCGAGACATCCCCCAGGCTACCTGGATCTTCATGAGGGCTGGGTTTACCATGCTGGAGCGGAATCGCGAAATGAGCCTGGATAAGATCCGCAGCTTGGGATTCACGGAAGAGTACCCGGTAGGACACGGGTATTTCCATGTGTTTGACCTTCTGGTCAGCGAGAACATTGTCCCGCCCAAGGAGAAATTGCAATAAGATCGAAAAAATAGTTATGATGAGATTCAATTCTAACAATTTAATACGATTCTTGAACATTTCACCACGAATGAGAACCGCGGTATTCTGGACAGAAGACAGAGCATCAAAAGAGACCCATCACATCAACCAGGTTCAATAGCTTGATTCAAGACCCCATCGACAAAACGTGCAGTCTACATACGACCTGTCTGCTGTCATCAACGACCAACCACACCGCAATCCATGCATAAGGCTCGGTACCTGGTTAAGCCAACCCCTTGCTTCTTTTTCGGCATCGGCTCCAGCCCCTAGGCCCTGCATCAATAGCGCAGCTAAGAATCCCTAGCCACCAATCCCTGCTGGCGCATCCACTCCGTCAGGATTTCGTTCACCTCGGCGGGCTTCTGCCACGGCACCCAGTGTCCTGCCTGGACTTCCTTCATGGTCAGATTCGGCACCGTCTTTTCCATCATGCCAACCATTTGGTCCGAGACGACTGCGTCGGTTGATGCGCGGACGAAGAGAGTCGGGCATTTCAGGACGATGGCGGATGGATTTTCGGCGAAGACTTGCTCGTCGTTGAAGTTGGCTTGGCGTGTGCGGTAGTAGTTGCCTGTGTTGAGGGTTTGTTAGTGTTTGGTCTTTACTCATCGCTCATCATCGTCATCACCGTAATCACCAGGGACGATAACAGATCGGACAATGTGCGCGCATATGTGTGCGTGACAGAACGTGAAAGAGAAAGAGAGGGAAACATACAGGGACCCCTCAGCCCATTCCTCGCATAAACCTCAACATAATAATCCAACTCCTCCGGCGCCAACAACCGTGTATGGTTCAACTGAGTCGCCAACTCCAAATCCACCCCCTTCGTGACATCAATCGCATACTTCCCGTCCGACGTCGTACCGCCGTACAAGGTATTCAAGAACGCGCGGATCCCGGCCTTATCCTTAGCGGAGGACTCGATTATCCCCTCGTCGCTGCCGAACTGCAGTTGGTAGCCCAGCGAGGGGAACATCTTCAGCATCTCTGAGGTTTCGAGCCATTTCGGGGACGGTGGGATGTAGGGGATCGCGAAGGTGAAGAGGTGCGTGACGAAGGTGGGGTGCCAGAGTGCGACGCGGTAGGCGATCACGGCGCCCCTGTTTGGGTTTGTGTTACTTCGTTAGGGAGACTGTTGGTTGTACACGGGATGGGGGGTTTCAGGAGGGGGACGAACCAGTCGTGGCCACCGACGATGAGGTTCTCGCTGCCGAGCTGCTTGGCGAGCTCGACGAAGTCGTCGGCCTGGGACTTGTAGGTGTATGGGGTGAGAGAGTCGGTCGGGGCGTCCTATCGTCTTGATTAGCTTTGAAGCCTGTCATGGCGACCAGACTGGTGGAGTATATCATTACCGATCTTCCGTATCCCATACAGTCAGGACAGATGACTCGGAAGCCGAATTTCAACAGGAGAGGAATCACGCTCTTCCAGGTGACAGCCAGATCGGGGAATCCGTGGATCTGGAACTGTTAGACGCCGGCCGAACAGCTTCAATTAGAGAGAGAGATTGAACAAACCAGGAGAACAGTGCGACTGAATCCACCCTTCGGTTCAGCGAGAAGGTATCCTGAAGACCGATTAACATGAACCATTGATTTCTCCGCAAGAAGGCAAAAGAACATATCATCGTACCATAAGTTTTCCCATTAATAGTCACCTCGCGGCGCTGCACACGCTCATCGTCAACGATATTGATTTTCTCAACGGCCTGGGAGCTCGAAGTAGTAAACATGATGAATCGCGCGATAATCAATCGCAGTATAAACCTAAACCAGAAGCTACTGCGCAAGAACAACGATCAAAAATATTCAAAACAGTCGGTGACGACGGCGGGGTCCAGAGGATAGATAATCAGTCCCGTTCCCTCTCTTGTCTTTGTTCCCTGGTGGGTCTTTGCAAGACAATACAGAAGAATAGTGGAACCTACTAACGAGAATGGAGCAAAGTGGACGAAGATGCCTAGGCCCGAACAGAGGACAGGAATTATTATTTATAATCATGATCAGTTGGATCCCGCGCGGGAAATTGGAATTGTCGCACAAATGTGAATGGTCTGATGTTGTTTATGTTGGGCAAGTGTCATAGACGCATTGTTTGTTCGTACAGAATGGAACCTTATATGGGATAGATGCCTGAGGCAGATATTAGGGCCTGCCTCGGCAAGTCGTACAAGAAGTCGAACGTACCACTTAACGTAATCAACCACCGAACCGCGGATTTTCAACCGAGTTTCCACTCTCTCTATTCAACGAGTCAGATCTTCATTACCATAATGCAATATGCCTCTTTCAAAAGAGTCGCGTCAGAGCGTTCGATATCGCATAGTGTGTTTCGGAGCTCAGTTCGGTTTGGTCGTTCGCCGGTGTGAATAGTGGTAAACTCCATGGTCTGGCGAAGTAGTCAAGTTGTCTTGCACTTGAGGCACACAACGGGGGCCCCAGATCTTGCGCAAAGATTGAGGAGAATGTTGTTCGTGATAGATGGTGGGAGCTGTGGAATGTGTAAAGAAGAGGTGTGTAAAGAAGAGGTGTGGAGAGAAGAGACACAGAGGAGAGATGCAGGACAGAAGAGTGGTCAATAAGTAAGCGATTTCTGTAGAAGATTCCAGTGCCTGTTGCACGACAAAGAAATCTGTCGTTTGCTCGCTACCTGGTATGTGGCAGCCATGAAAAATACATTGATGCAATAGTGTTCCATATGGTACACTATTTGCCTTGGTGTTTGACAGCATTCCCATTGTCTAATCTTTGCAGCGCTCTAATAACTTCATTAGCCATTCATTTGTAATCTATCCAATCCACGATACCCATAAACTCCCCATCTATATAGTATACTCTATGCGAGATCCCAAGTGTCTAGATTTCGTAGCTCGCCCCATTGTTTCTCCAAGTCGCGAACGACCCATGCTGTCCGCCATCCGACCACCTTCTCTGCTCGGGTTAGGAAACCAACCGATCCCCGCTGCTCGACGGGATTACGAAGGCAATGTCCATCTAAATGCGTAAGTAACATGGAAGGAAATAGGAGAAGGAAGTGCATACATCGAACAAGTAGATGGCACGCCATGAAGTATGCGTTCTCGACCGTCTCGTTGGACATAGATAGTCCGATGACTTGAACGATGTGAGAGGCGATCGTGCTCTGATAATATCAATGAATTTGAATCAAGGTAACAAGATAAGGGCTATAGTGGCGGCTTACTTCTCCAATCCGTCGTTGTCGCGCGATGCCAAAATTGCTCACAGTTCCCCAGTGACGATCGGCAGAGGCGAGGAGGATGCAACACGTATGATAGTACTGCAGTCCGACCACTGCGATGGTTAGCTCGGATCTATTGTCTGCTGGAGAAGAACGAACCGGCCGAAGGTGACATCATCCATAGCTCAGGGAACGGTCGGTTCTCCGCTGTATTCGCATCCTTATGGTGCAACGGTTGCCAGCTAATGGGTCTTGTACGATACCAATCTTCAACACTCTCAGACAAACGATTCCATTCACCCTCATCGACGAGACTTCCTGGTCCACGCGAATACAATTGGATGATGCGCGCACAAAGGAAGATAATCACGTTAGCATAAGCGGCATCGTCGCGTCGCCGAAATACGGCAGAGCGTTCGTAATTGCCCAGGTCCAACTGAATGGGCTGATACTGAACAATCGACGCATATATCGCCTGGCGCAGAAATTGCCAACTAACGGCCTCAGCAAGGCCCCCGGAAGACGCGGACTTCGTCATCGTGTTGAGCAGTCGATTAGATCCAAGGAAGTGGCAGTTCTCGTCGTTTTCTCGTTCGAGCTCCTCATATATGCGCAGGATAACGACTGTGATGAGCAGATTGTCATCGTAGGTTTCTTCGGGCTGGGCCAGGGCATCGATAAGAAGCTCCAGACATTGGCCATGGTACTCGGACGCTTCCCAGTCACTAGTGTCGGACATGATCGCATCGAGACGCGCCGAGAGTGCCAAAACAGCTTTAAGGACCATGGGAAACTGGAGCGCCCGACGCGGCACTTCGGTGGTGAAATGCGATCGGAGGTCGCATATATCGGCCTATCGTTGTCAGCATGCGACCAGACAGTGGAATGGTCTATCCAACATACCCACGGAGCGATCTTGTGTATGAACAAACGAAGCAGAAAAGCTTCGCGAGAGTTCATGGATACTGAGCTGGTTGAACGAGGAGTGGATGGGCTCGTCGGCGACGTTGCACTGGTCCATGCACTCGTTGACGGTAGAGGCGAGATCATGCTGGCGATTCCGTGGGGCGAAATGGCGGACGGGGTCGCACGATGCTCCTCCGGTAGGGAGGCCGTCGAGGCCACTGGATGATCGACCGCTCCATTTTCGACAGGGGAACTCATCGTCGCCGGAGGTGGAAAAGCCGGTGGTGCCGAGAATATATCAGACGGAGGTTCCGGAGCATTCTCAATGGGAGGATGCTCGTCATCCTGAGATTCAGGAGCATCGCTTGCTCCATCTGTTGATTCCTCCGCCGATTCATGGACAAAGGTCACTGCAGTCGTCAGTCAAGCCAATGCGTCAGGAAGATTTGGCTATCCTACAAGAGCGAGGAACCTCCACCCACGGCTGCGCCGAATCCCAGTCCAGCTCGAATCTCGACGCAGTGCCTTGGCTTTTGTGGTAAACATGACGGACGGTCTTGAACCGAAATGGCGGATCCAGTCGGCAAACGCGACCTAACCGAGCACATCCATTGCACGAAGGAGCTCCAGCGCGGATAGTACAACGAATATGACGAAGGCGACAACGCTCACATCCTCGTCCGATTCTCATGGCAGTTTGCGAGGCAAATGACGCAGAGCGCTTTGCGTGGCGGAAGAAGTGTGGATGGCACGCAACGGCATGGGTGTTGAGGGGTCAGTTGGGTGGTAATAATCCGACAGAGAGAACTACGGAGACTGTAGACGAGGGAGAAGGGGAATGGGCGAGAGAGGAGAGTCAAGAAGGAAGAAGGAAGAAGGAGAAAGTCCGGGAGTAACTACCTATGGGGAAGAAAATTGGAGACTTCCCCGCAATATGGGGGCTGAGTCAGCGCTGGTCCCACTGCCACTTTAGTTAGTATGTATGTACCACTTTTGTGTACAACTCGGATCTTATGCTCATATCGTCTGGACGCGTCTGGACGAGATCGATGCAGCTAGTCCAGCTGACAAGACGAGGAACGGCAGTACTTTTGCCAGCTGGCTCGGTGTGGGTTGTGAATACTTTCATCTGAATCTGAAGCGTACCCGCGGCTATCTCGGCGGCGATTGAACGTCAGTTGCCGACGATGAGGATCGGCGTGGCCTGGGCTCAGCCACGCTAGACATGAAGTCATGCGGGGTGATATACGTGATTTGCCAGTGGATCTGAGATTTTGAGTATGTCCCAAGCACGTCTATGTGCAATAAATAGGAAACTAAATATTCTAGATAAGCGATCCTGAAAACTAACTAGAAGTCTCTTTTTTTGTTTGTATCTATTTGTTGATTACTAGTGTCATCTGACTTACTTTGACTGACTGAATCCAACGAATATCCAAAGGAGATGGAGGGACAGGCGAGGTGTAGCCTGTAGGCATACCAGGAATTGTTTCTTGTGAATGTAACCATAAGTTACGTCGCCCTATCAGTTGAATCCTCAGCCATCGAAAGACAGAGAGAAGCTTGAGTAAGACCAGGAAATTCTGGGAGAGGTTGTGTCAATAAACATTCCATTACACTGATTTACTTTATCCGCAGCCTGTCCTCCCCGCTATCTTGGCCTTGGGCACCTAGCCGCCCGCGTGCCTTTTGCCCATTTCTCTTTTTGTTTCCTAGCTGTTTACTATCTGAAGTCCTTTCGAATTTACTCGGCAGCCCTCTTATATATAGTGGAAATGTACATTTCTCTATACTCCAATGCCCCCCGCTCCTTTCTCTTTTGCGTCGTCGCTAATGTCGGTCCCCGTGGCACCAGCCGCTCCCTGGCCGTGGCCTACCGCCAGGGCAGAGACAGCAAAATCTTACCGTCATCGTTAGAACGCATGAACAATGTCGTGGCAGACACCCTCGCGCTGATCGAAATTCTCTCCGATCCCGCGAATCGCGCGCCGCTTGAGGCGGAGAGGGCGCTCGCGGAGGACCGGTATCGTCGGTTTCAGAGGGACAGCGAGGACGAGGGTAATTGGCGGCCTAGCGTCCCAGACACATCGCAGCCCCCTTTTGTCGTGCCGGACAGCAGCTACCGGGAGGAGCAGGCACAACCACTGCCCGACCTGCCGTGGCGTGATGACGGGCCCAGGGAGTTCCCTTTTACAACAACCTGTCTTTTGCTAGGGTTGTTGCGCGACGATGGCACGCGCCCCGGCGACATCCAGCTCCAGCCGCTATCCACTGTGTTCCGCGGCGACTGCAACGAGTATGGCCTTATCGTTCTTGACATCTCCGACCTCGACAGCGGCGTCAAGTATGGTATCGTTGCCTTCCCCGTGCGATACATGGCCGAGGTTTTCTGCCACGGCCCTGACTGGGACCCCATCGAAGACCAGCCGCCTGTGAAGGAACCCGACGTTGTGCTTGTCAGCCCGCGGCCTCGAGTGCCGTTGTCTATTGTTCGGTGGATACGCAAGTACTTGCACTGCGGAGACCCGGAAAAGGACCCCAACGTCCTCAAACTGGAGGATAGGCCGGTTGTTGATGGTACAGCCTTAGACTGTACGTCTCTTTCTACGCCACCTGACCGCTTGTATGTGCTGACTTGGGAATGGGAGACATCTGGCCACCGGAGCTTGAAGATGAAGATGAGGCCACAGTTGAAATTCAGGCTAGGCCCCCTTCGCAAGGTGTTATCTCCAGCATCTCCAACTGTCTGTGAACCGGCACTTCCTAATGACTAAACAAATCTACCGCATGTCCTGACTTGCGAAATAGACTTCTGGCCTTCAAAGTCCACTTCCCGGGCCTCATATGCATCGACCACAACAATCTCGCAGTTGACCACGTTAGACGAGCCACTGCGAAAAGCGCACATAAACCGTGCCATCGATAATCTGCTTCTTCTCACACAGCAGCACGGCGACCTCCCCCTCGACAAAAATACCATCGATAACTTCCAACAGCTTGCCGAGTTCCGCGAGCAGGTGCGGCGGCGACTCGAAGAGGTGCCCGACAGGCTAGGCCCGTCCGAGGTCTCGGTCCATATTCTGCGTGTTGCATACGCCGGATGTATGCACCTGAACTGGGTCGCGTTTAGGAACCTTGCGCCCAACATGATCGCTGCCGCCGTTGCATCCGACGAGCTTCGGGGTGCGTCTGCACTTAGCCTCTGCGTCGATCAGTTCAAGCTGGAGAGAGACGAGGGTGACCTCGGTGATCTAGCAGCGGTCCTGGCGCAGTCCACGGCTCTCAAACAGCTTTGTTTCTTGCAGAGACCGGACAGGGACAGTGATGACGCTTCCGCTCATTTCTGCACGCGGCTTTTGCTGCAAGGGAGGTCATCAAGAGACTTGGGGTGGCTCCGCGACAAAACAATCTATCCAACTTTCGCCTTTTCGACACCCTTGCGCAGCCGTAGATTTACATCACCTTCGACAATTAGTGCCTTTTTTACTTTCCCCGTTGTCCAAGTATCTCCCGTAATGCACATATTCACGTTTGTGGGCCAACGCAAAGATGCCGCAGACGCACACCATCACCTTCAAAAAAACCAGAACAGTTACTGCTACTATATCGACATGAGCAACACCTTTCTAGATGCTGAGCGGTTTAGCGTTCGGTTTCTCTCTTACCTCCGTTCCGTGGGTTCGGGTTCTAACAAGGCCGTCTTGCGATTCGCATACGAGGGGACCTCGTCACTCACTACCACCACCGACGGTGTTGACAACTTCCCCCCGCCTTCTGCTTCGTCAGCACTATTCGCTGTTAGTCCCATTCCCGCCGGAATTCTTGGCAGTCACCTCGCAGCGAGAGTCCGAGTCAGAGATATACACCCCGGCAGCTGGGTGCTCCTTCTGGACCAACGAGGCCGCAGCTCAAGTGACGACGAGGAGGAGGAGGAGAAAGAGGAGGAGAAGGATGCCGACGCCGACGACACCTTTCTACGTTACTGTTTTGTGAAAATCCGTCGATCCTCTGCCGAGATTACACAGCAACAACAGCAAGGACGCCCGGTCCCTAACCTCGCCGAGGTGGTAGGCGGGCTAACAGAGTTCTTGCGCAATACCGTGCCAGGTATCGATATTTGCACGTGGGAGGAACGGGTCGAGCAGGCAGAGAAAGACTTCCACGCGCGGCGGGCTTCAGTTGAACCGGGCAAACGCTGCATCGGCATCAGCGTCATGGCTGAGAGTCGTGCTCGGGCATTGCTTGAGCAGTTACTGTGATACCCCCGTACTGACTTTCCCGCGCATTTCAATGTTGCATGGAAATGAACTATTATTTCCTGAAGATGCTGCAAAGATAGGTCATAGATGCATATCGTGCTCGGGATCATTTAGCGTGGATTCAATCTTACCGTCAAGACAACCGAACAGGGTCCCTCGAAACTCTTTTTACCCTTTTTACCGGTGATTAATCTGATTCCTGTATTCATGCGCTAGTTATCGAGCATTTAAGCGTGCACTCCTGAAAATGGCAGATAGTTCACGTCTAATGGTGTGATCGGACTCCGCAGACCAGATAACAATAATGTTGCGAGAGCCAGAAAACTAGACAGAAGTAAAATGCCAACGGTAACTTTATTGGAAATGATTGATATTTTCTGGGAAGAGCGGCTTCCAGCTTACTGTTTTATTATTTTGCTCGGTGATGTTACCACGCATAGATCGTGCACCCCTAGACATGTATGGATCGCTCGAGACTGCACGATATCTAGTTGATACACCAATTAAAAGAGAGTACTACATCCAGACAAGGACATCCAAGACAAGCAAACTATCAGGACGAACTGACGTGCTCCAGACAGCCCCTTCTGGAATGCAGCCCTAACTCGACGGATCGCATAGCGCAAAACGTCAGCGCAGTGCTGATGTTCTAGAACAGCTGCTGAGGCTCTGGATAGCTCGATATCTAGTATATACCACGACCCCTTAAGAAGAGCCTTCTAGATATAGCGGAGGCACCCACCCTCAAGACGAAGCTGTTCAAATCGACGACTTGTTCCATTTATTGTGAACTCAGTGGATGGTAAGAAAGGAGGTTATGGGGGTTTGATGTGGAAATTTCCGTTTTACTTGACCCCTAGTCAATAAAAAAGACGCTCCCGGTAAGGAAAACGGGATCAAGCAGTCATAGAGCTACCAGTAATGGTATATTGCGGTTTTGGGGATAATGTGCACGATTCATTTGCTCTAACAATAAAATAAATATTAAAGTGATAAAGCAGGGAAATATGCCGTAATTCAAACCACATATCAGGAGCTTATAGATAAAATTGGAAGGCGGAAATGAATAAATCGGAATGTAGAAGAATAGATGAACGCAGAGATAGGTAGAGACAGCAAAGAGGATTCCGTCTACCGTAGGGTTCCGAACAGATGGCTTCATTTCCAATTTGCAAGTTACATGGCTATGCCTATATAAGGCTGTTCATGGTCCACGGCGGATAACTGAACTTAGGTATCGACCACTCTCATTCAAAAACTCTCTCGTTGTTTCAGACAATTGGCAATCACTTGACTCTTGGCAAAACTGCAATTTCGCATCCTACTCATCATGGCAGACCTTTCGGAGGACGAAAATTATGCTATCACTAAGCTGTACCCCAAATGCGAACAGGCATTTGAGAGACTCCTGAGTACCCTAAAAGTTGACGACTGTGTCATTACCCGGCTCAAGATTGTTGAACTATCGGACATTCTGGATGCTCAGAGAGGGCTTTTGACCTGAGGAAGGGAGAAAAAGGCCTATATCCCCGCAGAAACTCGAGGCTCAATAGAGCACAGGCTTCGGTATGATGTAGGTGAAAACCACAGAAAGCATATTGAAGGAACCCTCTAGGGGTATAACGAATACGAATATTCGGTCGAATATCTTAATTTCCTAAATAGGCTAGTGCATCCCCTAAACAAGTTAGTGTATTAAAATTTTGATTCCAGTCAGGATATCGAAAGCTTCATATTCATGATTTTGGGATAGATTTGTCACTTTATCACTTTATCAAACCTTTATGAAAAATTGTAAGAATGCAAACCAGAGGTATTGGAATTGATTTCTTTGCTTAAATGATGGTTTAGATCCTACTTCTGAAGCAAGTCAGGCAACTGATTATTCTCAATCATTCAATGATGCAATTGATCCTCTATTGAGTATAGAAAATCTGTCAAATCAATCCTGTACCCAGTCTCAGGAGCCTCAGGAGCCTTTACCTGAATCAGCTGCTACTTCAGTAGCTGAACAAGTTCGCAACTCAACAACTGTTGAACTGAGCCACTTAATATGGGATATATATATATATACGGTATAGTGCATATATGTGGTTATAATGAAATACAGATATCAAAGCTTTTCCCACAAGACCAGCCAATTAGAGATAGTTTTTAGTCATATAAGCGAACATCAAATGTCGAACATATCGGCCGACGTCGAATATTCGTTACACCCCTAGAACCCTCTGGCGACTCGATCTATTTCTTAGTGAATTAACACGAACCGGTCAAGGGGAGTACGATCCTGATGGCATTGGGGCGCTCTATAATTTTTCCAGAAGTGTCAAGGGCGTGAAAAATCTGAGCGACCTCCCGGATTATGTGAGAGACCTCCAGGGTTATGTCAGTGGCTTCCCGGGTTATGCGAGCGGCCTTAATATAATGCGAGCGACCCGATGAACATTTGGGATGGAACTGAAAGGGGACCTCGATTTGTGGTGCACATTCGACGCCTCATCAGAATCATAAAGGGCGAGGTTCAGGAACTTGATCAGATAACCACTCAGCTTGATGGTGGTCAGTTTGTGGTAAAGAACGAAGTAGAATGGGAACCCGAGCTAGACAGGATCGTGGAGATGGTACGCCATTGGCGCGCCTCAGCCAATGTTGAGCAGAATATCAACTTGAACGACGAGGCCATAGCTAGCACCTCTTTGGATGATATCATGTGGTTTTGCGAGCGACTTGCCATAGCTAATGCAAGGAGAAAGAATCCTCGTCCTTTGGGTGTGGGTCACACTTATGGGACAGTGGAGATATTTTGGAAACAGGAAAGCTCAATCCATACATCTGCACTTTCCAGAACTGCGATTCACCGTGCATAATATACGACGGAAGCGCTTCTTGGACGAAGCACGAACTGCACCACCATCGCTTCCAGCATCTTTGCGGTCAATGCCCGGGGTTCGCCACCGGCAGCAGTGGAAAGCTAAAATCCCATCTCTACCGCGAGCATGAACAATTCACCCATGATCTACTCTACAACAGCTACCATCCTGGCGAGATATCTCCAGACAAGAAGGATACCTGTCTTATCTGCCTTACGGAACATTCGTTGCCGGATTTGTATGAACATCTTGCAGATCACATGGAACATATTGCTCGGTTGGCTCTTCCCAGTGCTAACACTTAACACGGAGGCTCTCACGGTTCCCAGCCTGAATGACAACAGTGCATGAATCCACAGGCCAAGCAAACGATGCCGCCGAAGCCCCGCGAAGGGGAGACAACCAAGCATGCACCTGCATAAAAGCGCTTGGTAAAAATTGCCACAATTTGAGTTATTTCTATATTGAAGTTTGAATGATTTTAGATTGAACGTTACGTCCTATATATCCATGATAAAACCACCGTATTCGTACATGTCCCACCCATCCACCCATTCACGTAGAGTCAATCCAGTCAAAGAAACAATTCGTCAACTAGCCACTGGAAGGGAATAAACCAGAGTACGAAAAGAATACCATAGAGAAGGACCCAACTAGACTACCAAAGGATTACACCCCCCTTAGCTTATCACCGAAAATATGTTCACACACAAATCACATAGATGAGAAGACGGACATACGGCGGAGATAACGGAGAAGAAGCCGTCAGCGCTGCAGCAAAGAGTGGGTCCGCTGCCCCGCTGACGAAACGACGTGGGAGATTCTGCAAGTGGCACCAGGAAAATGCCAATATACTATAAATACAAGGTCCGCAGCTTATCAAAGTGGCAAAACAGCTTTTCCAGAGTCCCCAATTCATTCATAGTTTGAAAATGGTTAACACGCTCCCCTTCCGCGACATTCAGGTCCCCTCGCCCGGCTTCGGTGCGATGGGCCTTAGCTTCGGTCTTGGCAGCAACTTGAGCCTTGAGGAGGCCGAGCCGGTCTTGTTGAAGGCAATTGAACTGGGTTGTACGTTTTGGGATACTGCTGTATGTTGGATCTTCTTTCTGTCTGTCCTTTTTTGCAGTCAAGCTTATAATCAACAGGTTGTCTACCAAGCCGGTGTGAACGAGAAGCTGCTCGGAGATTTTATCCGGAAACACAATGTTCGTGACAAGATCTTCAGTATGTAATGATTCACCACTATTGCAACGAGTTGAAATACTGACAGGTAGACAGTTGCCTCGAAGTGTGGCTTCGACGTCTTCTCCGGACAGGGTGCTGTCACCAACTCCGCCTCGCATATCAAGGAGTACATCGAGGGCACCACTGAGCGATTGGGGTTCGCTCCTGACCTATACTATTTGCATCGCATTGATCCTAGTATGTTGTGTGCCAATTAAGTTGAGACCTTCTACTAATATTGTCAGACACCCCTCTTGAGGAGTCTATTCCCGCTCTTGATGAAATCCGCAAAGCAGGAAAGACCAAGTACATTGGTCTTTCGGAGTGTTCGGCCGCTACCTTGCGGAAGGCCAACTCTAGTAAGCCCATATCACTTGCACGCGCTAAAACATACAGCCATTGACAACTATCGCAGTTGCCCCGATCGATGCCGTCCAAGCCGAGTACTCCGCTTTTGAGACCCTGCACGAGACAGACGGCTTGATTGATACGGCCAAGGAGCTGGGAATTGCCTATGTCGCCTACAGTCCCCTAGGCCACGGCTGGCTGGTCGATGACTTCCACTACAAATCCCCCGACGACTTTGCGCCGGATGACTTCCGTCGAAATAGTGAGTCCTAAATTCACTTCCAAATCGCCGCTCTCTGTACTCATGAAATCGTACTAGTTCCTAAGTTCCAAGGCGAGAATTTCTATAAGAACCGCGCCATCGTGGATGAAATCAAGACCCTTGCTGATCGGAAGGGCTGCTCAATCACCCAGGTCGCGTTGGCGTGGGTTGCTGCACAGGGTTTTATTGCTATCCCGGGGACCACTAAGGCGGCCCGTCTAGAACAGAACTGGGCATCAAGGAATGTGGAATTGACGGAGGAGGAGAAGAAGGAAATGCGGAGGATCATCGACGCCGCCAAGCCGCACGGTAACCGATATGCTCCTGCTCAGCAGGCTATGGTGGGGCATTAATGGCTGTTTTCGTCAGTGTTATTACACGTATTTGCGGATAACAAACTATAGCATCATCTGCATTATAAACTAAAGGATTTTCCTCTACTGCCTCTTGCCCTACAAGGTCCTTTTGTTGCAGTTCGTGGGTCTAGCATTGCACACTTTCCCGTCGAGTAGAGACATAGCAAGAAATCTAATTATGTATTCATAAATTCTTTAATACACGCATACTGATTGCAATTCGAGGGTCGACATGCTTTCGGTTGGCCTCGGCTAGCAATCATTTTTATAAAGAGCCACGGGATGCAACGTTGAAGATGTCATGGAGTTAGAGCAACGGCCCGCAGCCGTCCGCATCCGTCATCTCAAACATCGGCTCATCCTATGACATTGGATACTCCACCAAGGCATTGCGGTTTTAATTTCCATGACACTTCGCTCTCCATGGCGTTCCAGCAGTTCAAATCGGTTGGGGGATGTCGTTGACGTAAACATTGAGTTTCGGTAGACTGCACAGGCCACCATAGTGTATGGACGACGAATACTAAAGAGTTGACTGTCGGCTATGAGGGCCGTAGGCCCTGGTCTCAATTGCACCTGCTTATTCTAATTACTCTTCTTAGGGAAAAGCTCGGGTCAAGATGATTTTAGGGCGCTATTTTACCGCCATCATCAATTTCTTTGGCTTTCCGCCCTCTTTCGGACCCCAGCAAGGAGTGTTGGGTCCAAATGTACCCGCTGAGCACCATGACGCCGATGCCTTGACCTTCGTTCCGCCCGGTGTCAGCGAGTCCGAAACAGAGATAATAAAATGCGACTACCCTGATATGAAGGGATACAAATTTGTGTCCGGCCCAGAGAATCGGGGCGGTTGGTTGGAGAGTTCAGACCCCGACAAGGAAGACTATAATATATACACCAATTACGAAACTAAATGGCCAAAGGGTGTGGTGCGCAAGGTCAGTACTCTACATTCTCATTATTTCGAGCGAAAATAACAGGACACAGTATCATGTCACCGTTGATGAGGCAGAGGTGACCCTCGATGGCGTGAAATTCCCCAACGCAAAAGTTTTCAACAAACAATGGCCCGGTCCATGGATCCGTAAGTCCTGGGATCTATTTGAAACAACTATGACAGAAAGTTGAGCTAATGCAGTGGCTGCACAGAGGCATGTTGGGGCGATGAAGTCCGTCAGTAGCTACCTACCGTCCACTTTCGCACATCACTAACGGAGGAATGCAGAGATCACGGTGAGAAACAATCTGGCTTATAACGGCACTGCGATTCATATGCATGGTATTCGAATGCTGGACAGTAACCTGAACGATGGAGTTCCCGGCGTAACTCAGTGCCCCATTCCTCCAGGCCAAAGCTTCACGTACAACTTTACCGCAACTCAATATGGAACCACTTGGTATCATAGTCATTATAGCCTGCAGTACACGGACGGTGTGCTTGGGCCACTGACTATTCACGGCCCTGCTTCTGGTGATTATGATAGCGCGATTGATCCTTTCATAATGGGAGACCATAACCATCGCAGTGCATTCCAGGATTACTACCAAGAGCAGTTTTCGAACTCGTCGCAAAACCGCTCACCTCCGAAGATGTCGAGCATTATCATTAATGGCAAAGGTACGTATTCATTGCTACTCGTAGGTCATAAAATATCGACTCACGCATTACAGGGAACTACGCCGGTTCCTTTCCAGAAAGACGATATACCAAGCATGTCAAACCGGTAAGATTGCCATCCCTTCGAAATTCCAGAAGATAAGGTCTAAATGCTTGAACAGAACGAGAGGAGGCTGCTGCGACTGATAAATACATCGTCGGATTCAACCTATATATTCAGTATAGATGATCATGAGTTCGAGGTTATTGGTGCTGATTTGGTCCCCATCGAGCCGTATACGACAGCAAATATAACTATTGGCAATGGTAATCGGCAACTGATTTAATGAATTAAAGTCCCTCGGCTAACTTTCTCAGGACAACGCTACCATGCTATACTGAAAACAAAAGACCCTCACCAGCTCTGGGATAACCAAGCGTTTTGGATTCGAACCCAGCCCGCTGAGGGATGTCATAACTTCGAGACTATCCCGGATGCGAGACAAGGGATTCTCTGGTACGGAGATGAGAAAAAGGCACCCATTCCCACTACGAATGCGCATTCTTACAGTGCACTCTGTCGGGACGAACAAGGCTGGAAGCCAAAAGTACCTTGGACAATCCCAGCTCTCAAGGAAGGAGAACGAAAGGAGCTGAACATGCCGAACTCCACCATCAAACTCGACCAGTGGTTACTTCCGAAGCAACGGGAGGAGGAAACTGATACTTTGGTCAATCACTGGAAGGCCATGAATAGCACGGCCTGGGTCGATTATAGAGCACCTACCGTCCAGCATCTCGATCCCCCATACGCAGAAAACGCAGTTGTCTACCCTGTGGAACCTAATGTACGCCATAGAGGCTGGCACTACATGGTGATTATCGGGGGTAATCAGAATAACCCTAGTAATGTAAAAGGAGGAAGGCTCATTCCCGCGGCACATCCTGTAAGTGATGCTTCAAGTCTGTCTAACTTGCTAAACGGTGTTTGACTGACCCTGCATTTACTCAGATCCACCTTCACGGTCATGATTTCGCGCTTCTCCAGCAGTCTAGTGACAAGTATGTTGACCATTCGTCGCTGAAGCTGACCTACGACAATCCGCCTCGCCGCGATGTCGTACTCCTGCCAAAGAACGGATTCATCGTGATTGCATTTAAGACAGATAATCCTGGACCTTGGGTCCTCCACTGCCACATTGCTTGGCATGCGTCGGCCGGTTTGGCCTTCCAAGCCCTGGAGCGAAAGGACATATTCAAAGAACAACTTGCTAAAAGAACACCCCAGTGGCAGAAAGACCAGTTGGAACAGAACTGCAAGGATTGGAAAAAATGGCAGAATAACTACGGTAACCACTTTGATCAGCAAGACCGCTTCCAGGACGACTCAGGAATTTGAGTGTCGATTTTGACACCCACCATTACAATGCAAAATTCAATTTTGAAGACAACAAGAAGTCGATTATCGTGACATTCACTAGGTTCTAACTGGCTTTTAATGGCCAAATTTGGCTTCTCGACCAGTCGACTGGGCCAATCAAAACTTTACCCTATCTATCTACGCTCACTTCCCCTGTCATAAAACCGCCGCCGGACAAGTTGGCCCCCTAGTATGGGCATCCAAGAGATGTAGGCGTTGTGGGATATGAAACTGCTGGCCTTATTCTTTTCCCATGGCCTCCAGGTCGTATAATTAATCTATACCTTAACATTCAATATATAATCATTCGTTAAATGAAACACGGAGCTTCGGCTCCGTCTATTATGCATCCACCGGAGAGGAAGTCTGCTTCGCCATTGACCACTCCTCAGCCTGTTCCTCTTTATCTTGCTTCGATGCATTCCGAGTCTTCATTCCCGCCGCAACGTATGCAATCGCAACAATGACCTCAGGCAGGAAGCTTAACACAACGCGAATCGCCAGCGACCCGGTCGTCGGGTTCAGGTCCGTCCTCTGCGTACTCATAGCAACGAGACTATATACGACGCGGACACCAATAAGAGACAACGAAAAAGACACAGTCGAAAGCAGCTATGTTCCAACGTTAGCAACTTCCTCTCCACCTCTCGATATCGTTCAAAAAACAGAGCTCGAACGGTAAAAAAATCACTCACCAAAGTCCCCTGCTTAACGACTGGGCTCGTCCTCCTCGGCCCCAAAAACGCAAGTCCAGTCCACCCGACCAGGACGACCCACGAGATCGTCAGGATCGCCATTCCCGCCTTCACCTTTCTCTCTGCCTTCTCGATCGGCTGTTCATGGCGCTGTAGCTGTGAGGACGCAATGGCCGTGAGAACGACGCCCGCGGCGACAAGCATGTGGAATAGGAAATCGAAAACGCCTTCCAGTCGGCGGTCGAGGGATTTGAGACGGTAGGTTTTTCTTCATATTATTCTCCTGTCAGCCGCTTGGTATTGGGGTGTGTGTGTGTGTGTGTGTGTGTGTGTGTGTGTGTGTGTGTGTGTGTGTGTGTGTGTGTGTGTGTGTGTGTGTGTG